TAAGCTCTTATCCATATAATAGTTTGTTGACCTTAGGACTCTCGTTATAGAACATTATGTCACATTCTATTGTCAGAATCATGTTTAACATGTAATGTTTAACCTCTTGTGTGGGCTCTTTCATTCAATTATCATAAATGATTTGAACAGTTGTTAAAAACATTAACCGTAACTGGGGAAATGGAATTACAGAAATTTGCGTCATTGAGTTTGTTTCCTATGTGCGATTGATGGAAGAATAAATTAAGACATCTTTTCACATGAACTGTTTATGGTTTTGAGTTGGTGGACTGAGTAAAGGCAGTTTTTTGTGGTGCGTCATTGACTCACTGTCACGCAGTGATTATCAATTTTCAGTTGGGCTGTTGAATATTGATAACTGAAATCTAGACAGTTCTTGGCCTCCAAGTTTAAAATGATTGTTGAAGATGAATGAGGTTTGTTATTGTTAAAATGTCTTGTGCTATGGTGAATGGACTGAAATGATTATTTTGAACTAGAAAATAACACAACCTCATTGATAGCCTGTTTTCCCCATGAGTCTATCTTGTTTTTTATTTTGGTTGTTGTGATGTGTTTGTTAATTATGATGATAAAAATATATTTGTGATGTTTCTATTATTTCTTTATTATATATGAAATGGTGTTGATTGTGATAGCAAGACATGCTCTGTATGACAATTCTTTAATTTGAAATTTTATTTTGAATTACATACACGATTTGGCAATTTTTTTAGTTTTCACTCACAGGATATTCCCTCTGCTAAAGCTAAAGTAATCCTTTTTCCAGAAAAAAGATGCATTCCTAAAATGACAATTCAAAATCTGTTTTGTTTGGCAGCAAAGCAAAGCAATTCCTACCCCCAAATTCATAGCTTTAAATTACAAATTAAAAGAAATTCCAGCAAACAGAAATTGTATTTACTACTGCGACAGGAGTTATCTGTAACTCTGTATTAGACATGGAATATCAGATAACCTGTAGTGCAGGTCATTTTAGTTCAATTTTCAGTACTTTATCAGAACTTCTCATAGCAGAGGGAATAGACCATCTATCATTAGTCAGTCCCCCTTGTTCAGTATTGAATTTCAAACTTCCTCGTTTATTTTATTTTATTTTTACCATTTTAGTAAATTCACTTCCTTCATTTCCAATCCACCACTTCTTTCCACCTTGGATGTTCACTACTGTAAACCAGAAAGTCTTGCGTTTTCATGAATTTCACAAACTTCACACATGGTCGAGACTTGCAAAAATTTCTTGCCATGGTATAATTCTGTCACATTTATCCCAACACAAATTTTTGAAATTCACCAAAATTTCTTGCTATAAAAATGACTCACTATTTGTGAAAGTGTCATGATGTGAAATTTTCTGGTTTTACATTAATTTTGTTTTTATATCCTATACCCTTGTCATGTTTTGTTTTTCAAACCCATCACAGGCAGCGCAGCAGACTTCTACTATACCAGTCAAGGTTCATCAGAAAATGATTACAATGGTTTGACATCTTTTTGAAAAATTATCCCCTTGTTAATATTAACCAACCATCAAAGATAATTCAAAGAAACTTGTATTCTATTCTCATTTTTTCTTCATCTTCTTGTGGAATGCACATCATCTAGTTATAACCACTCAAAATATGCACATAATTATTATACTCGAGTAATATTAAGCATGCAAGTTAACACAATGTTTTGGGCAACTCCCTGAGACTAATTACCTTTTTTTAATGGAAACTTCTAATGATGCATGCCATGCTATCTGAATAGAGCATATTGCTGATAAAAAGCAAGAATTTCAGTGTTCTAACGTGAGACTAACAAGTGATACAGGTTTCTGTAAAGTTTGGATTTGAGGTCAACCAGGATATATAACCAGGCTCCACACTAACCTCTTTGGAAGGGGGTCTGGATTGAAAAATAGTCGGTGTGAGCCCTATGTAAGAACTTCAAAATATTTTGTGTCTGGACTTAGTGTCAAGCCCTTCATATAATGAGAAAATATAAAGGAGCCATCTCTATAAAGCTGGCAATTAAATTACACAAGAAAGCCAATCTATCATTCGTCATCATTAATTTAGGTCATACAGTAATTACAGTCATTAGTTTTGTAATGAATTTTGTGGGAATATGTTGAAAATGCGACAAAGAAACATGTATTTGTCTATTATTTTTGTTGTTTTAACTGACATAAATTACTCCGTGTATGGGAGTCAAATGTTTTATTTCATGTTATCATATTACAGCATAGAAGTAACTAGAATGAGTTTGAATAAAAATGACCAAGCAATCTGACAGTTATTTATTATTATTGACATTTTCAATATTCATAATTCCATACACCCCCCTAACAAATTTTTCAGACATTACAACGTGTTTGGTTACAGTTTATGTGGAAAAGGTCAATTAGACTTACTCCTGTCTTGGGAGTACAGTGTGCTATAAAAGTAAGAGATCCTGTCTATTCTTTTTACCGTTTGGTATGTCCTTGTTTCCTCCTAACCGCGGTTCGTCCTTACTTAAATGAAAATAACCCCCCCCCCCCCCCCAACCTTTAAATATTTTACTTGGGTTATATATTGGTCCAATTTAAAGATAATGTCAAACAATCTCTGAATGTTATAAGAATGAACTAACCAATAATTACTATGGGATTTATGTAAAAGCTAAATTCTGTCCATGTTAAGTGTAATCATGTAATTTTCATTAGTAACATTGAGTTTGATATGATCATACGGCATAGTGGACATAGTGGAATACCCTGCCTTTTTTCTCATTAATATATGGTTTCTATATTTTCATGTATATGCATATATGGTAATGAGACTTCTGTATTTGGTCTTTTATTCTCTGTAATATTTCATGTGTCATATGGCATGTTAGCATTATATGGTGTATATCAATAAATATGCTTAGAATTATATTGTTTATGCTGATGTATATTAAACTTGTTTACAGCTAGTGACCCTCTTTATCCCATATATTACATGTATTGTGCCTTGTATGCATTATAGTCTTATCTGAAGCTAAATATGATGTTGTGTACACTTAAGTGACCATTGTTCATGTAGCCTGTATATGTTAGTTACAAAGGGCTCATCTTAAAATGCCCTCTTCCTATATTCATATTAAATGTTAACGACCACTTGTCTCCCCAAACACTTTCATTGTTCTGCCATTTTGTTAAAAGCCTGGGATGTATTATTTTTTCATAAGCTTGAAAAAAAAAAAAATTTCTTCAGACAGACATTTACATTTACCATTAACGATTTCAAGTAATATATTTTAGATTCTTTGTGAAATCACTTTGGTTGTAATGTTGTTTTTTAAAAGGAAAATGTTTTTGTTTAGAGTCATACTTGTTGTATAGGGATTTTTATGATACTGCTCTTGTATAAAGAGACGGTAAACTTTAAATATTTGTATAACTATCATTAAAAACTAACATTTATTAAATATTTGAAATGGTGAATATTTGCACGAGTGCCGAGGACTAACCAGTGTCATATTGCCCCAGTATCGCCCCTAGTATTGCCCCTTGTGTTACCCCTTGTGTTAATACCCCTCCTCACACATTTAACCCCCACTCCCTTCTTAATCAATCGTGTGCGATCAATGTTTTACTCATCTAATATCATAATTTGCATACCCCAATTTTGTTTTCACAGCATGTTGCATCAGTCTTATAGTATATATTTGTTTTGATTCCCATGGCATAATGTTGTCTGTGTCATTCTAATACAATATTCTTTTCCCTCTAAGATATCAGATTTAATAAACTACTTGCCTATTTATTTTCTTAACCTATGATACAAGTATCATTTTGTTAGGCTTTTTTTTTTGCTATCATAAGGTTTCAGAATAGAAAACTCTGGTGTTATGCCATTTTTGTCATCAATGTCAGAACATAAAGTTGACATTTGAGCTATTCCCCATTGTAATTTACCCCCTCATTTTTAGTATCCTTCAGACAAGGGAGTAGGTTTTGTGTATTTTACTTTTTATCTTGGATCTTGGTCTTAAAAACTAATTGAAATTTAATTTGAATTTTTCAATAGCTCTAAAATTAAATTTTAAAAAGTCTCATGTAAGTTTGTTGTTGTTGGAGAAAGGAGCTCTTATACAATCAGGTGTATTACAAAACTCTACATATGCTGAGATTAGTCAAAACAGAAACTGTGGTATCATGGGTATTGCTTGTGTACATCTAACACCATTTGGTATTTATTTTTTATCTTAATGTTCTGATGCTTAAAGGTTCGTTCAGACATGAAGCGGCAACCCCCTCCCCAGGGCCTATTAGTGTTCAGATATGGTAGGGGTTACAGGCCTTGCCGCTTCAAATGTGAACAAGCCTCATTGCTTCACCTAATGTTTAACCTTTTATTTTAGGTGTATATCATCATGTTATCCAAATTGTTTTTGGCATTCTCATCATGTTGTGAATGACTCATACACATCCCCCTCTCTCTCTCGGAAAATGATCATGACGTACTTAATTCCCCTGCTAAGATTGAAGGGGATATAACATTTACTTTTTGCAGCTAATAATGTTTTGGTTCAGCATAACCTTAGCACTAAACTTAATTTGTTTTCTTGTATTCATGACCTTAGTATTCAAATGTCAAATATTATGTTATAAATACATTTTTAATGTCATTTTATTTATGCTTTATCTCTTTACAATTGATAAGTCATATCCCCAAGTTTATCGAATCCTTTAATAATCATCTTTGATATTCCATGAATGATACTTTCCTCTCATCGTAAGGGAAATGAGTATTATTTTGATGATCAACTGTAGATGGATCTCCAATAAGCTTTTGATCAGGTTCACACAAAATACTCTGTATATCTGAGTAAAATTGTTGAGCATATAAATCCCTCAAATAGCATCATACTTCAAATAAATCCATCCCTCTTTTTTTAAGGGATGCCATCACCCCCTACTTGAATGGACTGTTCCTAACTTGCCTATGTGTTCCTTGTCCTTGTAGGTCATCCGGACGAGTTCTATTATACCAGCCAGGGGGAAGCTCCCACAGTAGATGGGATTGATGACAAGGCTAATCTGGTAGAGACCAAGGAGGCTTTCAAGTTATTGGGTAAGACTTTCTTCAAAGGAAACGTTCTGCTATCCAACAGTGTAATTGTTTTTGTTTACAGGATGGAACTTTTAGCTTTTGATTTAAGTATATCTCAGTTTATGGTAAAGCCTTTATTGTAGTAATGACTATTTTAATAAACTGAACAAAGATATATCGCTTTGTAGGGAAGAATCATATGAAGAGAAAAAATATTGAGAAATAGAAAGAGAAAAATAAACTACATTGAAAGATAAAAAGATATTTACCAAGAGAAATGAAGAATGAGAAGATGAATAAAAAGAGAAAGAAATAATCGGTGGGGGGGGGGAGAGAAAGATAGAAAGAAGGTATAGGAGGGAGAGAGAAAGAGACAACTAAATAAAAAACAGATTGAGTTATAAAGTTATGTAGGGGATAAAGACACTGGGTCAGAAGAAAGTAGGCTGTTGAAAAACACGGAGTGAGGAATTGGAAATGACAAAACCCATCTCCAAACAAAATTTTCAAATGAATGTCTTGTAGTTTCTATGGACAGTTTGTGTTGCTCATCACCAGATTGATATTGTCTTTTGAGTTCCAAAAAGGGCATTAACTTGAATACTTTAAAACAGAATATATGCCCTTCTGGCTCTCAGCAGACGATATGACAGTGAAGAAGAACCCATATGTGTATCTTCCTTGTAGTCAGGTCTCATTATGAGGGGCATATAACAGGGTTCAGGCAGACAGGGGTGAGGAAATGACACCCTTGAGGCTTCCAGTAGGGATCTTCTCCTAAATCTGATGAGATGTCTTTACCTCTCTTGAGCTTTCTTTTTAAATCAATCATGTCCGAAGACTATGATCTATCCTGCTGCTTTCTTCCTTCCCTTTAAGAAATGTGGTATGAATTATTGTCTTTTTCAAGTGCTTCTCTGTAGCCTTTTTTGATGATTTTACTTTGCACTTCATTTATTATCCATGACTTTAGAGAGAGATAATATTAAAGGGACAAGTAGTTGGATAGTCCCTCTTGACATTGCACAGTATTCTTTGGAATAAAGTTCATGCCATAATGGTAAATTGACTTTAAATTGGGATACAGAAAGTGTTGTTTCTATAGGATTGGTCACCCTTTTTTTTACAACCCTAGTTTAATTGTTCATATATTCAGATTCATATACACCTCTTTTTATATCAAGTCCAAACTGTCATAAATATATAACATTTCTGCTTGTGAACATTTAGGATTAACTCTAGGACCATAGCTATAGAATAAAAAGTATTAATTAGTGAAAGCCAAAGATTCACCCTTCCTCTTTCATGAGTCCCTTGTGAGGAATGGTCAGAAACTGAATATTGATTGGAACTGATGTCTAAATTCACAGCATCCTTGAAATGCATTTAGTTTATACAGAGACCTTGTCAACTTAAGCCAAAGGGCTTGAATATCTTATACAGGGATTAGGGTCATACCGGGACAATCAATGAAAGTCCATCTGATCTCCCGGGTGGATAAAGGTGTCAAGGTATTAGCCCCATCCTCTAACTGTAGACAAACCTCTACAGTATCACCTCTCTTCACTAGCCAATAATCAGATGCATCTCATGTTGAGAGAAAGGCCTTATCAACCATCTTGATCAAGGGACCGAGTCATATGGACATGAATTCTGTTGTTGTTCACTTGTCAATCTTCCAATATTTGGGTTACGAAGTTCTTTCTGGAACGATAGATGGGTATCTTCATTGCCAAAATAGAAGGTGTCCTTAACTGTTTGTCAACTCAAAGACATGTCACCTGAAACCTGTGATGGTTTCTTCAAGTAGGGTGAGAAGATTTGACAACTTTGGACCAGGCTATGCTTTGTTAAAGGGGTGTAACCCCACCTATGATTATTGACGGGCATGTTGTCTTTGGTTTCCTTGATATAAATGACACCATTGAGTCACCTTCTATTTGTTGTATAGAGCATGTGCTTGATATTAAAATTTCTAGTACTTGACTTTAAAACTAAAACTCCTGTCACATTAAATGTTCTTAGTTGATCCCTTTTTGATGAACAAACAGAGGATTACTTGAAGGGTATCTCCTCTACTTGATGATTTGATAGTCAGCACTTGTCATACTGTTCCTGATTGATATTCAGTGTCTTTCAGTGAGCATTTTTGTAGATGTTTATTGTTAAATCTGCTGGCCAGAAGTTGTTAATGTCATGTTCTTTCAGCAAGAAGTTAAGAAGTAAATCCATATCCACAGTAATCCATTTTCAGGGGTGCCAATATTCTGTTATTGATAGGCCCTGTCACCTCTCAGTTTTAAACATCATGCCATAAAGAACACATCGGTTCCAACATGTCTATGTGACATTTTCCATGTTGAGTGGGTAAACCAATTGCTTTCCCTCTACTATATTTAGATCCAATTAGGATTCATTATAACAAAAGTTGAATCCATCATCTCAAAAATATAAGGGGCCTTTCCTTTCCAATGTTAATTAGTATAACTTCTTTACCCACTGATGATGGCACCCAAACTATCTTTGGTTAGGGTCTGTTAAAAAAAGGAATGTTATACGATTTATCAATCTGCATGCAGTGGGTGAACTTCAAAATATGATGTTTTATGCAAGCTTAAACTTGAGCATCAAGCCGGGGCACGATTTTAATTTTCTTTGAAATTTGAGCTAGGATAAGGAAGATTGTGGTCTATAGATCTTGATGGTTCTGCCTTAGCCTGCGGCCTGGAGCATGTTCCAGTGTATCCTCTCAATCATGTCACTCTTCAGCATTGGGCTGGTATTTTCAGAGGGAAGCCTAGCCCTCCCTCCTCGAGGTCTCTGGGTGATGTTGATAGAAAGAAATCTTGGAGTTTAAAACTGAGTAGAAGTTTTATTAAAGAATATTTCTTGGCCATTTCATAAAACTTGTTTTCAATGACATATGAGCTACCGGTACTGAAAATCATTATTTTGGATGTACTGTGAGCAAATTCATTAAAGAATTTGGGCATGCACTTGATTTTAAATAATTAGATCCATTTATATAGTGCAGCTACTACTATATAGATACACTCTACTGCGCTGTGATTGAAATGAAATGGAACTGTGGTCTTAAGTGGTCTTGTTAGATAACGTAACCTAATCAAGTTGGTTTTATTCAAAATTTCGTAATCCTCCCCTGAGTGATTACAAATATTCATTGGCTCTGTAAGAAGATGTAACTAGTGGTTAGGTTACTGAGTTTTCTTGAATTATGATGTTAGACAGCAGTCTACATGATAAACTAAATTAGACCTTTCCTGGTGAGACCATTGGATGAAGTGTAATAAGTCAGACATTAAAAATGGAGCAACTTGTCTGGAAGATTTCAGTGAATTGCAAAGTCAGTTAGGATATTTCTCTTTGCGCCTAATGATAATTTGATAATTACCTTCTGAAATGCATTTCACTTTGAAAATGGCACTGTAGTTCCTCAAGCTGACAAGTTTAATATGGAGAATTGTGCAATACCCTGGACATAATGTCTCCTGTCAAGGGATTCCCACATAGCACTGTCTTTACTTTTATGATATACTGTTACTTGTTTCCCCCCTACGTTTGCCTCATTTTGTCTGGGAGGGGAAAAGTGAGAAAAGATCCAATGCCACTGTATTGTGAGATGACGGGTAGCCATACAACATTTCTTGGCAGAGTATAGTAGGATATAGTGCATGCAACTTATGGGGCTTCATTATACTCCAGAAAAGTAAAAGCTTGTTCTTTAAAGCCTGTCTGCACAAGTTTGGCCAGGGGGGATGAGACCTCCATGCTAGGTAACTGACAGGTGGTTATCTCATCAAATCAGTTCTCAATTATCATAAGAAAAAGGGGACAAACAGACACTGATTAAGCATTGTTTTCTATATAGAGGGCACAATTACGTAGCTATAAGTTGTACAGTGGGGCTTTAATAGAGAAAAAGAGTATTTTTTTCAATGTTAAGTATTATTGGGTTCAGTCATCATGTGAATAAAAAACATTGTAGCGCTTGAGAAGCCTCTGGTCTCTGAAGCAGATAAATATAACACTTAAGATGTTTGACCGAAAGTGCCTTTACACTGCCAATTCCGATGGCAAGGTGAATGGGTTTGTCTTTTATCAATCTGATGCTAATGTGAATAGGCTTGGGTCTAGCAGTATGTTCACACTCCCAAATCTGATTTTGTTGTAGATAAATTCACACTCCCAAATCTGAAGTCAGTGTGGATGGTTTTGTCTGTTGGAGATGGAATAAGTTTGAGGATTTTATCTTTTATCAAAAAAGTTTTATTTTTGAGGAGATCAAGATGATAGAAAAGGAAATGGGTGGTGTAGTCTTATCTGGGTCAGTGCACGTCATGGACGGTATTTCCCTACCCCCTCACAAGGTTGGGGGGTAGTGATAGGTGCAGCAGTTGGACTGTTTGAGCTATAGGGTTTGGGTCATCGTGCACAATGTCTCTTCTCCCTCCTAGGGTGGGGTAGTGTTACATGAGAAGGCAGAACTGTCTCTGAGCTATAGGGTTTAGTTCATCGCAGGTTGTGGACGATCTTCCTTACCCCATCCAAGGTTGAGAAAGTGATAGATGAGATGACAGGACTGTTTATGAGCTACAGGGTTTGGGTCATCACACATTGGTCATCCCCCATCCCTTCCAAGGGTGGGTTAGTGATATGTGAAGGGACAGGACTGTCTGACCTACAGGGGTCGGGGTGATGAGCTGTAGACATGAAATCTCTGAAAAGCATCATATCTTGTAATGAATCAGCATATCTTTCAGATTTAGTTTATTGTCATTTGGTCTACAAGAACATGCCACAACCCGAATTGGTCTAATGCCACTTTGTTTAGTTCATCGCCTATGGCGAATGATGCTAAACATGGTGCTCTTTCAGACGAAGCATCTTATCGCCTATCCCCCCCCCCCCCTGGATGTCAAGGGGATATTACAGTTTAACTGTGTGGTTGAAACACAGGAATCTCATCCATAAAATATTGAAGGGTTTGATTTCAAATGACATCTGATTCCAACTAAAATCTTGTAATTACAATGCTCATTTAGACAAAGCATTTCATCCGCTATTGCCCCTCCTGGACCTCTTGGCGGTAATACAGTTTGACCGTGTGGGTAAAAACACAGGAATTTCATCCAGAAATCTTGCAGGCTCTGATTTCAAATGACATCTGGTTCCAACTAGTTACTACAATATTGATATTTGCATTTCCCTGGGTAGGGTTGCAATATGACATAGTGAATCAATTTGAGTGTGAAGAGAGATTTGTATCAGTAGACAAGATAAAAAACAAAATAGGATTAGTCATTTATAAGGAAATTCAGAACTTACAGGAGATAATGTTATTACTCATTTAATGAGCCAGAACGGTGAACAAAGACGCTCCTTAACAAAAAAATTGAGGCAGTAAAAGAGTTGTAGATTAAATAAGAAGAGGAAGAGAAGTTTTGGTGAGTCAAAAATAAAGAGAGTTAAATGAAGTTTGGATTGAAATATGAATAAATATGAAGAAGGGTTAGTAGGGAAAAGAAACAAAGGGGGGGGGGGAGCAGTGAAAAGAGGAAGAAAGAGATCAAAATTTGCTGTCATAGCAAAGTGAAAAGTTTCTGAAACAACTTCTGTAAATGAAGTTTGGATTGAAATATTAATAAATATGAAGAAGGGTTAATAGGGAAAAGAAACAAAGGGGGGAGCAGTGAAAAGAGGAAGAAAGAGATCACAATTTGGTGTCATAGCAAAGTGAAAAGTTTCTGAAACAACTTCTGAAAGTTGCCAGAAGTTTGCCAATGTCGCATTATTGGCATGCACTAATTCTAACATGTGAATTTCAATGAGATAGCAGTAAACTTTTGCTTATGATGGTTTTATGAGACACTGCCCAGGTACACAAAGCTTCCTTGAAATCATCCATTGGCTAAATGAAGGAAGATGCATCTAAATTTGATTAGATCGAAGGAAATTAATGTGAGTAGGATAGGAAGGAACCTCGCTTGGGATGATGGCAATAGAAAGTGAAAGGTAAATTTCCAGATGAACTTCATGAAGTCAAACCAGTGGGGGATGTGAGGTAGAAAGGTATAAAAAGTATGCTGTGGTGTAGTGTAAATTCTGAAGAGCAATTCCATGCACAGGCGCTGTACGACTATGCCTTTTTTCTATTTAATTAATCCCAAAATGAAAAATCTCTAGACCTGAGCGTAGAATAATTGGTCGTGATACCAGAAAGAATCATGATTCAGTGGTCACATCAAGACTTTTATATTATTAGATGGCTAAAAATGGATAAACTTCAGATGTTGTATTAGAAACATTGCTCAAAATCGCCTTCTAGTACATATGGTTGTATATGTCAATATATAGAATGTATGTCAGTAGATTTGGTACATCCTGAGTAGCATTTATGTAGAGTGAATGATGTTTGAAAAAGTTTGTGTAAACATTGAATAGTAATACTTATTTTAATAGTAGTACCCAATCCTATTTGAAGTTATCCATCTTGAGTGACATTGCAGCATTTTTTCTTCTTGTAGAACATGATTGATACAGCAAAAGTGGCAGACACAATTAGAATTTGTCATGTGAAAGTTGTAGAGAACTTTTATGCTGTAGTTCCCAAAATAAATTAAACTGATGAACATGCTTAATGCAATCATTTTGTAATGCTCTTTGAGAAAATATGAACATCACAAATAGTAGCAGAAGGTCATCAATGCGAACGAGTATGTTTCCCAAAATATACTGTAATTATCTGAAGTTTGTCAAGCCACTCGTTACAATCTTTAAGGAAAGTGGCTTGGAGCTCCGATAGCTACTCAGTTTCCTGTCGTAGGTGAATTATTCACCCCCGTTTTGAACCGTTTATCCCAAAATTCAAGATTGCTAATTAAAACTGAAAAGGTTGCTGTAATAGGATGAGGGAGTAGAGGGAAGGAAAAGAGAGGGAAGGAAAGGGAAATTTAAATGGAAAGGAGGTAGAAGAGGAAAAAGGGGTTTAAAAAAATAAAAATGTGCAGCCTGGCTTATAAAAGCATGGCTTATAAAAGCATGGTAGGAAAACAACAAGAAAGGAGACAGAGAAGAGCAGACTTGAATCCAGAAAGATAGAGATGAAGTGAGAAGCACAATTGTTGTCAAATAGAGAGACAGAGAAAGAACAACTGAAAGTTTGGAATGATTATGTGAGAGAGAGAGAGAGAGAGAGAGAGAGAGAGAGAGAGAGAGAGAGAGAGATAGTCGAGGAAGGGGTGGGGGGAGGTAGAGGGATGTTGAGTTTGACCCGCACATTTTTAGATTTTGAGGTGTCTGGTGATACTGTTAAGATTATGAAGTATGTGATGTAACTCCAATTAGATATCTCAGAATACTTTACTTTCAGATGCATTCTTGCCTAGAAGATTTAAAGGTAAACATTAGATCAGTATGAAACAAGAAACAAATTGTTTGAACCCTGTATTGTGATAGAAGTTCTTCAGGCATTTCCTTATTTTGAAAAGAACTGATGTGGATATTGGTTATTACAACATATTCATGAACTTATGTTGTATGTTTTACATTAAATTATCTTTTACAGGTTTTAAGGATGACATGATGAAACAAATCTTCAGGATCATCGGTGCCGTTCTTCACTTTGGCAACGTAGAGATTCAACCTGATCAACATGAAAGCTGTAAGATTGAGGTATGGAAAAACACAAAGACAGCTTTCTTTCTAGATATTTGTTTGTGTATAAAATACTCTCTTATCAGTGACAAGATCATGAGGACACCACACGCCAGATGATAGACCAGATCAATCTAATGCCATGTCATGCTTAAGGTTAGGTCACACACAACTAACTCATTAAGCTATGAGTGGGACTGACCACTCAAAACATATGCTTCAGATAATAATCTTCCTTTTCATCCTGAAACATGATCAGTTGCTGCCCCAAAATGAAAATTACTGGCCTATATCTCAGGAAATTTTCCTGCCCTTCTCCAATTGACAAAATCTAAATTGGGAACAGGTGAATGAAGGAGCCATGGAGGGTATTAAAGATGAGTCCAATTTGAAGAAGATAGTGATCTCATGACTTCCAGATATGATCGGAAGTGACTAATCGTATTCTGCATCATTAGGACATAGGCAAGATGTAGTCAATATAGAAACTTGTTAACAATTCTTAAGATTTTGATTTTTTTTTGTGGATAGATTGAAGCATACCAAAATTCAAGTTCAGTAGAGTTGAGTTGAATATACCTTCTTTTGATACTGTAAGATAAACACAGATCATTCATATAAAAACAAAAGTTGATTGAAGTTAGAACTGAAACATTGATGTACATGGGTGAAAGCAAAGTTAAATGTATGTCTGCAATGTCTGAAATGCATGACTAATGGATAAGTGTTACTTCCAGTTGAACATGCCATACAAGATTTGTTTGAAGTTTATGACTGACACGCTATAATTGAAGGGATATTTTGACAGATGTTTAAAAATGAGAACTATGTGTGTGATAATGTGTCAGCAAATGTCCTGAACAGATGGCTGAAAGAGATAAAACCTAGAGTTCCATATGTCACAAAATGTTGTACCTTTTAGAATGTAGAGCAAGCATGTTGTTAACATTATTCTGGATACTAAAACAGAAGTTGTAAAGAATCTTTGTGGGAAAGGGCATCATTCTGTCATGGGATGTTAAATTCAAATGCTAGATCCAGACTCTGTTTCCTGATGTGCTGGAAAAGTTTATGTTTTACCCCCAATATCTAAGTCTCTTTTAATTTTGTTCGCTCTCTCTCTCTCTCTCTTTCTCTCTCTCTCTCTCTCTCTCTCTCTCTCTCTCTCTCTCTATACTCCTTTTTTCTTTTCTTTTTCTCATTTAGTTGAATGTTTTCATCTGCTTTTATTTTTTAGGTTCTACTTAATTCTTTTTCATCTTAAATGTTTTTGTTCAACTGTTGTGCTCATTTCATCCTCTTTCCCCTCCTATTGTAAGATTCTTTACAAGGTTTATGTACCTAATTGTCTATGTACATTCATCTCCCTTTCTCTCTTCTATTTCTCTTTGTTTTGTTTCATTGTTTTTTTCTCTCTAGCTTTTCATGTGAATATCATAAAATAACATCAATTTGAAATATGTCAATGTCACACATTCTTACTTTCTGACATACATTATGCTCCTGATATAGCATACTACAACTTTATTTCTCTCTACTTTCTTCCCTGCAGGTTGAGAACGAGAGTCTACCGATCCTGTGCAGTCTACTGGGTATCGAGGAGGATGCCATGAGAAAATGGTTATGTAACCGTAAGATCGTCACCGTTCAAGAGGTCCTTACTAAACCTCTCAGGCGCGATATGGTAGGTCATTGGTCAGCTCAAAGCATCATTTTGCATGATTCTATATTCTTTGTATTGTAACGAGATGATAGATGACCTCATTTCTTGGATATTTGGAGAAAATCTTTCTTGAAAAAGAAAATTTCAACCGGACCAACCAAAGTCTTAGAAGCTATAAAATTCTTGGCGATAGATAATTTGCATATTTATATTAATTTCCTTTTTTTTCTTCATATTTACAGTTATTTCCAGAGTTGGTTTTTTTTATAGAAAAATGCACAGGATACATACAATAAGGATTTCATATGCAGAATTGCTTCATTTTTTTTTCATTTTTTGATCATGTTACGGGTATGTGAAAATCAACTGGAAAAAATGAATTAGGCACTTGTACATTTAGCTGCACCTTCACATGGTAACTGATATGGGGACAGAATTATTTACAGATATTAAATCCCTTCCCATGAACTGACCCATTAAGTATCCCTTTTACGTCACTCTTAGATTTGATCCCAAATTATTGGCAATATCCTTACCAACAATTTTGCAGACTTTTTTAACTTACAGTTTCCAGATTTTCCACTAGATACAAGGATATGGGTCTTTTTCCCAATTTTTTCATTTTTAAAGACATGAAAATTTTGCTTGAGAAAACTATCAAAGCATATATGATATCTCATTTAGAGAGTCAATATTTTGTCAATTGTTCAGAAATTGTCAGATTTTCACATTTGTAGGGTCATTTTGATAAAAATTTGAGTTCAAAATTGTCATGTAACTTTGAAGATTGAGGTATTAAATGAAAGTTATTAGTTGGATGCCAGTTCATTTCAATACCAACAATCCTGTATCTCTCTAACTATTAGACCAACAAATTGAATACTAAAGACGAATGTTGGATGAGAAAATGAGTATAATCCGCCAAACATTTTGCATATTAGACTTAACTTCATGATTTCAAGTCAGAAGGGAATAGCTCTAAACTTCATTTTTCTAACAGATGATGGATGTTAGTAACTTTTCTCAACCAAACTGTAGGGGTCCAAGGTACCCCTAATTGGGGAAATAAACCTGAGAGTTAGATGTTTATCCTTTGCGTAGAGGAAGTTTTCCTAACTGTAATCGGTTTCTGGCTAAAATGATGGTGCTGACAGCCCGTCTAACTTTCCCTCATCTCCACGGCTCAAATCAAACCTCTCCAAAGACCGTTTTCATGCTTGTGAAACTCATTGAGTGTAAATGGACGGGAACTACGGCCATGTTGGAAAGTGCAATCATTGAACGATGGATGGCGTTACTAGATCAGTGAACCCTATCAACCCGTGAAATGATCACGCAATGCTCTTCATGTTTATTCTGTTACACCTCGGGGATAGCTGACGGTTGAGTATCTGACTGATATGACATTAATATTCAAATGCCACGGATTGCGTCAGCTTGATTCCTGTCAAATCAGTTTATCATGAACTGTAGAGAGGGGATGAAAATAGAGTGCTGATTGTTGATAAATGCCACTGAAGCTATTGGGAATAGTTGAATTAATTTTTCAATTCTTATTTTGAATTGCTCTTTCCTCTCTTGCTCTTAATAGTTGACATACTCATGAACAAAAGGAAAATATAATGGAAACCATACAATTTTATGTGGAAGTATTGAACAATTCCACACATTAACCCTTCAAATACCCAACACATGGAAAATGGTTGCAATACCAAAAATAAATCATATCCAAGGGGTTCATAAATTGCATACGTTGTAGTTCATTCACGATTAATAACTTTGATCTAAAGATCATACTCTCGACTCAAGTTTTCAACTTTAAAACGTTATGAACAGAATATGAAGAATTGCAATGTCACCTCATAGCAGGCCTTATAAGTATGATTACTCCCCCATTAATCTCTAAATGTTGATTTGTGATTGAGTTATATAGCTCAATGAATATGAACTTGATCCTTTCAATATACATGACTCCAGTATTAATTATCACCAATTCCTATAAATAGACATGTTAGACTGAGATGCCATTAGGTTGGAGTTGATTGAGAGTTGCGTACTCCGGTGGTTTTCCAGCTGGAAATGCTCATTTCCTACCAATCAGCTCCTGACTCCTGTATAATTGGCACTACAGTGCTGCAGGGCTGTGTCTCAATAACATCTCGGTGTACCCTGGCTCGATTAATATACATGCATAAATAGCATTGATTTGTCATTTTTGATAGATATTAACAGATTTTAGTGGAAAATACAGTTCATATTTCACATTTGGGGCAGAATGATTAGAAGGAGGAATATGCTGCGTCTGTAACTGGGAGGTTCCAGGTTTTAAACTAATTTGATAAGGCTTAAATCTTCAATTATAATGTCACTTGTTAAGGATATAGAGCTGTAAGTCCCAAAGCCTACTTGCTTTAATCTACAACTATATATTTGAGCATGGGACATTAACAGAAGTTACAGTATATTTAGTGACCTAGTAGCCACACAAATCATTCCATGCAGTGATCATAATTTCCAACTATATTCTTTCAGCTTCATATGTAACATATCTATTATTATCCTTCAAGTTCCCAACTTAAATTTTTGGTTCATCACTTTATTGATAAGTAAACAATAAAGGGAAACAAGAAAATCACATTTTGACATTTGTAGCAGGGAGACATTAAATAAATGATAGAAATTTTAGTTTTGTGTGTGATTATGATTAACATATATGTTCAGTGTATAGTAACTGATAAAAACATGCTGTAGTATAATTAAAATTGCACTTACAGTTTTGGAACAAAGTCAGAAGAGTTCAGGCAGCTTAACTATTATCAATTCAGTCTGAACATGTCATTGCCACATTAGCGTTTACTCTAGAGAACTACATGTGCAGGAAATTTGATTGAAATGGAATAATATTGAAGGTGAAGTGTTTGATAGTATCCTCCATAAGTTGCGGATTGATAATATTGAGATTGGCCTCGCTGTGTGGGGTCGTAAGAGTTCATATCTTAAATACGAGTTTCCCAATTTCAAGAGGAAAAGTATATTCAAACATTTTCAAGTAGTAGATCATGGGAGAATACGCTTGTATTATGAGAAGGTGCAAACTAGTAACATGTGGATGAAAGTATGCGTTTTTTATGATGGCAGCGCAGACTTGAGAATGATCACAAACATAGTGTAGGGTCATATGAATAAACTTTGTAAAAGTTATCTTAACTTTGAGTAAGAGAAACAGTTTGATAAAGAGTTAAAAAAATAGATGATCCAATGTACTAAATAAAAATCTTATGCATATATAACTGGGATTTCGGAATCAGCTAATTGTAAACAAATTTTAACACCAACATAATTATACAGTCTATATGGACAGCATTCTTGTACATGTACTTGTAAGTACCAATCTTTTTTCCCTTCTTGTTCCACCATTACCAATATTTTGTCATTCTACTATTTCTCTGCATTTAAACTCATCCCATCAACTTCATTCAGCAGACATGATTTATTTGTAGGTTTTAGTGCTCAGTGCAAATCCCTCTTGATACTGTAACAATTTTACTTTTCATCATAATACCAGAAGCAAAGAATATTAACCTTTTAGTCTTCGTCGTCATGTTGGTAATTGTTTTCTGTGGAGGGAAATGAATCTTCATTTGCAGGTCGACAGAAACTTGATTTGTTGGGAAGTTGTTCATTTCAGGCTTGATTTGCAGACGAATCTCGGATTAATATGATTCTCTTTTACGCAACATCCAAAAGTTGACGGTTGAGGATGCGCAACTTATCGGAGGTGTGAATGGACGTGCGTTAATTCATGCTTTAGGGTAGCAGTGGAAATGGTGGTTGATCAGAGGTTTGATAGAGGTTGAGGGAAATTTAATGGCTTCACAAGCTTTTTGGGGAAAAATATTCATGGAAGGTTTCCTTAAGGTTAGGTTTAAACCATAGCCTACTGGAAACCTTGTGGTTCCTGTACTAAGCATAGTGATCACAGAATTCAGTAGTCAATAGGTAGCTTATATCATCGGTAGTCAGGATTGACAGTTGTAAGGTCTTTATGATTGTGCCCTGTATTTAGATTTACCGGTAGCACTGTTTGGGTCCAGAGTTATAACTTGGTGACCCATGTGATCCAGACTGCTCATGAGCACAGTCATACACTGTAAAAACAGAATTTCTAAAAACTTAACTCTAACAAGCAAACACAAAATTCTTCTGTTCTTTCACAGTATCAGTTCTTTAAATGAATTGATATGCATATTTCCCCACTTTTACTCAACCCAAATCCACCATTTTGAAGAAAATTTCTCTTTTCTGTATTTTCATATGCAAAACATTATGTTTACTGGGCTTGCACAATGTCAAACAAATGTTTGAAGTTGTGTGAACAGTCCAATTAGTTAGCCACCTTGAACTTGTTTTACATATACAGTAGGGATGCAGACCCTTCCCACGAGCATCATGATCCTTGGTCATGCGAAGACGGATTTAGAAGAAAGATACTTTTCTATTTTTTGCCACTGAAAACCTAGACACGGGATTCAGTAACCAACTGGGATTTGACCAAGTCACACGGCAGATCAGAATGTTGAATTTAGATTTTTGTTTTTTACTTGTGACAAACTGTGAAAATTAGATTAGAGCTAATCACGTTTATGTGAAACCAACTGTGGATATTAGGTTAGTTCTAATAAAGTGTTTGCGTTACCAACTTGGAAAATTAGGTTAAGTTTGAGGAAAGGTCTACCAAGAAATCAGCTATCAGTAGATGACTTTATAATGGTGGGTGATAATACCATTATTTTGGTTCCATCCACAAATACTACTTGTGTGGTGCTATTATTATCTTGCAACTTGGATAAGTTTCAAAATATGTCCAAGAAAATGTGGCCCTTTTGATTTGAGTTGACTTCCTGAACATATGTTGAGACAAAAGTTAGGACATGTGTGAATTGTTAGGGAAGATTTCTGGAAGTGGAAGCTTTATAGAAGGGAGATGATTATTTATGAATTGAATGGGTGGATGCTATGTTTATCTTAATCAAGGATAATTATTTGGAAAGATAAATCAAGGAAACAGTCGGAAATAAAGAAGGCAAGAAATTATTAGATAGAAAGTGTCACTACCTCTAAAACAGTGTCAGGAAATGTCCTCTTTATATGCAAAATCAACAGTTGAAACTGCTATCAGTAGTTAACAACAGAAAAAAACAGAAGAAATTTTGTTTACTCCCTCCATCTGTCTGGCAGCCTTCAGATGTTGACAATCATGAAACACCCTCTCTCTCCCCCTCCCCTCCCACGAGACCCCTCCCCCTGTTCCCCTTCCCCCACCTCCTCCCTACTCCTCTTTGATCTGGCGTACCGGAAGGTGGGAGGACCCGGAATTGACACGCTCCTTGCGAATCAACGACGTAATTTCAGTCTGTGTTGATTGAGAAATCCTCCGCCGTGATTCACTGTGTAAACAGGAAGGACTTGACCGCATCTCAACGCGGTCATGTGCGCAAGAAACTTTAATATAAACAATGAGAGGTATCTGGAAGGCACAGAGTAACATCATTGAAGTTTGATTTTATTAGGAAGCTTAGCATTACTTACTCTTTTGACTTGTACTGCAGTATCTTTAAATTAATAGGAGATGGGGACAAAGAACTCAATTTTGTACATAGAGATTGCTGATGGGCATACATGTATGTGTACATGTACAAACTGCACATAGCTCTATTGTAATTGTTTTGCTATTAAACTATTAAACTTTTTTTAACAACATGTAAATTTGTGAGTTTTCTGTTTGGTTGACTTTTAATTAGAACATTCTCATTTTGCATTCAAGTATTCTTTACCGTATTAAATTAATTTTATCCCATGTTGAATTTCTTTTGATAAACTTTGTGATACTCATCCCCCCCAAAAAAAAAAACAGCAAAAAGAGGGATACATTTTGTAACAGTGAGTTACAGATTTGACTTTCATGGAGGATATCAATTGTAGCACTAACCAACAACTGCAGGATATTTTGGAGTATGTGACACATTGTTGAATTATCAAGTGTCAGTTTGAATTTGAAATTTCAATCGCTTTGATGGAGACAGCTCATTGCCAGTTTTGATTTCCTTTGTCCTTGTCTCTGTCTCTCTCATTTTTCCTATGTATTCCTCTTTCTCTCTCTCTCTCTCTCTCTCTCTCTCTGTTTGTTCCTCTGTTTTCTGATGTCTTTTTTTTTGGTCCTTTGATAACTTTCTGTCACACAAATACATGTGTATATATATATATATATATATATATATATATATATATATATATATATATATATACTATATATATATATATATATACTATATATAAATGTTATAAAAGTGTGTGTGGATATTATTTAATCTCACACATATCTTGTTGAAAATGGAATAGTTGTAAATATCTGCTGAGGGTTCGAAGAGTTTTAAGTCATATACTTATGTAACACAGATTTGCTGCCCTTCATGCTTCAAACAGACAAATTATTGTGGTCTTACATGATAGCATCTTCTTTCAAAGCTCATTTGTACCTGTTGCACCATGCATTGTTTGTATTTATATATGAATTTAATTGTTTATAATGAATCTTATTCTTTGGTATATTTGCAGGCGGTGTTCTCGAGGGATGCTCTTGCCAAGCACATCTATTCTCAGCTCTTCACATGGATTGTGGAACAGATCAACAAAGCCATGGACACACAGGCCAAGACAACCAACTTCATCGGTGTACTAGACATCTACGGGTATGGACTAATTATTCCAGTGCTACAAAGTTTTAGGCGATCTGTACAATGCCCCTTTTAGAGTATGGTACACTAAACTTTACGTAAGGGGGCCATTAGGAAGATGCTGTCAAAAATGAAGATCATACCATATCTCTTTGATAGAATTCTTGGTAAAATTTTGAGGTCATTCTGACTTTGCTCTTAAACCTGTGTTCCTGTTGCCCTGATTAAGTTGCTGAGCGGAGTCATAAAGATTGAATTCTAGTAATGATGGGAAATAAAATCTCCTAGATTCAAATGAAACTTACACTTGCTGTTCAAGATAACAAAAAAAAATTTTTTAAATACAGACAATATATATATATATATATATATATATAAAAAATTATATATATAAAAAAATTATATATAATAGCTGAAAAATGATTTCAGGAAGAGAAAGAAACCAAACTAGTAGTACTTGTGGTCTCTGTGTGCACAGGGGAGATGAGTTTTTCGGTTAATGTGATTATCACAGAGTTCATGTCCTTTTGCAGACCCAAGCAGCTTATCTATTGCACTATAAACTTCTCTGAGTTACTTAGAGCTGGTTTCTTTCTTTGTGAAAATTTATTACCAGGACACAAAATTTGCTTTAAATGATAAGGAATTTGCATAGAGAACCACACTGTCCTACATGTACTTCATAGCAGATGAAATACATGTAGTTCTTTGCATTTTATAGCAAAAGTAAAGTAGCTGCACAATTTTGATATGAGCACTATATTGGATGTAAATAAGGCCTACTCTGATTTGAAGGCTTATGGATTGAAACGTTGAAGGACACAGAGGGGATGCAATGTTTTTAGTTGAAGACAAGGGGGTCAGGAAGATGCCACACCTTAATAAGTCTTTTCTCAGGAAGAGGGCCAGCAGAGAGGAGAAGTAGAAAATAGAAATGGGATGTAAAAAAGGCCTGCCATTACCCCGAGAGACATGGTCAAAACAAACGACAGGAGCTAATAAAATCTGCAGCTGTGTAAAACTAGGTTACCTAATCGAGACAGTTGGACATTTTGTAGAGTTATCAAAACATGTTTTTATGATTAAAACTGAGTGAAAATAGGCTGTCAGCCTTAAATTGTTTGCTTGAAATCTCATTGATGCTTCCTAATGTCCCGCTCTGAGCTCAGTCAGTAAGGATTTTCTGTATAATCTTGTTATTGCTTTCTGTGTGAAAGTTTTAGCAATCCATATTTATAAATTCTTATCCTATTGTATGTTACAGTAACATATAGTTTACTAAACATGCCGGTATCTTGTAAACTCCCAATGTACTTTTAGGTAATAAATACCTGTTTTAAACTGTTCACAACAATTTCATAAACTATTCGAGGTCCAAAATTTAGATAAGTCATATGAAATCAGACTTTTACAATAATTGATCTGAAGTAAAATCCAAATTATATACAGTTTTACAAGATCAGAGTTTAAAAGATTTATTGAGCTGTCAATTGCTTATAAAATTCTCTTTGCTTGGTTCTAAATGTGAACATTCATCAGGTTTAGTTTGATTTACCAGATATGAATTCTTTTTATCTATTTGATTTGTTTCAATATTTTTGTTTCAGGTTTGAAATGTTTGAGATCAACAGCTTTGAACAGTTCTGCATTAACTATGCCAATGAGAAGTTGCAACAACAATTCACACAGGTAAGTAATTTAGTCAGTTGTGGAGCTAGGTCATGACACTCTAAAACTCAATCTCCCACCTTTCAATAAAAGAAACATAATAAAATCAAAAATCAGGATGATGAGTACTTTCAGCTACAGGCTTGATGTTATGACTGCCAGATGCTCAGTGCAAGGGTTGCTTGCCATGCAAAGTAGGAATAGACTATTTATAGACAAGGATGAACAAAGTTTGACTCAAGGGGGAGCTATTGCAATTTCAGGATACTAGCAGTATGCATGACTTGGTGAATTTCTTCAGAACTAAATGTTTCAGGGTTTTTTCAATTAAAAAGAAATTATTCAATAGGATAGTGAATGGAATGAAACTAGGGTTCAGTGAGAGTGCATTTTCTTTTTATATTCACATGTTTTTATCTTTGAGCATTAGATATAATTGTAAACAAGCTTAAGAATCTGTCTGTAAATTTTCCATTATAAGATGAGAAAGATGATTCATGAAATTCTTTTTTTTTTTTAGTGTGTATGAAAATTGGTAATACTTTTACACATTGTAGTATACCTAACCTTAGGAATAAACAAATTTTCTACACAGAACTAAATAAATTACTTGTGAGTATTATAAGATGCAGTTGTTTGAGGGGTTGGGCTCGACTAGCACATGTGCTATTATCTGGCCCCTTTTACCAACCAAGAGTTTGTCTTCTTGTTTATGTTAACACATTTTATGAAATGTATTACTGTATTGCAGTTGATAGATCAAATCAAATCAAATCAAAATCAAATCATTAAATATATCAGACCATTCAGTAATCAATAAATCAATATAATTTTCCAATTTTTTTTCTTCACAGCATGTATTCAAGCTGGAGCAAGAGGAGTATGTGAAGGAGCAGATTGAGTGGTCATTCATTGATTACTATGACAACCAGCCTTGTATTGATATGATTGAGAGCAAGCTAGGTATCTTAGATCTCCTGGATGAGGAATGTATGGTAAGTTCTCATATTTTTTTTAAAATATGTATTTGTCTCATTTCATACGGAATACATTTAGAGGAGTCCATTAGTGAATAGAAGGATTTGTAATGTACAAAAAGGTTAAATCATCAAGGCCCTTTTTTCTATTTCAGGGGAAACACTAACTTCCATTGATAATGCATACAATATTTTCTTCTGAATATAGATTTTGATATTTTGTGAAGATTTTCAGTTTTACTGTTGTAAAGTGCTTGGGGACTTGCTTTAAAAGTGACTTTCTTTGAAGATATACCTGTAGATATATATGACATTTGTATCTTTGTAAAATAATGTGAGATCTACCTTAGAAATGCACTGTATGTTGGGTGTTGTTTTCTATTTATATCATTGTTATTGCAGACTTTCTGATATACAAGATGAGGAGGATTTATCCATCTATTCCTGTTTTGCTATTCCTATTCTATGTTCATGTAAATTACTTAGAAATACAACTGTTTTACAAATTGCAAATATTGTTTCCCTCTATTACAGCTCCCCAAGGGATCTGATGAGAACTGGTGTAACAAACTCTACAACAAGCTCACAGCACACGGTCACTTCTCCAAGCCCAGGACCTCTCGTACAGCGTTCCTGGTCCATCACTTTGCTGATAAGGTGGAGTACGAGTCTGAAGGATTCGTACAGAAGAACCGCGACCAGGTCAATGATGAGCATCTCAACATCCTCATGGCTAGTCAGGTAAACCTAGAAAGGCTTTTTACATTTGTTATTTCATCTGCATATATGAACCTCTTCACATAAATTTAAATTATTTGTATGTGCCTTGAGCATCTCTAGAGATATGGATATGTAGCGCTTTATCAATATTGTTATTATTATTATTATAATCCATTGCCCATAGAGGTGAGGAGATAGAAGAGACTATTCTGTTGTGATATTTTTTTTCCTGTTGAAATTGAATAATTGTTCTCTACACCATCTTTATTTTCAGATTTTGTAAGTGGTACATTTTCTTAAGAATCTTTATGAAAGTATTTGGATTCATGTATGTATTTGGATAAAGGCACCTAAGAAATCTATTCTTTAAATGGGAGTTATGAAGTAAAAGCAAATAATGATGCATTAAAGTATTACTTTTATCATGTATGATGTGGATTATCATTTTGATACATATACTGGTAGGCTTTTAGTTTTCTTTCTTTTTCTTAACATAACCTCATTTTCATTTTCTCCCTTTCATTGGTGAATGGTAGTATGAGTTTGTGGCAGAACTGTTCCGTCCCAAACCAGAAGCGCCTAAACATAATCACAAAAGAGGTAGCGTCAAACCAATGGTAGCACCGGTCAGCCGTACCAAGACATTCAAGAGATCTGTAGGGAGTCAGGTAAGGAGGAAAGGAGGAGTGATGATGATGATGATGGTGATGATGGTGATGATTGTGATAAGGGTGATGATGGTAATGATGGTGATGGTGATGATGATGATGACGATGTTGGTAATGATGATGGTGATGATGATGATGATGATGGTGATGGTGATGGTGATGGTGATGGTGATGGTGATGGTGATGGTGATGGTGATGGTGATGGTGATGGTGATGGTGGTGGTGGTGGTGGTGGCAGTGGTAGTGTCGATGATGCTGATGATGTCATTATTGATGGTGCTGTTTGTACTAGTGTAATCCAGTTGGTTTTTATAATTCTAGTGTGTGAGTTTGCATACACAATAAACATGATATAATTAATGAGTAAGAATGTGCAATTTTGTCCTTGATATAAGAATAAGAGTCATTCCACTTGATTTTTCACTTCTCATATCTTTCTTGTCCTTTGAAAGTCATGTAGAAGTACATGTATATACATGTATCTACTGTGAAACTGATGTTATTTGTAATGCTTCTTTTTTAGATGCTTGCAAGTAAACTCATTCTTCATTATAACATCTGGTAAAAAGCTAATAATTGTTGTGGCTCTACCTGAGTGCATTTATACGTGATCAATTCCCCAGGTTTGTAGATAATGTAATTAACTGATAAACTTTGATTCTTCACAGTTCCGTGACTCTCTGACGTACCTGATGATGAAGCTGAACTCAACTACTCCACATTACGTCCGCTGTATCAAGCCTAATGACTACAAGCTGCCTTTCACGTAAGAAATCATCTTTTATCTTCTCTTGTTTCATAAAATGATCCTCCAGCACTAGCAAAGAAGATGCTAAAGGCTATGAATTACAGCTCTCTTGTACCAGACTGTGTATACATGCAATTCTTGTCCTTCCATTGCATCTGGGATACATGTCTTAACCCAACTCCAATATTTTCTCAGCTGTTAGGGGCATTTTAACTGTCAAAACTTGTCTCAGAAACTACACTGCATAATCATTGATCAATATTCTGCAGTATGGTCATATGGAAGATTCTTTTGAGTTCTTCTTGTGTAAAAATAGGATGTAGATGATTCACAATGCATTGTACCATAATTTTTCAGGTGCTAAACTGTTTTGCTGCACCTTTATCTATAATTCCTTTGGTTGAAGGCTACCCTAGGCTAGGGAAGCCATTACTAAAACCAACTCTGACAAGGCCTTTGCCAACCGTAAACCAGGTTGACTCAGGAAAGCATGATGGTGACGTACTAGCATGTTGAGGAAGCCTTAGGGTATCGTCAGTTAGTGTGCTGTGTCGCGTAGTAAGACCCTTCAAGCATCGATTCTCTTTGTTTTCATGAGAAATAGCCTTGGTTTGCCCTCTGATTGGAGTAGGATGTCGTGCTGGAAATGGCGGTTCCAATCCAATCATAGGAATCCAGAAATAGGAACTATTGCGATATGCATCATTGTTGCCCTTTGGACATGGCCAAAATCATATTCAGCAGAATTTTAGGAGAAAGAACATTAAAGAGACCTTTACATAAGTATCTTTGCCAATCATATGAAGCTTCTTAGTATGTGTATCATGACATACCAGGGACTTATAATTGGTTTCATTAGAATCAGTGTAAGCTTAGAGATTAGTGAACTGTCTTCAGATTTTGTTTTTTATTTCTGTTCTAAGTTACATTATTTTATCTGATACACATAGGCCAACATGTAGATGTAGGTTCTCTTATCTTCTTTTGTAAGAGTAGAATAGAAATGATTGTCTCGTTTGATCATTGCTTCCATGTATAAGTGTATGATTCTGGATAAAACAAATTATTTCATGTAAACCTTTTTGGTTCAATTCCTGTACTGAACTTCTCAGATTTACAATTCATACACAATCCAATTATATCAGAGTATTGCTAACAGTCACATGTTGAAGTCTCATCGTAGAAACATTACTGAAGCCATTTTCTGAGATTTATCATACAGATACAGCTCTGAAAGCCTCAAGGCTGTATCAAGCATGTTACAGATCAAAATCTGCAAACCCAAATTAGCTCCGAACTTCCACCAATCGAAAATCAGCAAATGGTGGAATTTTTGACAAACTTGGAGACTTTCTCCCACTGGTCAGGAAGTTTGAAACCATGAATGATTCCCCACTTCCCTGCCTTGACCGCATTCCTACATGTATGTTTGCGCTCAGTCGTGTCGCCTGGTGGATTATGTTTGGCGTTACCGTGGTAACAGTCATGTATGTAAGCACGAAGGCCATGCTCTCTTGATTGCTGATGAGCGAGTCCCTAGATGAGAGAGTAAAACATGGAGCGTGGTGCAACATTTGTACACCATGTAGCTTTCTTTATTCTGTGTAAAAAGTAGAAATACAATTAGTTGTAGTCTGGGATAACATGTTTTATTAATCCTGAAACTGACATCATGTAGCATCATAAAAGTAATGTGACACTAATGGGAGGAGGAGGAGGGGGGGGGGAGGGGGGGGGTGAAGGGAAAGTTAAATGTTATACAGAACATGAATAGAGAAAAAAATTCTCTGAATTCAATAATATCAACTATTAAATATGTTAAAGTATTCATTCTTCAATGTGTAACTTGCTTTGGAATTTTTTTTTTTTAAGAATTAAAATTAATATACCTACACATGCTCTAATATTAAGAAATATAATTGAAAAGAAAAAAAAATATTCAGGAAGATGTCAAGTTCTTCTATCCATTACCGCCTTTGGGAAATAAGTATTTCCAATAACAATAGAATACAAAACATCTCGTTTTTGCCTTCTGTGTGCATCTTTCAAAATCTCTTATTATTACTCACCCAAAAAGTAAACTCCCAAGAGCCCTCTTGAGCTTTCACAAACTCAAAACTTGCTTACTAATCAAATAAAAACAATTATGTAGTTTATATTAAATGTGTGATAAGTGATATAGATTAGTGATAGTGGTCATTGAAAGATAAGGCTAAGCAAAATTAAGTATATTATTTGCTTTTTTCAAATCTGCACCAATAGTTTTGATGCTTGATTCATTTCCTTTCGATAGTGCATCAAGGAAATAGATTAATAATGACTTCCCTTATCTTCCATTAAAACTCCTACAAACCTATATTTAGGAATCAAGTTTTGTAATTTCCAAAGGCATGCAATTATGTTTTGATGGGTGCATATCAGAAGATGATATGAGGTTGCGATGGTGCATTTAAGTAGTTTTGTTGATCAGATACAGTGATAAGGACTTGTAAGGTGACTCAGGCTTTGACATCAACCCTAGAATTTGGTGGTTTAGGAAATATTCAATTTGACAAACCGCTCTTCAAAGTACAAGATATTGCTTTTTCCAAGGCCAGGCAGATGACATTTCTAGATGTGTATCTCGGATAGGAAGCCAAGTAGGTGGGGCTTCTACTCTCATTTTCTGATCTTTTTATAGGTTGAATGTTTTGCCATTTGATCTTTATGCAGCCTTGTTATTGAATAAAAGTGGGCAATGGGCTTCTTTATTTTTGAAGAATTCACATGTCCTCTTGATTTTACAATGGTTTATTTCATTCCTCAACCATCAATCATCTCCATGCACCCAACATGCATTTCACAAAATTAGTTTATTTTCTCTCTTACCCTCTGCCATCTTCCACAGAGAAAATAACAAAACAATTCCCCAAAGCCATCTTAAAACATGCACACTTAATCTTGATTTGAAAAGTGACACTTCCTTCATAATGCTGAAGAGGAAGAGGAAGAAGACACTTCACATTATTGTTCTATCCTTGCTGTTAGTAAGTGATCAATTAATAGCAAAACACTTGAATGTGAGGTCCTTTTGATAGTCAGAGATGATTTAACCAAGGCAAACTACAATCAACTTTTTGAATGATCTCTCTCAAATACTTGTTTTAAGTATCCATATGTATCCTCATTTCAGGTTCTCATGGGCATTTAAAAACCTTGCTACTTTCTCAAATTCTCAGTATTCTTGTTAAATTCACAAGTATGCCATCATACAGTACTATCATCTATGCCAAAATACAACTTTGTTTTCCTTTTAGTGTACGCATTATACTACTTGAACTGAAGTTTTTGTTTGTATCGTCGAGTAAGTGTTTAAATACTGGTAATTATAAAAGCAATCATAAATGATGCAAATTGATAAAAGAAATTTCCAAAGAATCTATATTACTTTGGTCCAGTTAATTGATACAACCAATTTCCAAGTGCCATATTTGCCATCCAAGACAGATGCGGGACGGAGATTGTTGGATAAGGGCTGAAAATCTAATTTTGCCAATCTCTGTCATCCAGTAAGTCTCTTGTGGCTTTTCTTAATTTTTCTAATACGAGCACCAAGTGATGAAGTCTATATTTATCATCTCAGAGTGATTCTTCAAAATATAAAAAAGAAAGACAGAAATTTTAATAACCTTGCCCTTTTCATCAGTAGAATTCTAACACGAAATGGAAGAAGTCCAAGTTACAAATCAATTTTGTCGTGCGATAGCTTGTTGTCAATTCAAATTAAAAAATGCAAACATTCTCAACAGATTTGGACATGCATGTGGACCTTATAGAAGGAAATTGAATCTGTAAACTCCATGTTGTATCAGTGTGGTTTAAAAAAGCCCATGAATTGATTTAGAAGTTGCTAGGCATTGAGAGTACTAGCTCTGCAAATTTATTCAAAAGTTCAAATGAAGCATATTATTTCAAGTCAATAACCATATTAACTCAAGTCAATAACCACAAGAATTTTTGTTAATTGCTTGTACATGGAGCACATGTTTCTCATAAGAGAGAAATGATGACATGATACTTTTCATGAACACAAACATTTTCTTTAGTTTCAGTTTTCACTGATTCATACACAGAAGGAATTTTTGCATGTATGGGTCATTCTCACATAGAAGGATATAGTGGGGGACGGGGTATCACTGAATCAGAGTAAGCCACTATGAGGTTTCAGCTGTATGAAGTTTCCAGCTGTATTTGTCTTTGTTTAAAGTAGTTACATTCATTTTGTGTACTTTTAGGGAATATTAACTTCTGTAAAAATGAGTGGAGGTGGAATACATTCTATCAGAGTTGGTTACTGTAACAACACAGACCTTACCGGTAGTTATGGTAAGAGAAAACATCACTGTCTCAGCTTTTGTCACTTTATAGTTACACTTTTGTTTTCAATTATCCTGTAAGCATTTGACAAGGTGATGACTAGATTTTAAGTCTTTCCTGTCATTTCATTTAATTGCTTAAACTGGGGTACAGAAGTCATTTCTCTATCTCATGTATGCAATCGCCTTCCCTGATTTGAATTTTTTTCATTTGAACTTAATTTCCCACATTGACAAGTGGAATAATGATGATGGCTTCAAGCCTACCTGTCAGAGGCTTCCCAACTCCCAGCAGGTATTGATAGGACATAGGGAGTGATAACGAGCCGATAGGATGCTCACGATTAGGCCAACCAGGAGCAGGAAACTCTGCGGCTCTACAAGGAACGCGAGTAGCTATCACCAAGCACTTCCTGCGTCGCCCATTTTCAATCATATTTATAATAGAATTTCTTTCATCTAGACTATTTTCATGAGGATGGACTTGTAGTTTGAACTTTGGAGGTAGACACTGAAGCTGAATGTTTCATCCTCTATCTTTTGCTTATTAGTGCTCTAAGTGATCTCTGTGTAAGGTTGGAGTCGCTTCAGTTGGCCAGAATCATACTTAACAATTAGATTCTAGTTGTTAATTGTTAGGTGCTTTTGTGTTTTAAGGGATATCAAGCCTTACATTATATCTTTGTGAAGTGGGAATTGTTTCAGTCAGCTACCTTCATACCAAACAAGCTATTTCAAAAAGATTGTTGTGAGGTGCATTTGTGTTTCAATGGATTATCCAGTCTTTACTTCATATCTTGGTAATATTGGATTTGCTTCACTCACCCAGAATCATACCAAGCAAACATGATTTAGATGTTTATTGCCAGGTGCATTTTTGTTGAAAAGGATATCCAGCTTTTTAATGACAGGAAAATATAATTCTCACAGGAAGAGAGTAATGTTGTATTTGAGATGCAGTTTGTGGATTATACATGTATTTTTTGGTTCTCTTTCATCAGATAACTCCTATTAATTTGCCTTTAATTGAAGAGGATGATACTGGTTTGTTATCTTTTGAATATGATGAAAAGTTGTGAAAGAAATAGGGAGTCAATTAACCTTGGATTCTGATTAATATCAGTCATTGATTCATTTTTCTTGTGGAAAATAAGTTGGATTAGTAAGAAATTATCAGTGATTGCGTGATACGATAGTGAATTCCTGGAGACTGGACAGCTGCATGGAGCTCTTGAGTCAGCTTGGAGGTTATTAAAAGGGAGGAGTGTATTTTTGGAACCATCTTGTTTAACTAACTGCATCCATCTTTAAATATCAGGGTTCAACCGGTGCATAAAAACCTGGTCAAAATTTCAAAGTAGACATTCTTCATCAGTTGACCCCAGAAAGTCTAGTCATTGCTTAGTTTGTGATGTTTTGGATTGTACTTTCACCAAGTTTGTGCAAAGTTTCTGTGGTTCCTCTGGAGATATGTGGTAGCAAGCTTGAGTCAGTTTTGTTGGGAGATCATCTTCAAGGCCCTTAGAACCAAATGGGACTTATATGATTGTATAGGCATCACTGGATTACTTGGGATTCATGTTGATCTGAATAGGAGTGAAACTGAGTTTTGAACACCTTTCATTGCATTTATATGATGAGCTGATAATGTGAGATCATTGGTCTGTTGCTTGAATCACATATGAATGAAATATGAAGATGAAGGAAAGAGGATTTTTCTTTTGCATTAAGTGATGTGGGATTGTTAGTTGTGGATTCCCAAAAGTGTTCAAGCGTAGCTCAAGGATTTCATGTAGCTCATAGGATCTTTTTTTTTTTTTTAAACACTTGATACAACATTTTCTTAGAATTTCAAGAATCGACCATCTCTGATAAATAATTCAGTTATTCATATTAACTTGCCTTACCTTTACATTTCAGTCATAGTTGAGATTTGTGTAACTATAGCACTTCGAGTGCACTGCAATTGAGATCTCCAAATAGACAATTTTTCTGTCTTGGTTAGGAGAGCGGCCTCTATGAGGAAAAATCCCAACTACACCTGTTGATAACTCATTAGTCAGAGGTCTTAAAAGCGGCTGTCTGAAACAAGTGTGGGCATTCCTGCTATTCTGTATTATGGTTGAAAATATTCTTGTGTCAAAGCTGAGCGATTTTGTTGACAGTAGCTTGGAGGTTGGTAGGGGTTTCATGAAGAAGTAACATAAATTTCTGGACTCAGATTAACGAAGATGTGATCCCTTAAATGTAGATTGAGTAGTGAAAAATGTTTTCTATTTGACTAAATTTGAAAAGTTGACTTAAAGAATTTTTCCACTCTGTTTGTGAAAATGTTCAGGGATTCAAATGAGGCCTGCCAATTGTAGAGTCTGTTTGATATTACTTTTCACATTTACCCGGTAAGTTGTTTTCTAGAAAGAATCCTTGAAAATTTGTCAAGTTTGAGGAATAAACCTCCCCGGTTTGTTTTCTTGTCAACAGTTTATACTTCAAGGTATCTGATCTATCAACGACTAAGGCAAAACACAAAAGGATAATTTCAAAACAATAGGAAAGGCAGGGTCATCGCAGGTTAGGTAGTTTCTCCCGAGTCCTCACAGTCATTAGGGTATCATTCTTGGTATCAGCAAATCACTTTGGTCCCTGGAAGCACGCCCCAACACCTGGTTGTCTTGCACAACCCTGTGGATGATCTACGTGATCACCTGTCAACGGTTCAGGGGTAGACGCTTCTCCAAGTCTTGCATGTTAGGGTGACTCATGCCGTCTTTGGCTTTTGGAAGGTTGTGGATCACTTGAAGCCTGTGTGGTTCTTTGGTCTTGTGTCAACATGGGTGGATTTTAATCTCACTTTTGACAGACTTGTACTCGGTGAGGAATCACTGGTGAAATATGATTTTTTAAATTATTTTTTTTAAAGGTGTTCAGATCTAATGTCAGAATACTTTAGAGGGTTTAATGACTTTGGTCCTGTGTCAACATGGAGAGATTTTGATTTCACTTTTAAAAGATCTGTGCTTGCATGGAATCAGTGATGATTTTTATTTCCTTTGGAAGGTGTACAGATGTGATGTCAGAATGGCTTTGAAGATTTAGTGACTGAATTTACGGATGTCTATGCTCGAACTGTGATACTCATTTTTCTGATTATTTGAAGTCTGATTGGAGGTGTACCTGGTTCAATATAACAAAGGAATTTTATGACTATATGATACCCCAAGGATAGCCATCATTGGAATAGGAGTACAAGATGAGCAGGCGAAGGTAATGTCTCCAAGAACACTGGTATCTTTGTTGCCAATTTGGAATTTTAATTTGCTTGGAGTTTTGATGCATGTTCATCACAATCTTTGTTTATGGGATAAAGGTAGATACAATCAATGATATCAGAAAGCAATATTTGTACATATTTTGCTTTTGGCAATGATCCGCATACAATTAGATCAGAGGTATTGTGAATAATTGTAGGCTTACCTTGATTAGCTGTGACTCATGTTTGTGGTCTATAGTAAATTGATAAAAACTTATATTGGATGTATCACTTTCTACAGGATAGTGTAAATAACCTTTTTTTAATATCTTGAAATTGCAAATATATATGCAGGTACATGTACACTGCGCACTCATTGTGAACATGCTATATGTAATATGCACTGACAGAATTGGAACTTCCATTCAAAAGGGCATAGTAGCATGTTAAAAAAGATAAAATGAGCTTTCTGTTAACATCTGTGTACCATATGGAGAAGCAAGTATACATGTACTCAGGGGGGTGTTATAATTTAGATTGACCTATGAGCAAGTTTGGCAAATGAAGCTTGTATCAGAGGTGGCTGTACAACTCACGCTCTGGTGTAATTCACTCTGCAGTAATTTTCCTACATTAACCGAAGTCTCAACTTCAACCCTGAGCCAAATAGTAAACTAACCCTAACCCTATTTGTACGTTTCTGACAAAATAGAGCCCAGAGCAATTGTCACTGAGGCAAATGTCGGATCACAGTCAAACCTATGTCTACTTTGTGTTAGATGGAATAAATCATAGTTTATTCATCTGATCCTTTACCTTTGTATTTTGATTTTGTACAGATTTGAACCTAAGAGGGCGGTGGAGCAGCTGAGAGCATGCGGAGTTCTGGAGACGATCCGTATCAGTGCTGCGGGATATCCATCAAGGTATGTAACTTTATCAATTCTTCAAAATCGCTTCTCTCTTTGTTTTTATCCACAGATTGCTATTGGTATATATTCTAGTGATTCCATACAAGATGTCCAATATGACATAATCTCTTTCATCCAAAAATGAAAACTCTTGAGATACTTTGTAATCATTAAATAGTGTTTGCGATACCAGAAACAAGCATTAGTTATCATATTAAGTGATTTTAATTATTGTTTGAAATCAATTTATAACATCTTTATGTGATACAGGACACATTGCATGGAATCTACCATTTTTAGAAAGGATTGAAGTGTGTATTCTGCCAAATTCTTAGTCTTCTAAAAATACAAAGTGGTATCAATTGAATTAGATGTGGTGCAATGCCGGTATAAGAGCTAATTATGGTACAAACAAGTAAAAGTATGTATACCGGTATGTTGTGCAGAGCACGTTACCTTTCCTGTCTCAGGTATTAGGCGAGACCTCCCCTGATGCCCGACATGTATACTAATTAAGCTAACCTAGTGATACAATAATTACTCTTAAGTTATTTTAATGACCTGACATTCTGCTGTTTCATGTAAAATCATTTCAAACCTCGAGACCTTTGACTCACTAATATATCTAATGAATTGGATAGTAGGTAATCAGTGCTTGAACTTTCCAGAGGTCAATCTGTACTTTATCCCTTGCATAATTTGCATAGTTCTTTGCACTCAAACGCACGCCTCCAACTCATTCAGATCAGTTCATCACTATACGCAATCCTTTTATTGCAACTAATCTGTTTTAGTATTCCTCAAGGAAATATTTACCTAAGTCATAGTCCCACATTTGTAAGTGGTCTATATTGGACCAATAGGAACTAGATCTTTATATGGATGAACACAGTGGCTGTTGAATCAGCCTTGGGTGACAAAGGACTCGTGTTTTTCATTCCCTTTGGCAATCTCAATCATGACCAGTGCCAAGGAATCTTGATGCCCACTCATTGCATTGATCATTCGTATTTGTTTTATTTTACGTCATAAAACATTTTGAAGGATATTGGTAGGTCATGATTTGGTTATTAGATTGCCAAGATCAAGTAAAGAAATTGGCTGAAAGCCATCGGTGTTAGTACACTTGCAATTGCCAAAGAAGGTGATCAGCTTTGTAGATTTAATACTCGAGAGTTGACTTGATTATCATGAGATGCTATCATGCTAGAGATTTTAAGATTTAGTCATTCAGGCAAGTTAAGTTACTTAATCAAGTAACTAGGAGCTTACGCCAGGGGAAATTAGTACAAACATGCATGTTGTATATGATGAATAAAAAGTTGAGAAAATGAACAGAGGCCATACCTCTTATGAAGATTACTGGTGACTATTTCTGGTAAATTCCCGTCTGCGTTTAATTGAACCTTGAAGTAAAACAAAAAGAATTTGTTGTTGTCCCTGTTTTTGGTTATGAGGCATATTTTTGTATTCTGTTCATTTCTTTATTTGGAAAATATATTCATATACACCCATTTTACCATATCACACACAATTATGAATAATAAATAAGCCTCATGATTACTTGAATTTTTAGAAGAAATTTGGATCTGCTTGGCTTTGTATGTTTAGGATTTTATCTCAATTTAAGGGCTCACAAAAAGATATTGGGACCAAGCACATCAGGCATCAGATATATAGGGAAAAGACAGGAGTGATCAGTGTTGCAATGTTGTTGTAGCTTCTCTTAAGAGTTGACAGGATCGACAGGGTATTGCTAGAACGATGATTCATATTACATCACAAGGGAGGGAGAGAGAGGGGAGAAGTGACTGACACAGTTGACCGTATCCATTCTTGATTCCCCTCATGACTTAAAATCACAGCAAGTCCTTCACACTTCATCTTAGCCTGTCGTAGATCTTCAATATTTCCCCCAAACAACCTATATTGACTCCATGGTCATACATCTTTTAACAAATGCATCACACCTCCCTCCTTTTATCCCCTTATTGGGCCAATATTCTGGTGAAGAGTCTGACTCATAGATATTCAACATTTGTATACCAAGGACTTGTTGTTTGTAGTACATATGTACAATTTGAACTTATGGCACTGATGGAAATTTATAATCTGAAAACAAATATCAGTAGCATACTAGCATGTCCATTGTCTTTGCTTTGAAAAACTCCCTTAATTCAAGCCTTGTGATTATATGTAACTGTGTAGCCCATGACAAGTTGCTTTAGTCTTGTCGTAGACTTTCTGTAGGACTGTTTTAACTTGGAAGAGGATCAAGATGTGCTGTACCACAGTAATGAGGTTAATTTCAGGTAATGGAAAGGCTCAGGACATGATATTGTGATTTTCCTAAAATGTTAAGTGGCCAGTATCTGCACAGCCGTAAGATCAGCAGTTGTCCAATTCTCCCCGATTGTTTCAAAATTCCTAAAGGGAGACATGGCCCCTCCAGGAATTAGCAAATCCTGTATTATTCCAGGGAACTTCTAGCTGTCACTTGGAAAGCCAGTTTATTCCTTCCAACAGATCCAAACAGGTGTGATCCCCTTTCCCTTGGCACTAGACGAAACCAGGAATCATCAACTGATCTAGTATCAGCCATAAGGTATCGGACAGGACATTCACACTCGAGGAAAATATATACAATATACATATTAAGAAACGTTGTATAGAGAATCATCATATAGCATAGGAGCATATACTCGGGATAAAAATATTGTTTAAAGGAACATTGTATAGAGAAGCTAGAGATGAGGACAGCCTACACCACATTGTTTCTTGGAGCCAGAATTAGGGTGTTTACTCTACCTAAAATGATATCAGTTAGTACACTTCTGGCTCCAAACAGATGATATGTTAGGTTTCAGCTCACATCATGGGCAGTGCTTATCGATCCCACCGCTGCCACCATGTTGAAGTCGTTATCCATCATGTACTCTGGCAGCAATTGCTTGTGGCCTTATTTCGTCCAAATTCTTATTAGGGTTGCAGTTGAGTTTTAGGTTTAAGGTGTAGGGTATTAAGGGTAAGGTTTAGTGTAGGGTCCAGGGTTGAAGTTAGGAATTTGGTTGGTGTAGGAAATTAAAGGACTCTTTTTTGGTACAATGTTTATACGATAATGGACCCTGATTCTTCATCAACTTTTTGTTTGAAACAATTCTCAAACCTCTGTTTCAGTAGTAGATGTTCTGGTGAAGCTGTTCTGGTGTATGTTTTGTGCATGATGTTTAGACTAGAAAAGGTAATTACTTGTCCCATGGCTATGAACCTGTACAGTAAATTTTGTTGGTCGGAATGGGGTAAAAGTGCAGACCCTGGGTCAGCTAAGAACCTTGTCATAGGTTGGTGTGCCATTTGTTGCAGGACAGGAGATATCCAGAGGCACCTGGATTAAGGTGAAGGAAATCCATATTCAGGAATTTTCCCTTCCAGTTCTGCTTAGGCTTGATTAGATCATATTCCATGACCTTAATAATCACAAAACTGTTTTGTCATAAAGTTTATGCTAAATTGCACTTGGTAATAACAAATCTGGAGTAACAATTTCGGGAATCCGCACTTAAAAAAGTCCTTCAAAGTAAATGTTTATTCTTCAGTGATACCCTGTCCTTTTCCATTACTTTGTCTTATTGGTAAATTTGCTTTGTTTAATAATGATTACACATGAGCCCACATTGCTGCAGAGATGATTTATAAATAATTTGTGTGCAGCACAGACCATGAATGAGAATACAGTTAGTTCTGTCTTAGCTCACAAGCACATTTTAATATCGCTTACACAACTGTTCCTTCCTCCCTTGAAAGATGATAAATGAAGCTTAATGAAGGATTACTTGAATAAATTCTGGATATTTAACTTAATTAGGATTTGGTTGTGCTGAAGAGTGATTAAACAGGAACGTGTCTGACTTATACTCGTGATACCCAACTGCTCTGGAAGGTTGCAAGAAAGAATATTCAATTATTCATCATATTCTTTGCACAAGGACACTGATTGCCATGTGTGGAAATGAAATTAGAGACATAACTCTAAGATAACTTTTTCCTTTATGTTTAATTATACTGGACATTAATGTAATAATGGCAAGATTAAGTAAGCAGCATTCCCCCCCCCCTCTACCCCCTCCTCCCCCTCCCACCATAAAAAAATGCTTTTAAACAAATTTGTCTTGTTATCACCATGAGTCATATAGAAATTGGCATACTCTGGACTGGAGCTCATGTTATAATGTTGAATAAGCCAACTTTAGACACATAAGCCTCAGGATGAATAAGAGTCTTTGGGCCAACCTAAAGGTAAATGTGCGTTGGTGAAATGCTTCCAAGTTCTGATGATATTTAGACAGTTTGTAGACAGGGTATAAAATGATTTAAGTTTGAACAATATCTCTGAAATTAGGAGTTTCTACCTCCTTTGCAATGATCAAGCTACAAATATTCACCTATACCATTTGTGAATTATGTAAGAGAGATTCCAACGCAATTCTGTGTAAAGAAGTGTGAAATATGAAATATGAGTTTGATGAACAAAATATGCCTAATGATTATTAAGATTATATAGCAATTCAAACTAAAGAGACAATTGTTTTGGTATTCTTGCCTCAAATCAGATGAGCTACATAGTTTTATGACACTTTTTGTTGGAAGAAATACAATATAAAATTGTGTGTTAATGAGTTAGGCTCTTAACTAAAAGTAGCAATCAGAGTCAACTATTGACATCAAGTTATAAATTTGGTTTGAGAGGGAGTAGACTTTTGTAGACCAACTCTTCCTTTATTACTCGTAAGTGTTGAGGTGTAACTTGTCAGCATTTGACTCAGTCGGTATAACACCCTTTACATGTTTTCACTTGCTAGCCACATTCACCCATCTTTGTTTCCGTCCCAAAGATCATCTGTTCAGAGGTAGAAGGGGTTATTACAATGCCCTTTAACACCCTTCTGACTCCAAACAGAAAAATATTTCCTTACAGTAAGGTGTGAGATGGTTGGGATATCAAGATCAACGTCAGAATGTTCTCGCTGCAGGCACTTAACCATGATTTCCTGAATAGGGAACCCAGCAAAGGAAATGTAGAATTATTTTCACCCAGATATCACTGCCCCATTCACATTTGACAAAAGATTAGGAGCTAAACCTCGCATAAAGAATCGTTCTGTCACATTTGACAAAAGATTAGGAGCTAATCTTAACTTCTCATAAGTAATATCACATTTAAAGTTACTTGAAATCAAGTCAACTAAATTTGTATTGTGTCATCAATATTTGTTATTGATTTGATAAAGATGGGGACGGTGCGTTACATATTCTTTGTCCGCTGAGCACCAAAAGGGCATTTAATCTTTGCAGAGTTAAAACACTTGATCTAAACAGACGATATATTCATGTCAATTCCAATATGTTGTAGGAGATTTTGTAACAAATATTAAAATATATTGGCTTGTCAGTTGTCACCCAAGATTGATATGAATTCAGTTTAGTTGCACACATTTCCTCAAAATTCCATAGATTGGGTGATGTAAATTATGTTAAAGTATGTGTAGTATGATATAGCAGTTTACATTCTTAATTCATTTTATGAATGTCTAAAAATGTCTAAATGTAGAGCTCTTTTCTTAATCAGTGAAGGTCAAGTCATTACTTAATCAATATCGACTTCCTCATATGAAATGGGGTCCCAAAGCCAAGGAAACATGACATTTACTGCTGGAATATGTGATATGTTTAAGTGCGAACTGAAGGTGTAAATTGAGGAACTATTAGCCAATCAGAGCTTTGACGTAGGAGGGCCGTTTGTTGGGACAGAGGGTGGAGATGTGAGAAGTGTCAGTTGGATTTGGTCTCAGCTGTCAGAAGTGAAAGATATTAAAAGAAAGTGAGCTAGATTACAATCTTTGAAAGATATTTTTGTTTGGGAGATGGAAAGGAAATGTAGCCATGTTCGTAAAGGTAATTTGATGTGCATAGCCAAATGAGGAGGGATTATTAGGCTTTCATGATGCTTTGCAGAATGAATCCCCTTTATAATTAGATTATTGCTCCTTTGTATTAGGAAAAATGCACTTATTGTTTTGTATCAATTGCAACTTTCCTTCAATACTGTTGGCCCAAATTGGCAAGATGTCAGAAAATACACTAAGAATTATGCAGTAGCTTATGAAGAATTTTCCACATGATATTGAGTTGGCCATGGCACTAATAGATGTTATTGTGAAGACTTGATACCCTTTTGCTTTTCTATAATGGGATAATGATTGTAATGAGTTTACTGTCCTGGAGAGATAATAGTCCCACAGCTTGAAATCAGTGTAGTTACAACCCTGCTTCCTGTGCTCTTGGCTCAAGTGGCTACTGGTGTTAAGTGTGTACAGACGGCTATCTCAGTCAGGCTGGCGAAGAATAATTATTGTTTCCATTCTACTTTGCTGGTCAAAATGTGGACTTTCATTGTATTGGATTATATGCCTGGAAATTTCGTTTATTCAGAAATGCAATAGATAGTGCATCTTATATCATTTGGAGTAGCCAATTTAGCTGCGACAGAAATGGTAGTTTGCTTAATTTGGTTGTATGGTTTGAGAATTTCTTCTTGGCCATAATGTGACAGTTTTAAAAGACTGGCCTAAATTCACATTTAGGGGGAACGAAAGGGTTAAGTACGAATGAAAGAAAAAGAGCTTGTGGTTTTGTATTTGTTGCTGGTTAGTGGGATCTTTTTACTCTTTTTGACTCATCATTTTGAATTTGCATTGAAAAAGGAGAATTGTAGTGACAAGAGGTTCAGTTTGTCATATTATTCAATGACATATTAGTTAGGTCTGTGAGGGTATTGTAATCTGTCGTCAAAAGACAATTTGTACACCTGTTACAACCTAATTAACAACTTAATTGTTTCTTCTCTTTCTCTTTCTCTCTCCCTCTAACTACTTTATTATAACAGGTGGTCCTATTCCGAGTTCTTCACCCGCTACCGTGTGTTGATGGTCCGGAAAGAGATCAACAAGAAAGACGTGAGAGGGACCAGCGAAAAGACGCTCAAGCGACTCATTGTGGTAAGCCCCAGACACTTTTAAACTCAGCTCTGACTCAAAGAAGTTATAACTTCTATCTCTCTTTTACCCAGCAGTGCTAGTGACCCATTACGATAATCAATTTAACTTTCTTCGCGTTCTGTACAAGAAGAAAATGTCACGTGACTTGGCCGGGAGTCAGCATTGTTGTTTTATACCTGGCTCAGCTCGAGATAAAGTATCAAAGTCATGCACTTGTTAAAGAATTAATTCCTTTTCGCAGACAAATTGCCTGTCATCTGCAGACACCAAGCCTTGGTCAGAGTAAAGATTTAATGCTTTAAATTGAGGTCAGATTAATTGCCATGGGGATTTTGGGGTAGGGACCATAATTTTACTCTTAACACTTAATAACAAATCGTATATGACTAGGCTACAAATGTCAATTGTAGACTTCACCCTTTTATCTTTTCAATTTTTGTAATTGCTTTTGTTTTGTAAGTAAAAATATTTTTTCAAAGACTTGAAATACATAAAGATGTTGTAGGTGGTTTTGTATAAGATGAACTCCCTTGACTTGAGATGTTCGCAAAGAACTTGTATTTTATGTTCGCAATACAAGCAACATAGAAATATTTTATTATGAATACTTGTATATAAAGGCAGTATGTATGTCAAAAATGTTCCCTGGGAAAGAACATGCTAGAATTGGTTATTTTTTCCCTTATCAAATTAGAACAAAAGGAAATAACGGAAGGAAGAGACGGCTTTAACTTTGTACCTATACTGATGGGTTTACAAAGGGTACAGAGATAGTACATTTGACTTGAGAAGAAATCTTAAATTTTTATCATTATTATTATTATTATTACTCTTAAAGAAGAGGTAGGAAGGAATGAGATGTTGAGTCTTTGCACTCTTCAAAGTGATATTATATGTTAGGAAACACAAGGGGACACACCTGTGGCAGAAGCACTAAATTTATTTGGCATTTTTAATTCGTCCTCTGTCGTGCCCAAAAGATAACAATCTGACTCAACGGCCATCGGGTTCCGACTTTAAAGGTGTCTGATTTGGACCAAGGTCAACGTTTTGTCATGCTTTTCTTCTCCCCTTCTGCTCCCTGGGTGGCAATGAGATTTCATTGGACGACAATTACGAGTCTGGACAGTTGCCTGTTTAGTAGGGTTATAGCGGCAAAAATATGAAGTTTAGTCATTGTGAAATTGAAGACAAGGGAATATAATGTTTTTCTGCTTTGTATTAAGAGAGATGGGTACATTTCACACGTTCCACATATAAGTATTGAATTACATAAAAAAATACAAACATTTTTTTCAGTGTTATCAACATTTTTCTTTTGTTCTTTTCTATTGTATATTTGTTGGTATTCTGGGCTGCGATTGATAACAAATAATTTGCAATTGAAATCAATTCAATCTCTTATCTCTTTAGTACCGAGTTGCAAATGATATTCATTACAAATTATCTGTATTTAATTCCAACTCTTTTATGAGACCGGGCCTTAATGTTACATAACAAGGAATATAAGCTTATACATGTATAATATGGAAATATATTTTATAAATCATCTGCTTGCGCCAATTTAGATAACATGATGTACTGATGACTTCTCTCTTCGTGTCTAAAATAATTTTTGTTATTTTGCTTATACAGTATTATGTTTTGCATATTGTAATCTTATGATTTTTATCCCCAATTTCGTATAGCGTGAAAACCCAAAGGTTTGTGATTTCCTTCACTATGGTTTAAACTTTGGGCCAATGCTTGCATGAAATGCTGTTTATTTTTTTGTTTGTTTTTAACTTTCAACTTTTAAGTTTGGAACTCTGCGTCTTTCTTCCAAAAAGAGCACCATTGCTTCTTCAGATCTCTTTCATTGAATTATAAATTAGTTTTGAATTTCCTAACAGAATAAAGGCAATATTTCTGCCAGGAGATTTAAATTTGTCATCATCATAAATTTTACTTCATGTGTGATCACCAAATTTTTCTCATCACCTTTTTCTGATGAATTATTGTACCTGGGTACATTTGAACCATTTCTCAAATGTTTCAATACTTGTTTCTTACCTTCATCTTTACTAGAAAATCCATGTAGTTTAATGTAAATTCCAGCAGTAACAGAACAGTTTTTGAGTGGTACTTAATGTTTCACAATGGCTACATAGGATTTTGAAGAAAAAAAGTTGATGTGTGTTACAACCGCATGTCTTAAATAATCTTGATGTCTATAATAGTTTGGTGTGGTGTGGGATTATTGGATTAAAATTTGACAGTTTTGTTATTCTTTATCTTTGTGAGATATGATTGAATGTAATTCATGATTGATTTGGGGGGAAATCCAGTTAGACATAGATAAATTATTGTATGGAGGCAGGAATATGAAATTAATGACAAAGCAGCTCAATTTTCTTACATCCATGTCAAATTTGCATGAAAAGGTTGTTTTAGTGGCAGGAAATACATCCTTGAGATTTGTGGACAAAGATTTTTCTACTCAAAAAACGTATCCTCTTTTATGCTATATAAAGAGTAATGTTACAATTACCTGGCAAAAACAATATCTTTTCTTTCAAGTCAGCAAGGACTATAATGTGCCATGAAAATTCAGATTTGTGTCAAAAGGGAAGTAGTGGAAGCACTTAGAGTTTAGTGTGTAGGTGATTCTATCATTGCCTTGTTACTCTCATGTTACATGTAATTAGGGTACTGTAGTGAGCTTTCCAGAATGAATTGTCTTCTTTGTCATAAAGATGCTGAACCTCACCTTTCATATCTCATGATTACTCCATTGTTAGGGTCTACAAATTTTGAAAGTAGAATTTCTAAAAAAGTATATTGCTTCAGTGAGCATCTAAGTGGGAACAAAAAATCTGAGCTGTGACGTCACACATGATCAACCTACAAAATGAGCTATTTCTGAAAGTAACTTTGCTATTCATGTCATATGATATTATTTTTTTTCAAACTTGGAAGAGGAAGATATGTTCTATATTTCTTGTCTGAAGTTGTAGATAAGTATTAGTTGTTGGGACCTGGAACATGTTCTATTGCACTTAAAAATGTGATGTATCGTTGAATCTAAATGTTAGATCCATTTGATACAAGTGATTAAGATCTGCCTGCACTCTCATGATTCATGCAATCCCCAATCAATATCGGAATATTAAAACCCCTTTTATTTTTACATGACCCTTTTCTTTAGGATCCAGACAAGTACCAGTTTGGTAAGACCAAGATCTTCTTCCGAGCGGGCCAGGTGGCCTACCTGGAGAAGTTGAGAGCAGATAAGCTGCGTGCGGCCTGCGTACTCATGCAGAAGACTGTGCGAGGCTGGATGCAGCGCACAAAGTACCAGAGGCTGAAGGCAGCAACCATCGTCATGCAGAAGCATACCAGAGCCTTCCTTGCCAGAAAGTGAGTAGCTATGTCCAAATAAAGGACCTACAGTTATTATTAACAAAGTAAAGGATTAGGACTTATTGGCATTGAAAAATAGGACCAACTATAGGACCAGAGCTTATTGGCCTGAGAAATAGGATCAAGTATAGGATCAGGACTTATTATTGGCATTAAACTTCCAATTGGATTTAATTTAAAATCGATCAGGTGTTCCCTTTTTAGAATAATGAGAAAGTGGACTTTGATGTCAAACCACTACTAGTATCTTAGTATGAGTAAACCTCCTCCCACTCTTTGTGACGATATACTTAAGTGTCTGCACTTTTTTGACGATGTCTTTCAAATTAACAAATTAAGATCAGACTTCCTCCGATTAAAGTGGTGACAGTCTCTGCGTGTGGCAGGTTCTTTCCACGATGGGCTTTACACCGCAGATTGAGCCCATGACATGTTAATCTTCCTCCCCTGCTGGCGATTTGAATTCTGATAAAGCGGTTATCAGGCAAGACCAAGTGCTATCCAAAACAGATTAATTTAATTTGTTCTGAATTTTAAAGACCTCAGATAAAGTGCCAAGTGTGGAGATCTTTACATTGATTATCTGGTTGGTATTTTAAGGCTTGCCCTGCACGGGGAGAGGGCTTTTCTGAAATGTAAGTTTAAAGGGAGGTAATGCAAGCCATTCAAGCCTAGTCATGCTCAAGAATGGTCACCCAGCGCAAGAGGAAATCAGAGGAAATTGTAACAATTTGGAGATTGGAGGAGATGGTCGTGTTCTTATCGAGTTCGTGCCTTGGACCTTGTTACCCGCTGGAGTCTGTTTTCCGTCGTCATTATTTTCTGTACTTTTGAACACTCCAGTGAATGTCTCCAGGTTCTGCATTGTCTACTTAAATGCAGACCTGACCCAATGAAAATCTTCTTGTACTAAATCTTCTTCAATGATTGTGGATCACTACAGGTCTCTATATTGCCTTCATTGTAAATAGGGGAATGGGTTAGTGGCTTTAAAAGTTTTAGAAAAAAAAGTTTACACTTAAATTTTGGACAATTTATAAGTAGAAATCTTTGTTTTTTTAATTTTTATTCACTCTCCCATCAATTTCAACGAACCATTTGATTTCTTACCTATTTGTGGTATTAATGCTACCAGATTCTGATAAATCTATAAGCCCCTAAAAGATGGTGTTCAACAAGAATGTGCTGGCAATGGTACTTGTTTAGAGGTGCCTGGATATTCCTCCCTGCCTGTCCTGATTACACCTGCTGTATACTGTGTTCTGTAGAGCACTTTAGTACAATAGCTTTTAATACTCCAGAGAGTATATTTCCCCTCTATTTTTAGACTAAACATCCTCAAACATGAAAATGAAAATATCTCTTTCTTATTTAAACATGTCCCATATTTTGGATGTATAGAAGGATAAGACCAATTTGCATCCCCCTCCTGACTTCCACTTATATAAAGGTATAATTTCCTATGTCCCAAAGTGCAACATGGACATGAAGGTCCGTGGAGAGTTTGACCCTCCACTTGCTTTTTTCATCCTTGATTGGTTGTAAATCTAACTGACATCCATGTTGATCTGAGCTCAGGATTGAGTAATCATCATTTAAGGGAAAGCTTAAAAGATCTTTTTATTTGAGATGAAGCAAGTCTAACCATTTCTCAAGAACTAACGTTGATCATTGGACTACCGACATGATATCATATCTAGGGGTTAGTCTTTGATCCTTTGGGAGGGGCAGGAACATGTAGAGGGGGGAAATGGCACCCTGGCTTCCCCGATAATTTTATCCATGGGTGCGAGCTGTCCCGTTAGTTCCTGCCGATGTGACTTAAGAACAGCTGTTGATACCACACTTGCATGTATACAAGGCAAGGGATTCCGTGTCATATCTTCTTTCCTCATTTTGAGAATGCAGAGAAGCTAGGAAAGTCATAATTACTGTGGGTCAGCACGTGTGCATGCATGCTACCCAACAGAAACTGTCAACCCCCTCCCCTCAAATTGAAAACTAGATTTCTGCCGTAAGCCTCCCGTATCAAGCGGATCAGCAGGGCTTTGCACTGTCGTTGATTATTTGATAAAGTTTCTCTTCAAGGCTTGACTCATTTTGTGCAAGCCAGCCTGCTTGATTCAGCTAGCTACCTCTCGTCTGTGTCAGAGTGCTTCTCTTTAATCTCCGCTGCCTGGCAGAGGGGCAAAGCGGTGACCGTGAGAGGAAACTCAATTTGATAACATTCCTGGATTTGCCTCTCTCAACCAAATACATCCCTGAGTTCTTCATTTCTTAGAGGAATTTTTTGAAGTGCGAGCCTTGTCTTCAGTGGACGTTATCGTTGAGGATCTTAACAAGCATTTTGTGGAAGGGAAATCTTGAGTTTTGACCAGAAATTCCAATCAGGAAGATGTTTTCTCTCTGATTATATGATCAGTCAATACGTCATTATCACCCTGGAGTTGTTTTGACTAACTTGTCACATTTGAATACTCAGTGTCTAATTTTGCAGAATTCTTTAGTAGGTTCCCCAGCAGTGAACCTGTGGGTATTAAAGGTGTTGTGTGTTGGCTGTCATGCCTTTAATTGGAATAGTGTATCACAGTGCTACTTTTTCACATCAAAAGAAGATGCCTTGCTCTTGATGCAACAGCATGGATTTGCATTCTCCATTACTCTGTGATTATATTTTCGGAATAATTTTATGCCAATCAGAGCATCCTATCAGAGCTGATAACTGTCATGATTGTTCAATTTTTATGTGGAACACCTAGGATAAGAATACCCATGATATGTGTAATGATAAATGGAAGTGTGTTCATCATTTTGAAAATTGGATATTAGTTTCTTTTTGTGTGTGGTAATTTTTTTTGTGACCATGCATCGCAATACGGAGCTTCGCTCACTCCAGAATACCCTTCTTATTGTCAGGCTCACCAAGTTCTTGCGGGAAACACGGGCCTCCATCATCGTCCAGAAGACATGGCGTCGCTACCGATGCCGCCGCGACTTCCTCATCATCCGCAACGCCACCCTCAAGATCCAGTCGTACTACCGGGGAATGGTCGGTCGTTGTATCTACATGGAGGCGCTGCGCCAGCACCGGGCCACAACCCTCCAAAGGTACATCCGTGGGTGGCAGGTGCGGACATGGTACCGGAGAACACGAAGAGCCCTCGTCTTGCTACAAAGCTGCGTGAGGAGATGGAAAGCAAGGAAAGAACTGAAACAACTCAAGGTAAACAGACGTCCTTTAGTCTTTAGTCTTATATTATCTTGGCAGTTAATGTAATAATGTTATACCATTTTTCTTCTATATGCTCACCTTAATAGACTGCTAGTGGTTTCTTTAAATATACAAGGCTTCTATTGTTGAAACTCTGCAGTGTTCATGTTATCCTATGAATATGATTGATAGTTGTAATTGCTTATGTCCAGCAAATGGTCTGTTCAGAATCATTTTTAAAAAATGGGCTTATTAAAAGTGAGTCTGGTTTTGCACTTTTCTATGTACGGTATCAACAGGGAAGTATATGATACAGGAAAAAAAAGAGGGATAACACATCTATACTCTCATTTTACCTAAGAAGATAAATTAAAGATTAACATCATAGATTGACACAAAAGTTTCCCACTGACTTCATCAAGTAGGTATATTTTTGATCAGTTTTGGAATTCCTGTGAGCTTTCCCTACTATCAATCAGCCCCAAAACGAGCTGCAAAGGGGAAGGGAAGTATCTGTTTAGACAATCTGTCAACATACAGCCAATATATGCCAACCACAGAGAGATAGCATCTTGTGATAAAAGCCTACTCATACTTGTACGATTGCGCTCAACAAAACGAAATAACTACCCAAACAAAAATTTAAATGAATTTGTGCCGATAGTCTGTTATGAAATCCATCGTATTGGGTAGGTAGGGTGTAACCGTCAAAAGGGATTTTCATTACTGACTTTAAAGTTTAAAGTGCTTCCGTTTAAAGATAGAATCCTTCACCTGTTCTTTAAGGAAACAGGAAAGATTCTGGCGAAAGGGAAGAGACACATTAATGTCGTCAAGATGTCGTAAGCAGGCTTCAAATGCCCTCCAAACCCTTCAAGTTAAAACTTGAAATTTGAAGAGAAAAATTGAGGGATTTTTGCTATTTCCATTTTGTGATTCAGAGGATTCTTTCTCCAATTTGAGCTCATATATGGAGCCAAGGTTTTCCTGGACTTGTGGCAAATGCAGAACCTTCACTCATATAGACCCCCTATGTGTGCTTGACATGAGTTAGGAAGTTTTAGTTTTTAGTCATGCTGTACTCTCTTTTCATTTTTCATGATTATTTCCTTCCTTCCTTCATAATCACTCAGTACCGTTAGATTTAGTGATAGTATCACATTTTCAGTGCACAATGAATACTACTGTTGCAAAACTATTACTAATGATAATACTACTATAATTACTTCTACTACTACTAATTCTACTATCTACTAATATTATGACTACTACTAACTACTCCTACTACTTCTGTAACTACTACTACTACTACTGCTACTACTACTACTACTACTACTACTACTACTACTTCTACTACTACTACTACTACTACTACTACTACTACTATCTACTAATATTATGACTACTACTAACTACTCCTACTACTTCTGTAACTACTACTACTAATACTACTACTACTCACTACTACCATCTCTGGCTGTTTCCTTTATATTACTGTTAATTCTTTTCATATTGATTCTTCTAAAACTACTAAATTCATTTGTGATTATTTTCTTCTTTTCCTCCTGCATACCTTTTCTAATCTGTATTTTTTTTTTACTTTTCATTAAAGTTTGTTCATACATGTGTATCCTTTCATTGTACATACATGGGCAACATATATTTTCACTGCTGATTATTATTATTAAGAAGAGGTAGTATATGATTCATAAATGTTAGTCATAGTGACATGTCTCCTTAAAAACCGACCTAAATCTCACATTAAACATCTTAATCTATGATTGATACCGACCTCCAGGCAAGCCTGTGTAGTCCATTGTTATTTCAATGAGTGCTACAAAGCAACTGTAAATGATCATCTAAACAAGCTAGCATATACAGTACAGAAGCTACATTTTCACATTAAGTCTGTTGAAATTCAAGGTCAATCTAGATTACCTATGAAATATAACTCTTCATGGCTTACAAAAACGATTCTTGACCTATTTGTGAGTCAACTCCAAAATTCAGGCTAAGAAAATGCCTACTACCTAATTCATCAGTTTTTATCTGCTGAATGTGATATACTATGAGTAAACCCTAAATTTAGATAAACGATAGTCTAATTGGTATCAGTTTACAAAACAATGAGTGTCGTAACCTTTCAAACTCTGATTGACACATACAGTGCGGATTATGACACACACCTTCAGTGCAAGCATGTGGTTACAGAATGTAGCCATATCGCATCAATGTTTCAATAAATGTTGACACCCTTGTACATGTCACCAACATAAGTACATGTAGCATGGGCATTAAACAAGAAATTTTGATTGCCGCAAGACAGAATCAAAGAAAGTTAGGCTAAGTTTTACATTTTTATTGTGCCTCGATCGCTAAAGGGCTGAACATTTTTGAAAACTTATTCTAGAAATCCAAATGTGATTGAATTGAGTTCTTGCATGGATATTACCACTTAATTGTCAAACCAGGAAAGTGTTAAAAGTTTAATTACAATCCTAATACTACTCTTGAGAGAGAGTGAAACTAAAAGTCCCAAAATGGTCTAGCAGTTTTATTGTCTGTATGAGAAGAAGTATTGACACTTACTTTTCTTTAGGTGTTATGTTCAGTCGGTTAACTACCAACTAATGAGCAATTCACAGGTTATGGTTTCTATTTTGGGGGGTCAGCTAATAGTTTTTATGGGTGCTATAGAAAGTTATTCTCACAAAGGCTTTGTCAGTTTTTAACAACAATTGGGGTGGTGCTAATTTGCAATCTACAAGTCAGATTACCAACGTCATATACATCATGAAAAGTATTCTCTTCTACATTATAGGCCGTATTGCAACATAAATATCATGGACTAGTTTCTGAGAAACAACAATTAAAAAGAAACGTAAAGAAGCAAATGACAATACATGTAGGTACATGACTAAACAATTCACAAAAATCCTGGCCATCATTGTTTGAGTGCTTCTTATGATTGTCCTGATCAATGTGTGATTACCGGTACAAAACTAGGGCTCCAGCTACTACCCTCTCTCTCCCCCTTCCTGAATCCCCCCCCCCCCAAACATCCTAAGATAAGTACTTCCCCCATGGATGATAATCTCTGACACTAGCGCTCATATGTGCCCCCATCCCAAAATTCTTAACTCAGGGGTTGACTTATTTTTCCACAGAGGATGTTCATTTTGTAGCTACTAGAGCTCATACAACCTGTACAATCACTCATTTTGTCCCCAATGGATGTCCATATCCTTTACACTTGATCTCAAATTTTAAAATATTGTATCATTAAAAAACATTAAAACATTGATGTCCATGACTATGATAACATGAAGGCTTGTACACTTCTTACCCCTCCCCCCCCCCCATTCCTCAATTGTGGTTTCCCCCTCCCCAGTGGCTAAGCATGATACCCTTGACTTTGTACTTCCCTCCTGTACGTGTCATGTGTGCAGGGACGGGAGTGCGTGACAGGCTACTGCCTCATGGGAAGGAGAGGTCACTATATCACTTCCTGTAGTAATCAGGTCATACCTTCAAGGTCGTTTAGTGTGGGGTGGGTAGAGTCCTCGGTGTTGAACTTTCAAGTTTAAGCCAAAACTTGGCTCAAGCAAAATATTTCACTCTTCATAATAAGGATATTTAGCTTCCATAGAATGTGTTCACTATGCTACACATTTAATGAATTAATATACATTACTTATGAAACGAAATCATATTCAACCAGATCAGACGTCTATAGTCTATAGTCACCCAAGGTGTTAATCACATATTTCCCTCAAACTTCCCTCAAAATTACCATTGATGGTAACTACCATGGAAACCTTGATTTTGATTGGCTGTTGAGCTCTATTACCATGGTAGTTGCCATTGATGGGAAAGTTACTATCAATGGTAAGTTTTATGCAACGGGCCCAGGTATACTTTTGTGATAAATCTGTCCCATTGTATTTCTAAAAGAACAAGTATATGAATAGCGAAAATCATGTTTTCAGTATTATCCAAATAAAAATCTCTCTTTGTATCTTAAACCCTCGAATTACAAATACCTCCCACTTGGTTTAAAGAAGTCCGCTTCTTCAGCATCTTACTGTATAAGGATAGAAGAGTATACCTCAAACACACTATTTCTCAGAATCATAAATCTTGCCTGACAGACCACGATCGAGCCATATTAATCCAGTAATCATTAATTAACATAGATTGAGATGTATCCTGTCCTGCAGGAAGAGCCTTTGAGTCACCCAGAATCTGGATGACAAAGTTAGTCAAACATGGACGTATTCTCAAACATTTCAATCACAGGACCTAGCCGCCTTATCACATATAGGTATCTAGAATAACAGCTTGAGTATTGAAGAAGAAAAAACAATTAACTTTAAAATGAGTTTGTTTTGATTGTGGACATCCATCCAGCACTACAACGTAGTTAAAGTAGCCGATGAAAGACATGTTCTAGCAGTAGTGTTTAAGTCTAGAGGGGACATAGACAATTTTATATTCTGGCTTTTTGGAAGCATATAGAAACTATCCTAGGGGTATTGGAAATGAATCATGGCAAAATCAAAAGATATGGTATGAGATTTGAATAGATCAACCTAGTTTTTGCATTCGGTTCTATAAGGAATGGAAAATCTGAAAATGTCTTATACAATCTTAAAGATTTTTTACAACAGTCAATCAGTTGGTACTGATCAGAGATCAAATTTGATATCAGAATGAAAACATTTTACATTCCAAAGAGACTTAACCGGTTGAATAACAAGCCCAATACTATGTGAGCTTCCAACTAAGCACCGAAAATATCAAACAGGTCAAGCAATGGAAATGAATCAAATCTTCCATTTTAATCAGAAGACATCCACAGAAAACGCATTACCGAAAACATAAAAATTATGTAATATATAACAAATTATAGATGCTGTCAGTGAGAGTGAATTTTGGTGAGAATTATATGTCACTTTCAACTACCCGTGTGAGGTGAGCTAGATTGCACTTGATCAAGTGATAAATTATTTCCTTGTCTGTCAGAGTTTTCCAGACTACCTTACTCATATCCTATGACATTTCCTACTGGTCATTGGACATTGTGCTGCAGTCGTCTCTAATTTCAATAAATCATCAAGAATATTTTGGGTCGTAGGTTGAGAAATTTACACGGTAGCTGATGCATTAAATCCTGTTATTAATAGTCATTTGTTTTTAATTCTCTTAATTTTCCCTAAATCATCGTGAGAATATGGGGACACTTTATGAAAAATCGTTTTCAAGAAACATTGATAAATGTGATTGTCCACCTAATAGGAATGAGGAAGTTTACTAAATGTTCACTTGTACCAGACCTCAACCTTCTTGTCTAGGAGTCATGTTTTAAAGTAGAGAAAATATTGTATGCTTTTTTTAAATACTTTTTAAAACCATTTAATTTATTAATTTTTGATATTTATATTTACTAATGTTGACTTTAAGCTTAAGATTATAAGAAAGGAATGCTGACAAGTTCAAATTCACTATTTTAAAACTTGCAATTCTTGCCAGGACATGATTTCAAAAGCATACTGTAAATTATTTTTTTTAACAATAAATCTTTTGATACTAATGAACTGTCTATTCAGCAATTATTACTGTACATATTCATGATTATCTGATGTATTATGTTTCTCATTTCTTACTATTTTATAATCAGATCGAGGCTCGCTCAGTGGAACATTACAAGGCCCTCAACCGTGGAATGGAGAACAAGATTATCTCCATCACGCACAAGGTTGATGAGCTGGTAAGTAGCAAATCTTTTTTTTCTGCTTTATAGATATAAAAATTATCATCCAATACAATTCTATTCAAAGTAAAGCCTCGGTCACAAATGCCATTACGAACTGCTACAAACGCTGTACGAACGATTTTCAGACAATGGCAAAACAGGGAGATTTGTACAAAATAAACATTTGTACGAACCTTTGTGACTGTAGCTTATTCTACGTCAACAACAACATATGTGAACTTTTGTTTACAATTATTATGTTAGTATGTAAATTTTCACTTAAGTGTTTTTTTTAACAGGCTATGAATTTTAATATCAGTTTTATTGGATAAAACACAATGAATCCATTGTAGAGTAATAGCCCTTCTGTAGCAACATGGTTCACTCCTACGAGAACCCATGTTAATATTATTGTTAATGAGATATACAATAGAGGGTAAATATGTTACTTTATAGACGTTTGCTCCAGAAACAGTTGCTCCTCTCTGTATTACGTCAGAGATGTAGGGTTAAGGTTGCAATTGAGATTTAGGTTGGGTTAGGGTTTCTATTGGGATTTAGGTTAGGTGGTCTAGGGTTGGTGTTTCAATTGTTAGGTTGGGTTAGGGGTTAGGTTAGGTATAGGGTTTGGGTTAGGTATATTGTTCACTGTAGTTAGTCCAGACTTTTTAGAGGCATTTGTGATAAGCGCTATATAAAAGCTAAATATTATTCTTATTATTACAACTGATAACAATTTTTGTAGTGATCAGGTTCATTCATATTTGCACTTTATGCTCGTATCCCTCCTCTAAAAGATAAATAAACATGACCCGTTATTTGACCAGTGGATTACATGTAGATTTTGTAGGCATGACAATTATTTTCAACTAGATGAAAAAGCATGATGCCCTACACTTACAACTATGGTCTAGATAGATTCATGTCAGGGACCTACTGTATGGCCAAATTATAAGGTTCCTGCCTTTGCATAATACAGGAGGCTAGAGGTGATGATTTTGTAGGCAAGTATGACATGGGCAGTGTTTTGAAAGGTCCCACGTTACCAAGGAAAAAGATAGCCCATAGGAAAGGAAATATTTCCTGCCACAAAAGAGTAACACTTTCAGGGGCTTTGCTGAAAACGATGTTATTGAAGAAATGCTCTTGGTACCTGTCTAGAAACCTAAGGTGAGGAGAGGCCAGATGATCACAGTTATTTAAGTATGCTTTCCCCTTCAAAGCATAGGTGACACCAGATTGTTAATGATGATAATAATAAAAGTAACAATAATGATAATAATAGTGTTCTATTTTCACAATAGGGAAATATTTATAACTGTATTTTATAAACAAGCACCCTCTTTTCCTATCTCTTCCCATTGCTAAATATCTACCATAATCTGATCAACTATCATATGGGATGTAAAGATTGTTTGCATTTCGTGCAAGGATATTGGAGAAAATGAACACCCCTTTGGCCTTTTTGGCAAAACATTTGTGCATAGAAAGAAACCCACAGTGATGAAAGTTGAAGGGATATATTTTTCAAGTGTTTCCTCTTTCTTCCAGCCGTTGAGAGACACTTCCTCAGGATGAATAATGCAAGGAAATCCCAATTTTTCCTCTTTTTTTTCTTCTTAAAGTGCAAATTTTTATGATGGGGGACAAATCTGTGTTTTTAGAGAGATTGCAAGTGTAAGTTAGATCGAAAAGATAGAAGATATGTCATGAATCCTATGATTTGTAGTAGGATCTCTCTAGTCTTACCTAGTATTGCCTTTCAAGGGTCTAATGATCTCAACCAAAACATTGAACCTTCTGAAGCTTTATAACAAAGGAAACTCTTGCTTTCTGATGACCTCTGTATCATAATACTTCCCTCTAATTAATTATTGAGAATCTTTTTAATACAAAGCCTAACATTTCTCTATTAAAGATATATATAGATATTACATGGCTAGACTGAAAATAATATTTACATCAAGTCACTGCATAGACAGACTATGCCTCTGACACTTAGCCCTGGCCATTGACACCTCTATCAATCTTTCCATATCTCGTCACCTCTCTGTACATGGTCCTGACTTTTAGTAGTGAGTGCTTCCTTTCCCTGTTCCTGTTACTATTAACTTTCTCCCCTTTACTGCAAGTGTACCCCTTTCTCCATTCCCAGTTCTTCTTCCCCTGCCCTCCTCCCCTGCCCTCCTCCCCCCCCCCCCCTCCTTTCTATCGCTTCCCCTCCCCTTATCCACTTTTTCCCACTTCCCCTTCCCCTTTCTACTTTTCCCTTCCCAGCCTCACCTCCCCCTTTCCTGTCACCTCTTCCCCTTCCTCTTCCGCTCCCTTTCCCCTCCCCTTCCCCTCCCCCTCCCTTCCCCCTCCCCCTCCCTTCCCCCTCTCTCTGCTGCCTTGCCTTTCTTATGATCCCCTTTCTTACCCTGCATCTTCTGCTTCCCTCCCTCCCCACCTCCCCTTTCCTCTTCCAATCCACCCTTCCATTCTATACTCTACCCTTCCCTTTTACCCTTCCCTCCCACCCTTCCCTCCCACCCTTCCCTCCCACCCTTCCCTCTTCCCTTCCCCCTTCTCACCCTGTATGTCTCCCTTTTCACCTCCCCCTTCCTCTTTCAATTTCCATTGTTCACACATTCACCTCATATCTTGATGAATGAACTATTTAATATCAAATTCTTTAATTAGTCTCATTAACTTCATCTGTCCTGGAGTAACATACTATAGTTAGTACTCCGTCCTTGTTCCTCCCTCTGTAATTATCAAGCCATAATATTCATGAGACATTGCAAGTTTATTTCTGACCATTATCACGATGTTAGTAGGATTATGATTGAAATAATTAACATGACTACTCTCATCAATATACAGATTATTGATTACAATAACAGGAATATTAATCACAATGATAGGGCCATGAGTGAAAATGTAATAAGAGTTATGATAAATAATTATATTGTATATGCTAATTTCTTATCACATTATCTGCAGGCTTAATTGCTTTATTTCTATAATATCATATTATTAATTCACAATGTCCTGTGACTGCAGTTCCATGGGCATATTGATAATAGTCCAAATGATTAAAGTCCTGTGGCTTTTCACAATGTATACATCAAATTTAATATATCCACTGCTTTCGGTAGTAGGGAGATAGCAATGCTGAATTTTCATTGAGGAAGAATATTCTTTTCCCCGAATGATGTGATCATAGTTAAGCCCTACGGCAAAGCATTTAAACCATAGTGATTAGCTTAGGAATCACAAATGCAACCAATGTCATTACATTCATGTTCAAATAATGTCATGAACCTATGATATGAAAACTTTGAGCATTGTGTGATAGAGAGGTTCTGAATCAGTTGCTTATCTGTAAAAAAAAACATCCTATATTGATATTCAAATCTAAAATCAATTTATTAAGAACAAGGTTGTTTGTCCTTTTTTGCTATTATTTTTTTTTTATTACAGATGAGGTTAGTTTGTGCAAGCTGGGTGTACTGACTTTATAGTGAAAAATAACGACTTGAGAAATATTTTTTCCAAAATATTTTTTCATAAATCCCCTTTTGTCTCTCTCTCTCTCTGTCTCTCTCTCTCTGTCTGTCTGTCTCTCTCTCTCTGTCTATCTCTCTCTTGCTCTGCTCTCTATCTAGCTCGTTTGTTTGTTTTAAATGTACCTCTTCATCTTTTTCACTTTCTTTCTCTCCCTTCTCTTTCTCTCATTATTACACCTACATCTCTCACCCTCTCTTTCTCTTTCTGTCTTTCTCTCCTCATTTCTTTATCCCTGTCCTTTGGTCCTGAAATATCCTTATGCATCCTTTCATTAGGGAAATAATTAATCTATTTTAGATTTTTTTTAAGGACTCGGCAAATTTCCTGTATGGAGAGCAACCTCCAGACTATACAAAATAGGAAACGAAACAAAACGTTATTTTCCTCGCTCATATTCCCTCTCTCCCACCCTGCTCCCAAAATACCTTGTCTAGCTGCGCAATCACTGAAAGATGAGAGGATCACGGAATATCGTCACACCGCGTATCCTCACTCTTCACTTCTGCTACTGACCCTCAAATACCCATTCACAAGGTGCAATACTCCAAGATTGATTTCTGTCCTATTGGGCTGTATTGCCTGTTCTCCTTTAATACAGTAGTTTAAAGATAGTCAGGGCGGGACGTGGGAGGATCGTCACTCAATACAGCAAGGGTTTTCTACTCTTTTTCGTTGTGCTATCAACCTGAAATTCGAGATTGAGAACCTAAACCGCAGTGAGACATAGCTGAAAGCAACACTGAAGCACATGCGAGAGTGTAGAAATGCGAGTTTCAGCCATAACTCTTCACTCTAAGCATTTATGTCACAGCTTATTTGTTTGAAACTCTGCCTTGCAAGCCTCAAGAGCCTCCTTTCATGGTATCGCTGCCTTCAGTCGTGGATTTGCGGTGTCTAGCCATATGCCATGAATTTTAGAAAAACATTGGCATGCCTGGATATTTTCTGTGATAATTCTGCACAATGCATAATTTCTGCAATGTAAGCTGGGAGAAAGATTGATATAGACATATGCCTAGAGTTTCTCTCTGGAAAACTTGCTGTGTAGTGCTGTTGTGATTGAGCTCCAAGTTTGTCATGGGCAGCAGATAAGTTTAGTTTGTCGTGTAACTCTGGATGTTACGAAGTTTGGATTTTCTATTTCATGGAATATCATCATACTTTGATCATGGATTACATTCATAAAATGGTATGTGATGTCTTCTTGATGCAGACATACTAATATATTTTCTTGTATAGATTTCTGTTGTACTGGGAATGATATAATATCTTTCTTACTTATAACATTGCTAAAATATGAATTGAAACATTGATCTCTTTCAATGCTGATTTGCTTGAGCTAAAAACGGATAACATTCGTAAAATGGTATGTGCTGTCTTCTTGATGTAGAAATAGCAGGAAAATGTCACGTTTAGATTTCTGTCTTTGAATATTTAGAATTTGTCTTCGGGTAAAATATGAATTGAAAAACACTGATCTCTTTCAGTACTGATGTGTACAAACAGAACAAGAAGCATGCATGTATTTATTGTGCAAGGATTCATTTTCTTGTTGTTCAAAATGAACTATATGTTAGAAAAGAGTATACAATTGGTATTACATGAGTTCAGTAAATGATGAGCTATTGATTCATAGGATTTAACCTTATGACTTCTGAATTCTTTCATTCCTGTAGGATCAGTACATGAACCACTCACTTCCAATAGGCATTGGTTTGATACACTTATTTGAAGAACTTCAGTGTAAAAATAATTTCTCACTTGTAAATAAATCTACATAAGTACTGATTTTCAGTCTAAGTAAACTATGTGAATCTATTTCAAGCCTATTCATTCTTTTAAATTATTTATGACTAGATACCTGTACAAGTAATCTAGGTAATGGGATATTGATATGTGCTGGTACATATGTAACTCGCTTATTGTCAAGTTCTGCAGAAGACTAAATGCTTTCCTTGCATTTGAAGGTTACACTGTTATTGCTATCCTGAAAATAAAATGATGCTGCTTTCTCTCTGCTGTACAACACTCATGTTAGCCCTCAGCGAGCGAGACATAGGGTACCTCGCGATTACCATGGGCTTCAATTTAGCAAGTCTGTACTTCCACTCTCTTTCACAGAACAAGGAGAACGTACGTCTGCAGCACACTGAACAGGTCATGTTGAAGCTCAAGGATGACCTTGGTGACCTAGAGAAGGTCAAGGCCGAGTCCAAGGAGCTCAACAAGACGGTGGCGACCCAGGAGACGGAGCTGGAGAAGCTCCGGAGACTCCTGGAGGAGACCCAGACGGAGAAGGGTATTGTGGAAGAGGAGCTGCAGTCGGTCGTCAAAGCTAGAGCTGAGGTATGTCGTCTCATTGTTTTGTTTTTATTTTTTAGAAAGCATGAAGGAATCATCAAACTATAAATTTGACTTGTAATTTTTTTCTTAGGATTGTTATAGGTGTATTATTTGGAATATGAGTAGCAATCAGTCCAAAATGTGTAATCAGCATAAATTATTATCATTCTCTATTTCATTCAAGTATTCAAATGGGGGACTTAATTTACAATGTATCTATATCTAATAGACACATGTGAACCATGTTCTTACTTATGTTTAAGTTTGAAATAGAGGGAGGGAAATTAATTACTTGTTTCAAAATTATAAACGACAATCAAAGCATCACTTTTTTGTTTCCAGCTGTTGGAAGAAAGATTTTTACAAACAGATGATATTTGATTTTGACACTCCCATCTAATGCACTTTCCTTGTCATAAGGTCATTGGAAAAGCTTCTTGCCCTTTTTAGACAAGGATTATCTTATACCCCAACCAAGGAACACAAACTTTAGAAAGTGAACACTACTTTCTATTCCTTAGAATGATATGTAGGTCAAAGTTCCAAGTGTATGGCTTATGAAGGGTGTGGTGTCATATTGAACTGAATAGTGATACTCTGTAAGATGAGCTATTTTTAGAGTCTACTTATTTGGCAGTGAAATACCAAGATATAATCAGATAAAGAAGTGCTTTCATGAATATGTGATTGTGCTGAAATACTGCCAAAATTTCAGCTTATAGGTAGCCATAAATGTTGAGTAGTATGGCAGATAATTGACAAATGTGTGCCAAAAGATAATGCTTTGTATTATAATATGAAGTAATGACTTGAGACTTTCTATATATGGAGTAATGTAGATGCCACAAAGTAGCTGACCACTTATACCTTATTAAAAGTGAATTAAGATCTTATACTTTAATCAGTCTTGGAAGGCATTCCAAACTGAGTTTACTTCTGAGTTGTAAAGCTCATATTTGAGCAGGATAGGGGTACAATATATGCTTATAAGCAACAATGGCCTCACCCTTTCTGCTAAGATTCATATGGTTTGAATTTGTAGCCTTCCAGTAGAGTCTTGTATTGTCACTTGATACACTTACCAGTATCGTATTCTGATCTATTCCTGTCTTTGTTTTCAATTTTATGATATCTTTTAGAAGAATCACGATCATGAAATCTTTTCAAAGAATCACTTTCATGAAATATTTTCAAAGAATCAATCATGAACTTTGTCATCTGATAATCTTATGTTATTAAATTAATTTCATTATTTCTGGACTTCTGTTGTATTTTTGTGAACTGTAATCAGAGAATAAGTTGTGTATAAAAGCATTATCACCTAATGTATCTATTCTATTCCTAATCTTTATTTTTATTTTCCATTCAATATTTCAGGAGCAAAAGTTGTACGAGGAAGAGACTACTGAATTGAAGGCTAAGCTTCTTGAGCAAGAGACCAACCTAACAGAACTGGAGGAGAGCGTTGAACGTAAGACAATCGTTTTATGATTTCAGTTCAATGTGTAATAGAACAATGCTGATAGGATTGTATATATAGCCTAGGACAGGGACAGTGATTCTTGGAGGATGGGGATGGATGCTTCATCCTGGAAAACGTTAATGAGCAATCACTTCCTAGGTGTAATGTTGAATATTTGATGCATCATGATGAACAAAAAACTTGTCTTTAAATGGCAGATTTGAGAGATATAACGGCTAAAGATGTTATCAAGTGGCTCTATGATTAAGCATACAATACATATAATTGAATGTATTGGAAGTGATGTCGATCTACCAATGGCATGATGATCTATGCATACAGCCAACACATACCATTTGTATCCCACCCACAACACACCACATACTCTATAAACGTCTTGCATTTCCTTGTTTCATTGTTTCGCAGGGAGTGCGGATATTTCAAATGAAGGGTCATAATCCCATAAGAATTCTCCACAATGTAGAAAATGTTGTTACATCTGGAATGAATAAAGTAACATCCCCTCACAAAGGGAAGGAAAGTCATCCCCTGTATCACTAAAACATAGCTCCTCAGGGGCAGATTTAATGTTCAGTCAGATGACTGGTAATGGTGAGGCCAGGTGCTGTTTGCATTGTCCTGTACACACTGCTAAGAGAGTAGAGGAAATAATGTCAATTGTATGTAATCATGAATATATCCAATAGGAAGTATTTCAAATCAATGATGTGACCCAGTTATAAGGATTATTTGAACTCCCAAATAGGAAATATTTCAAATCAGTGATATGACTTTCTAAGAATAATGTGATTTATATGACAAAGGATCTGCAAAGCTCTACCTTTCCAACAAGTTGAAAGCTTATAATATGATCACTAACACACACACAAAATAAAATTTACAGGCTCTTCTCCTCTTTCTAGAATGAATTTTTAAACAGTTTGTTGTGCCACCCATCTTTGGTGCAGTTAAATGGCAGAACTTTATACCTTCAGAACTTATACATTTTTAGTATAATTTCAAAGTAAAAAAGCTGATCCCATTATCTAAAAAACTTACAAGTATTAAATTATGTCTGTAGCATGTGGATGTGATTTATAAAAACTGGGGGTAGTTCAAATAACTTCAAAAATAAATTAAGAGCTGATCACTCCAGCAGAGGCAGGTTGCAGGCATGATGAATATTTGCGTCTAGACTTTAAACTCTAGGGATTAAAAATCAAGCCATTCAGCTGTCCTAGTTCCTTTTGTCATATACTAGAGAATGAGATATCTTCCTGTGTTCTAATTACCCCCAACATAGCAGCAGCCCCTCCAAGAAATATCTCCTTGCCCTAATTATATCCACCTTGGACGGAGGAGCTTTGCCTGTCAGGGTGTGAGAGGTTTTAAGGGTAGGGGGTAATCGGTGTGGAAAGAGGAGGATATCCTAGGCTTCCCCCTCCCTAGCTAGGATGTGCTCAAAGCCGAAGGGTTTAGCTAATCCTATCCTCTGAGCTACTAAGGTAGCACCACCCTCAAGTATTGCAGTTTTGTTTATGAAGGAGGTTGGATCAGCAAATGAAAGTTGTTAATTTCCATCTAATCTATGTCTCATTAAGATTGAAGGAATAAAAGCATGTTATTAGTTTGTCTTCAAGGATGATAAGAAGTAACATCTCTTTGTTTCTAGTTTTAAAAAAATACATTTTGCATCTAGGGACTGCCACTTTTAATGAAGGTCTTTCAACAGATTAGGCCTTTGAGATAGTTGAAGTAGACACATATTTGCTTTATGTTGACAGAGTTTCAAGAATATTTTCTGATTGATTCAGAGCACATTGCATGATACTGAAAATTTCCCAAATTAGGTGGATGAAAATATTCAAATTTGAATTGTTGATTTGGTATTCCAGAAATTAACATAATAACTTAAGATATTAACATTTTTTTATTTTTTTTTGCATCCTCAAATATTCACCCTTGTGTCACATTTTCTTAACAAGCACACTGGAGAGAAAGGCAAATTTTACTTTCACCAACTGAACAATATAAATATCATTTATTCTTTTTGACCAGTTCAAGTCAATACAGCAGTGGAGGAGACCAAAGAGCATCTCATCGCTGAGTTTGAAGATGAGCGATCACGGCACCAGAAACTCCTTCTGGACTACACTCGTCTGGAGCAACGCTTTGACAATCTCAAGGAAGACATGCAGGCCATGGAGAACAGCCCTACGGCTCACATGAACGGTGGGATGGTACCCCGGCATGTACGGGCGGACAGCAGCGAGGGCGCTGAGTCCGGCTACGGCACCCTGGCCACCACCACCACCGAGGATGCTGAAAATGTGGAGGTAGAGATAGAAGTGAGTTTCTATGTTTTGGGGACAGTGAGCTAGCTGCTAGCTCCAGAAAGATCTAGCTGTGCAGCTTGTTGGTAGATTCATTGTCTGTCTCGTTACCACTGCTTTTGTTTGTTGTTTCTTTCTTTTTTTAAATTATTTTTGCACTTGTATTTGTTTTGTCTACCGTTTCATGTAAATGTAGTAGAAAATGTGATTCTGAGTATCTTGTACATGGTACTTGCTTGTACTACTCTTGATTATTAAATGGTGTATGTATTCAAATTGGCTATCACATACCTTAGAAGTTATTATTCTCTAGTGATTTATCCATCTTTCTATGATAACTTAGAGTAAATGAACTTTTAGTCATCTTTAAACCTGAATGTTTCACTTGCATGATGATAAATAACCAACGTGCAAATTGTGTGTATATTTTGATACTCTAGTATCTCATCACACATGTGTTTTATTTTAGTTAAGGTGATCCTTTACTATATTTTTCATGCTGGTAAAATAATTTATTCAATTTTCAAGAATGTTACATTTTTGAAGGATGATTATGAGATTCTTTCTTGTTAGTGTTAAAGTAAAGATTTTTTTTCTTTCTAAAATATATGATTTTTCAGAAACCAGCAATCAGCAATCAGTATCAACAGTGGCCCATTTCACAGAGACCCCTATATGTTTTTTTTTTCTTTCTTGGACCCAATGCTCAAGAATTTAAATCCGTATCCCTAGGGAAAATAGTTAACCTAATGCCTCATTCATAATGACTGAAATTCTAAAGGTGTTAAAATGTGGCACCTTACATCAGATACCTAGCACTGCAATTCTATATATGTGTATAGCGCTTAGAGACATAATAGATGTATTAAGCGCTATATAAAAGCGGAATTATTATTATTAAGTTTGACGCCATACACCAGATACCTAACACTGAAACTTGTTTTGATTATACTCCAGGAGCAGGGTGAGGAGAATGCCAGTATGGACATCAGTGTGTTCATCAAGCTGCAGCAACGATGCAGGGATCTTGAGAAAGAGAAGAGCAAGCTAGAGGTCCAGCTAGAGAAGAGGGAAGTAGATGGACGCAACAGGACAAACAACATTGAGCATGAGCTCGATCATCTGCATCTTTTGGTAATATTAATAATAACAATTCTGCACTTATATTGCGCACAACTCTGCCGACATACATGTATAGGCACCCTTGGCGCACAGATCTCCAAACCATACTCATTACAAAATATGGTCATTAATCAAAAGTTCAACAGAACTAAGTTTTAACAAAATGAAAAGGTGACAAATGGTCAACATAACTACAGATATACTACTACTAGCCAAAAGTAATTAAAAAAAATGTCAGTTGACATCCTTAACTCTCTGTTAGGTTTTTTTTTACAACTGTATTTATTGTCTGCATGGTTGTACTAACTATATCTGTGGGAATGGCTGTTGGACATTCATATGGTGAAGATTCTGCATCACCATCAACATACTTTTGTATGCACAACATTTTTGCTGGAATAACATTTCTTGAATTTTTTACTAGTAAAACTTTCTTTGGTCCTAGGAAAGTCATAAGTTATTTAGATAAACTTTACAATGGCGATTAACCTCCAAGTGCACTACTGTCTTTACTCTCATTGCAAAGGTCTAAACTGTCAGACACTTTTTAGGCTTGCCATGTTGTGAAACTATTCATACAAAGATGAAAAAGCTCCTGTATACCCAAGCTATTCCTGCATGTAAGATTTAGAAGTGAAAACAAAGCCAAAAATTTAGAAGTTTACTCAAGGTATTTTTAGAGAGTCATTTGATTGATTGACAAAGTCAATTAGTGTGCTCTGGAGATCATAATCATTATAGTTGGTCCACAGTTTGCTTATCAACAAGCATATGCTTACTTCCTTAGCAGCCTTGTAGACCCCAAAAATAAGAATATTATTAAAGCCAACTTCTTCTCTCTGCCCCTGTAGAACAAAGACCTGAATGAGGAGAACAACAGAGTGAAGAAGGACATGGATAACTTGAGACGCACTCTGGAAGGAGATGAAGAAGAGAATAACCCTGTCAAGATCCTCAACAGCCAGGTAGATGTACTCAATCTAGAGAATGAGAAGCATCGGCAGGAGATCGTCAAACTCAAGACAGACCTGGTCAACAGGAGAAGACAGTGGGCTCTACAGGTGCGTACACTTTAGAAATTCATTGCCTGGTTGCTTAATTAGGGCCCATACATACTAGATGACATGGTGTATAAAGAAATGCAGCATACAGTTTATAATGTCTGTATTGTGAAAGGGGCATACATGTATAGATGGTTACTGATTACCGTCTATACATGTAATACCATATTACAAGTATGCAACAGTATTTATTATAAGGATACCAAAGAATTTGTAAACATTTATTCATGATTTTGATTGCACTATGTTCTTACCAAACAGGGCCTCATGGAAGACCACCACTATTGGTGAAAATGTGCTATCCTATATAAATGTCAACAAATGTATAATACAGGATTTAATATTTTATAAAGAACTATGAATAGAAACTCAATGTTGAGTTATATCATTGTTGTACAGAAAAAAAAATTCATAGCATGGCAGTCATGATTCTTTACATCTTTTTCATAAAAAATAACTACCAAACCAGCTATCCTATTCTTAGTCTTGCCCCTTACACCTCAGTCAAAATTAATTGAACCAGTTCTAGATTTTGTAGACTAACCCATCTTGACTTGTCAATTCTATTGATGACATTAAAAATGGTTTCAAATACCTAGTCAAACTTGATGAATATCTCATGGACAGTATAATTAACAATTGCAAGTTTCAGTTTATAACAATTGAAATAACAGATTTATTCAGTTCAAATTCTTTCAACTATGTTTCGCATCAATATTCTCTCTTTCGAATGCATTGTATCTGAAAACATCAGCTACCTTTAACTCTTGATTTATGACATTTCATGATCTTAATGTTATGAAACTGAGCTCACATGCAGGATCTAATGTGTTGAAAGTGAATATAATCCTGTTTCTTGAAAGCAATCAGGTATACATTATGTCATCATTGATCCTTAATAATGTCCTGTGATAATATTCATACATGAATTCATAGAATTCACTTTTAATAAGTCGTTATTGACATTTCTTTAGAATAACTTTCAAAACTGTCTTTTGGAAGAAACCATTTCTAAATCACATTTTCTTTCCCTTTTATTCTCTTCTCCCCTCGTCCATCCCTTGTATGAAATCAGGAAGGAGACAGCGTAGAGACAGGAACCAACACTGAGCAGCACATGCTGGTCAGTGATGAGGATCTGGACAACCTTCAGCTGGACTCTAGTCTCATCTCAGACTACAAGTCGGTCAAGACAACAAACCAGTAAGCTAAAATCCTCAATTCTTGACATTTCATCTGTTTCCAAATCTTTGTTTCTAGTGGTGATTTTTAACTGTCACTATTTGGTAGAGAAAATTAGAATGTGGGTGCACAGAGGGTTGGATTGGTCTTCTTACCATCATCTCTAAGTAGACACTTGTCAGGCTTTATTCAGGGATGCTACGTCATCATCAACTTTGTCTTTCTATATCTCTGACTATTCTCCCCTCTCTCCCTCGCTCGCTCTCTCTCTCTCTCTCTCTCTGTCTGTCTTTCTCCGTCTTTCTCTCTTCTCTCTCTCTCTCTCTCTCTCTGTCTTTGTGTGTGTGTCTCTCTGTCTATTTGTTATGTGTGTTTTTGTTCTCCTCTATGTCTCTCTCTCTTTCTCTATCTATGTTCTTCTTTGTATTTCTGTGTTACTCTTTCATTTTATATTTCTTGTCTATCAATTTTCACTCACGTCTTGATCTCACTTTTCTCTGTATCTCTAGTTCTCTCTCCTTTTCTTCACTTAACAATAACATTGCTTACCATATAACAGGACTCAAGAGCTGCATATACCTTTGCCTCAAATAAAATCAATTATTGAATAAAGAATGCACATTCACGAGATTATGACAAGTGATATAGATTATTCAGAATGGATGTATAAAGTCATATTGCTTATTTGTTTTGATCTTAATAGACAACAGTAAAATCTGTTGTTTTCTGGGAAGATACTTTTTCATAAATTTTCAAATTGTTCTTTTAACCATGCAAGATAGCTTTACATCTAAACTTAATTATTCAGAAAAGAAAATTAATTTTAAGTCATTTGCTCAATATTCATGGTGCAATTAGGGGTTCCATATTTGATTATTTCAAAGCTTAAAGAAAATAAGCCATTCAACTGCTGCCCACATTTGTTCAAGTATTCATTTTTATATAATGCAACATGAACAGTTACTCACAAAAGAAACACAAGAAGGGCTTTTTCATTATTTTATGACCCATTAAACATTTGGAATTGCTATTTATGAACTTTGTAGCTGTTAGTAACCTTGATATGATCACCCTGATACGACCACCATGAGTGTATTTTATTTTAAATATTTAGATAATTTAAAGATATTTTTAGTCACATAAATTCTTGGTTATTTGGAAACGATTGGAGGTACGGTATATCACCCGGAAAGTACATGTATCACAGCGAGGAGATGTAGTACATCAACCCAGCACTCAACGTCATTCTGAAACTTAAAATGTGCATGAAATTGTTGTTTCCCTGTCATATACCCTAGTATGCATGATAGTATACACTGTAAATGTGGAGTACAGATATGATATTTATTTCAAAGAAGCTCCCTGGCAATACTCTGTAGCAATACATGTTGATGTGCATGCACAATGTAAGACAGTAACCATTTGAATATATCCCTTGATTTCTACTTTTCCTCTTGAATAGATGTAAACTGTTATTTTTTCATTTAGAACTACATGTAGATCTGGGGATCCCTCGAAGGACATTATTTAATTCATTTTCTATTTGTAGCCCTTCTTTGTTGTATTTTAAAAGTTGTGATTCTTGATTTTTTACTTTATTCTCTTAACGTACCCCCCCCCCCCCCCCCCTCCACAAATGTCACTTCCGCCCCCTGGATTACCTCAAATATTGTTGGACCTCCTATCCTCCCCCTTTCCCCACACCCCACCTGACCACCCAAACAACTCTCAACCGATTCTCCCCTCCCCCTCATTGTCATTTTCATTAATGCACCAAATGGCACACGTACTCTTTGCCTTTTCTGTGTCCCACCTCACTCTCTTCTGTATTATCTTGCTCAGTTTGTTCAATGCTTTGGCTCACAGTCAAACGAGTCTTGAAGAGACCGTCACAAACTTCGGCAATCTGGCTGAAAATCACAATGACCTCCTGGTTGCTAAGATGTGAGTAACCATGACAACGGTATCTTAACAAAATCGTAGAGGGCACCTTACTGGGGATGCTTCATATACATGTAACGGGGCATGCCGGAATGAAGGCTGCGGTGTTTAAGAATGTTGGAATCAGGAATGGCTATAGGAGAGAGATGCATTGAATGGCTTTTATACTTCCAACTCATGTGTTGGCAAAATAGAATGATTTCTGGACTGCTCTTTGATTGAATTGGAAAATTACAAAGTCAACCTAATTCTGTGTTTCTAACTGATTCTAATTTGATTTTCAGACTGAATCAATCCTCTTGATACTTCCTCTTTCATTATTACTAAACTCTGCATTACTCCCTCTTTATAATCAGAATGTTTTCAATAGATTTGCTTTTTCATCCTCTCGTATTTACCCTTTGATCATGACACATGGGCTGTTTGTTGGCATCAGTATGCACCCGCTTTCTCCATACTTTCCTCTTGCATGTAAACATAGCAGCTTTAGTGGATATCATACCCATCCCCTGTGCATGCATATGTATTATCATGACTGTAGTCCCATCTGTACCTTTCTATGTTTGTTGAACGTTCAAGTGCTACCATCTCACAACAGCAAACAACAGTTGTTTCAACATGACTCAGTACTCATCCGTCCATTTAGCTAAATTTCATATATTAGTCAATATAGCTGACACATCAGAAGTATTCAACTTTTACAATTTCCATTTGTTGTGCTTAAAATATTTTGAGTTGGAAATATTAAAGAATGGATTGCTATTAACTCTAAAACCAGTAATTTAATAACTGTGTCGTTATATCTATGTTTTGACTAAACATTTTGTTAACAGTGATGTCTTTAACGATGTAATAGATTTGAGGAATGAGACTCGTGGCAGAGATTTGCTGATTATTCAAGAGAAAATGAATATATATATATCTTCATGTAGTTAATATAAGCTTGTTTTATGTAAAAAGATACCAGCCAGTTTCAGATATTCAATCTTTTTGACATGTAGATTCACATACATGTAGGTACCTCTATTTGTTATGCAACATTTTATCAGGATATATCATCTGCTGAAAGCCAGAAGGCCATTAACTTGTATCATTTTACATAGAGTTAATGCCCTTCTGGCTCTCAGCAGACAATATTTTATTGAGAAATAATAATTTTTATAATTTTCAATACTGGTATGTACTGGGAAAATGATGGTTATAGATGGGTTAATTGAAAGAGAGCAGGCCTATATGGTAAAGGGAAGCTATTTGCATGGCAGGCAGTATGTGAGTACCTTATAAGCTATGGGTTATGTGGGTTTTGGTGAGGAATGAACGGGATATTGCTATGTATAAGATAGTTAAACAATACTCTTAGTTTAGGATATATTACCTTAACAGAACTTAATTGAAAGTGTTCAAGATATGCACATGCACATCATGATTACAGTAGAGTTTGCAGTTTGATGCTGTAACAATACTTAATAATTATTCATTAGCCATAGTTGAAATGGGTTTGTTTCCTTCATATGTTGATGTTAGTGAGTGAGTGGGATTTGATGCGATTTAAAATTTTGCATGAGCCGAAATATTATCATATTAAGCTGTAGTGATAGTGGGAAATAATTTTATTGAAACTTTGAATAAATACATGCAGTTTTGATGCTCCATAAAACAGATATCTTCTTTTGAGGTATGGTTTGAAATTGTGTTGTCAGTGCTCATGAGGAAAAGCAGTTTAACAATAAATATTCTCATTTTAATAGCAATTTTAAGTCAAGATAAACTTCAAGCTATGTTAGTATACTCAGCATAAATTCTATGATTAATTTTAATAAGCTGTATGCAATTTATGTTTTCTTTGTATTAAAAGGAAGGAAAGACAACTCTTTAAGATCACTAAGATTTATGTACCACATGAGACCATAATTGCCATATGATTGTCATAAGCAGTACATTTCATACATGCAGAGCTGCCCAATTTACAATAGTTATACTCTTCTGTTCATTTTCGTATCATTATTATAGCCAAATTCACATTGACCATCAAATGAAAAATAATTGTATATGTTATCCATTTCAGCATTATTTATTCTTCGTAATGATTCATTGATATTATTTCATCATGGGATGTTATGTATTTGTTTTAATCAAAATGCTTTCTCTATGCTACACAAAGTCATAACAATACCATATACAGGGGAAGTTTCTGCTTTTTGTAGTGTTTTACCGGAAAAGAGGTCATATTTAAAGATAGGAAAGATGAAACATTATTCTTTGTTTCGCAAGTGAAGGAATCTTTTGAAGAACATTTAGTTCATGTATCCAAGTATATGCAATTTATTTTAGAAGATTTAGCCTACATAAATAGGTAGCTCAGCTCACATTTGCATGATTGCAAGCCTTGTTTATATTTTGGATATTGTCATTTAAGTGCCTTGCAATTCCCACATGCCGACTTGGTTTTTGTGTTGTACTAAACAGAGTTCTTTAAATTTCTTTACTCACAGAATTTTAGAGAAGGAGATCCAGGCACTGCGAATGAATTATGATTATGAGAAGACTGATCTTAAAGAGCAGATTGGAAAGCTACAGCAAGATAATGAGAGACAGCAGAGTATCATTGGAGAGGTAAGATCCCGTTAACTTCTTGAAAATATATTATATCCAAAAATAACATTTGATTAACGAGTTGTTAGAATTTTGTGTAAATATTATCAATTTGAATAGTCAGAGGATATACTAGTGGGAGAGACTTTCTCCAGAGTTCCATTGGGACTAAACTCTATATTACAGTAGAAGCTGACTTTGCATTCACTAATTGATGCTATGTTAGGCAACGTTTATGTATTATACATATAACTTAAATACATTATTCAATTGGGCTTTTGATCAAAATTTGACTGTTTCTTCCCAAAGTTATCGTACAATGAAAATGTAATAATTTTCCATGGAAATAGCATGACATTTTTATAATTAAATCATTCTCATTGATGATGCTGTACATTTAAACAAAACTTACTATATCAAATTAAATCCACAGAATCTGAAGCTGACACCAGCTGCCAGGGTTAGCCAAGCAATACAATTTGAGCTCTCCAGATTGACTAATGAGAACATTGTAAGTGCTTGATGATGATGATGATGGTGGTGGTGGTGCAGGTGATGGTGATACTGATGATGATGATGATGATGATGATGATGATGATGATGATGATGATGATGATGATGATGATGATGATGATGATGATGATGATGATGATGATGATGATGATGATGATGATGATGATGATGATGGTGGTGGTGATACTGATGATGATGATAATGATGATGATGATGATGATGATGATGATGATGATGGTCACAGTGATGATATTTCTTACTGTCATTATTTGTATTATTGATTAAATTGCCGCTGAAGTCAATAATAGTGGGATACATATAATTTGCTGAAAAAGATTGATACAGTGATTGCTGCAAACATTAAATATTTAGAATATATGAAAATACATTATTAAGATGAAATTTGTATTAGCAATTTAAGTTGAAAAGTTTTGGATTTGACTTGTGTCCAGATATTTTTGATAATATATTATGAGCATTAATCATATGACCACCTATTACCCAGGTAATGACAGTTGTCTAATTTGTTTCTACAACCTTAAACCCCACGTTTTCCTCTACCTTTACATCATTCATTCCCTTCTTATTCCTCCCTCTTAGAATCTACTGGAGGAGAAAGAATACCTGGAGAAGTTTGTGAAGAAACTCAAGAAGCAGCTCAAGGCAGCTCACAAGAGAATGCAATCAACATCATCAGCTGATCTGGGAGGAGGTATATTAAGTAACCATTTTGACCTTTGCCCTCCCCCCCCCCCCCCTCCCCCTTCCCAGATTTCAATTGGTCCATATTTAAATCTAGACAAACTATCATAGTAACAGAAAACTTCTTGGAATATGAAAAAGCCCTCAAATTATTTGGAAAAAAAAGATTTTGGGGGGCTAGAGCTAGCATACATATAGTATGAAAATACAAACCTATTAAAATTCTATTGAAATGACCTGATTTCAAAGGTCATATTTCATCTAGGAATTACAATACATTTAAACCGTTAACTGGGGGAAAAGTTCCACTAATACTGGTATATATTTTAAGAATGATGTGTTCATCTATTACCACAATCTCTCCTGTTTGCTATGCTAAATTTGTACTAATTTTCCAACCCATCTATCAAAATGTTCCTATTTGAGGGAGATTTCAGATCGGTCAGTGCCAAAATAAAGGAATGTAATGAAGTTAGGATTTAATTATCATTACCTGTAGCTGCAGTGTATCCAAGGAAAACATTCGCAAAACCAAAGCCTTGTTGTAATGTTGGCCAACTTGCAGGGACACCGCTAGTACGTGCTGGTGAAATATGATTTCATCTCAGTTGAGGCATCACTATAAAAAGATTTTGACAGCTTGTATCAAACTTTTCATGCCACAATTAATTCACCCAGAGTTAAAGAAGGATACGAGGGAAAATTAAATGATAGATATACTAGTAATAAAGCAGAAGAGTTGTATATTTGCACTAATCAGGAGTCGATGCCCGGCTTGAAACGGTGGTTGAAAACCCAGTAGAACCGTGTCAAGAGAGTCCTACAGAGGAAACAAATGGCAAGTTATCATACAACATCACCAAGAACATTACTCTCCACCAAGTCTACATGTACTTTGTGTATCAGCATACTCAGCATGAGCAAATTGTCCACTTACATCACCTCCCATTAATATATATATATATTGTACACCATTTGTGAACCAAGTTGACATGCAGAACCTCCCCCTTCTTTATCATTTTGCTCCAAGGACCTGTATATTGATTAAATGTCAAATCTAAGCTACCACGAATTGCATAAATGTACACATCAATTACTCAGATATTTCAGATATTATCAATATTTCAACTCCTTTTATTTCATCGGACTGTTGTGATGACTTTATATCCTGTATCAGTTCAGACTCGTACATGTACATGTATATCCATGAAACGTGACATAAATTTGTGTGTGTGTGTGTTCTTCTTCTTCTTTTATCATAAATCATAACAAATTTATCATTTGTGATATTACGCCGGATGGTTATGGTTATTTTCATTGGGTTCAGAAGAATTCACATATACATATACAAAGGCACTCCCATGTAAATACATAGTTATGTGTAAAATGATATTTCATTATACATGTTGTAAAACACACTCGGGTGTCCATGTATATTACGCATTCAAGGATACATTATCTTGATACCTATCAACCTACATTACCTATTATGATTAGATAATAGTACTCAGCTGTCATTCTTCCATTAAACATTACTGTTCAATAATGTCAGGTCTTGTAATCATGTGAATGCATATATTTGGCAGCAGTGTATATTATTGAAAGTACAGTCAAACCTGCTTTAGTGGCCACCTCTCTACAAAGACCACATTTATTCCCCCTTGAAATGGTTTCTCATTGAAACATGTACTAAAGGAACCTGTCTACAAAGACCAGTTTTTGTGTTTCCCTTGGGCGGTCGCTATAGACAGGTTTGACTGTATATGAAACCATACATGTACCTACCGTCATCCAACCTTTTGAGCCAACTCTTCCCTTTGCAGCCCTTGTGCCCTACGTAAATGTCACATTCTTCCGTCTTGTATACCTCCGTCTCCGTACCTCCTGGATTTTCAGAATTTTAGCCTTTCCTTATTGGCTCTTTTGCCACCGGATCAGTAAGTACATTGAGGTCATGTGATCTTGGACGTACCAATCAGCTAGTTCCATGTGGGGGAAAGGTAGTCTATGAAACAGACTCTGAAACCTTTCTATTGTTTCATTTTAGTGTACCCCCTCCTTTCTATCTTTCTTGCCTGAGCTGTCTGTCTTAACAAGTATTTAATCAGAGCATGAACAATAATCCCAAAAATGTATACTACCGAGGCTAAAATACTAATGCCAGAGAAGAAAACGATTTTTTTTGATAACCCAATGATGCATTGCATTTCAAACTAGTTTGGAATTATGGAACATCTCTTCCAAATCAATTTGTAAGCTACAGTGCTCATTTTTATTTCCCTATAAATTTCAAATAAGTCAATTTTATCAGATTACAAGAGCATGTATTCAAAGATTTTAACAAATTTAGGAATGATGTATTTAATTTGTAAATTGGCTTTATAACGGTATGACATTTTATAGCACTTTTACATGGTTGCTACCAGTTTTGAAAAGTTTGGGAAAGAAAAAAATGTAAAAGAAAAAAAGCCATTCACACACACTCAAAAAATGCATTTTTACTAATGCTAACATCATGCTTCTTGTCTATTTAACAGAATTTTCACTAACTAAACTAATATTAACAATTTTTTTTCTTGCTTCAAGCTTTTGGTTGCATTTTTCTAAGATTTTAATTTTCCTCTGTCTTAGATCGACAACAACATATATATATATTAAGCCCTTGTTTTATGCTTTATGTCACCTCTATGTTTCGCTTCTGATCCCCTTTTATTTCTGCCAAATTCACTCTCTTTGTCTCTGTTTCTCACATGATATGGACGTCCAAGATAATGATCTCAAAGTACTTCTGTATATCAAGTGGTATCACCTTCTCAGTTCCTAAACACATTGTGAAAGAAATGTTTTAGAATCAATTGAGAAAGGTTGATGATGAAGGATAAAATTAAATGTGAGGTTTTTTAATCATCAAAATGAAAATAAATTGACCCAATCTTGCTGAATTTACATGCACTACATATAGAAATTGGTACATGGGACTACACACAAGTGAAATGAAAGTTTGGTCCAAACTGTTCTGCCATTTCTTGTCATATTGTATGGGACATTTCTTATATTCTACAAACTGACATAAACAAATTGGCTCACAAATTACATCACATCTTTACCGAATCTCAACCTTCTCTTTAGTATTTGTTCGTCAAAGAAATTGATTGGTGTACGAATCAATTTCTTTTCTGAGACCTTAGGTTAACAAGAGTGTTTGGGAGAAGGAAATTAATCAATTTTATAGTCGATACTGTATTCAATTGGCTATTTAATACTCTAATCAGATTTAGAAATAACCAAGGAACTTTGATTCATATAATATTAGAAAGCTATTATATGCTTCATTCACATACATAATACGACTTTCATTCATGGGACGATATATCCATCATGTTAAGTAAGGTACATGTGTGTATCATTTAATAGAACTTATTCTATCTGTTATTTGATGTGTATTTACATCAACAACAACAACAAAACATTGTGAAAAAAGCTTATCATAATTTCAAACTTATTCAAGGAGTTTGAGGAATCTTGGATTTTATTTATAATTTTATTTAACATAAGGATCAAAAATATATTTTCTCCAACATTTTACTAATTTGTTTAAATAATAGACAAGATTATGTATTTCAACTAAAGTATAATGTACTTCTGTTCTCTGTTCCATCCATACACAACACACATTGATGCACAATGAAATTTGAGTTTCTATGTTCTAAACTCAATACTTTCAACTATTATACTTGTTTAAATAAGACCAAAAACTTGTTAATAATACATCAATTTTGTTTTCATCAAAATCTTGACCACACAAAAGAACAATTTGTTTTTCTTTGTAGATATGACTTTAGTCAGCTGTTATTACGTTACCACAGGCTTCGCACAAAAAGTAAAGAAATGAACTATGTGATTTGTTTTACTCCTTCCACTATTGGACAGTGGATTGAAACGTTGCATGCCACAATTGCTCCATGTATCTCACATTTATCATTTACATCACAACAATTCAATTTAGGTCACCACAAACAAAATGTCTACCTGTAAAACCAGACACTTTCCCAACATCAAAGTTTTGCAAATTGTAAATGACGGTCCTTTTCTCATCAAGACACTCTTGTTAATTTCAATTATTCAGTACAATACCAGTTTAATAAGATTCAAGTCTTTTGGGGCATGAATTTTTTTGTGCAAATCTTCACCTCTCGCTACAATTTTCGAACGTTTTATGCACAAAAAGGTTTTTGGTGCTACAGTATGGCCCATATATGTTGTGATGATGTGTAACCATAGAATGTCCTTTACTTCACAGTGGCCACAGTGAACAACATTCCAGACGTGCACCTCTCTGGGGTACCTTCAGAGTTCAGCGACGCGCCTGAGTCATCACAAGCTAACGTGAGGGTGAAGGAACGGGAGGAGATGATGGGTATGCTGGAGTACAAAGCAGAGGATGAACCTAAACTACTCAAGATGGTCATCATAGGTAGGAAGATCTGATTTGATTGGATTGGATTGGGTTTATTTTTGTAACATGTAGATACTATTGACCTATTGGAACCATCTGTTAGATGAACTGCTGTCACTATGAACATGACGGACAAAGAAAGCAGACAAAATATACAGTTCCTCATTCTATCCTCAACAATTGCTATGGTAGACAAAGGAACATCCCTTCACTGCTATTATGTAAAAATCTGTAGAACAGGTGTCACATGCATATTCACCTGTTCTACACATTTTTACATAATAGCAGTGAAGGGATGTTCCTTTATCTACCCTAGCAATTGTTGAGGGTAGAATGAGGAACTGTATATTTTGTCGACTTTCTTTGTCCGTCATGTTCATAGTGTGTATGTAGCAAATTACTCAAGTACATGTGAACGAAAGAAAAGCGTAATCAAGATATACAAAATGAAATGTGAATATGGCCTATGGATCTCAAACCATACCTACCTTTTAAGAAACAAGAATTTTTAATTGTGGTAGTCATGATTTCAAGTGATCCTTTTATGAAGTCATAGTTTTTGGAATGGGTGTTCTATTCATCCACACTTTAGTAGTGTAAGGATAATGGAGGCCCTGTAAAATAAAAGTTGAATCATGATGGTATGGTTGAGGACCAGAGATAAATAAAAAGCAAAAACATAAGAAATAAAAGCAGAAGTGATCTAGGACTTTGGGGCATGTGTCAGACAATTTTTCTATCAAAATGTTTTACTGTAATCAGACAAATTTAAACATCAAACCTGGAATGGTTGTCTTTGGTCTAGGACCAAGGTCAAGGTGGCTCATGGTTGACTCTAAGAGATTGAATTAATTTGGAGATTCATTGCATCTCCAGTATCATTTAAATCTGCACAATAGTTATCAAAGTAGACTGGTAACATACCACATCTCTCCATCTCTCCCACCATAACAGACTTCATCCCTGAAGCAGCGGAGGGTCACCTGCCTGGCCTGCCAGCTTACATCATCTTCATGTGTATCCGCCATGCTGACTTTGTCAATGATGATAGGAAGGTCAAAGCCCTACTCACAGGGGTCATCAATGGTATCAAGAAAACTGTCAAGGTCAGTGTCAAGGACGTTTATTGCAGCCATTTTGATTTGTTATATTCATTAAATTACTGAATTCATCTTTCTTCAGCACAACATGCAGTAAGAATTTACTGATGTTCAAAGGGTATATAGATTCATCATGGAAATTTAGAAAACAAAATATACTTTTGAAATGTATATATTTAGGAGGAAAATTCACTTACGGTACTTGTTTATGTGTAATTTAGAAAGTCATGTGGATGATTTAATTGCAATATTTCATACTATTTTTGTTTTAAATTTAATTTTGTTAATTACTTTGGGTGAAGCATCTCCAGTAGATATATCTGAGCTTGAACAGGTCATATTTATGGACTGAATGAGTCAGATTTGAAAGTGTGATATATTGTTATTATGTCATTTAATACAACTTGTTTTGTGCTCGAGTAGCAAAGACACACAAATCATTAAGAATCATGTTTTAACTTGACCAAGATACATCTAACTATAGTTCATAGAAGTGTATGTGTTATAACCCACCGTTGGCTGGTATCACAACATTTTAATAATTCAGTAATGCGGATTTTCATGATTCTTTCTTTCCTCTTTTTAAAAATTATATTTTTTAAATATTTTTCTACAGAAACACTTTGAAGACTTTGAGTATGTCTCCTTCTGGTTGACAAACGCAACGCGGCTCCTTCATAATCTCAAACAGTACAGTGGAGAGGAGGTGAGATATTTAGATTCTAATAACATGAATTATGGCATGAAATTATGTTTTGATCCCGAGTCTAGTATTATGACAAACATTCCTTGAAGTTAAGGTTATTGTATTCATTTAGGTTGTTAAACATTGTCAGCTTTATACTACATATATATATATATAGATATATTTGCATGCTATGTTTTTTGTTTGTGAAGATTTCATTTATTCCAGTCTTTAATAAAGCTTGATTTTAAAAAATAGTAGTCTAACTATAAGTCTAGTTTGACGCTATTCCTTGAAAATCATTCAGTGAGAAATCAACTAAGTGTTTAATAATCAAAATTCATGATGATTATGTTTGTGGTTGAGATTGATGTGGCAATTATTTTACTAATTTCAACAAATTTACAATGCGACTTCTGACGAGTAGGAAAGAAAGGCCATGAAGGTATAGTAATCATCTCTTTTTTGGGAAGCCAACTTGAATATTATGAAACTTGCATGAAAGAAACTGGTTTATTCAGGGTTGTAGCTTTTCTTCAGTTGTTTACAACTACCTAGCAATTTGAGGGGTTATGTAAGGTTAAACAACTTAAGGAGGTAGGAATGTGGTTGGAGGTCCCTAGGACAGCAAGATGTTTGCCAGTAATAGTGGGGTTTTTTCAACATCAGATTTTCTTAGCATCAGGTTTTGTATTACCGGTAGCTGCTATTTTGGTTTCCTTTTGTCTCTCATTCTCTTGTATTTTCATTCTTCCTGTCGATCACTTTACTATGTGCATAGCTCTGATAAAGTTTCCAAAGTATTTCATTTCCTAAAGAGGTAGAAGAAATGGAAGAAACCCTTGTCTTGAATTTGAAAGTGGTTGTAGGGAGATTAGTTCCTCCTCTTAAAATGATACCTGGTTGCTTTGTTGTTCCTCAAAATGTTGCTTTGTATTAGCAGGTAAAAAACTAAATTACTCTTGAGTTTCTTTATTGATTTGAATGATAACAAGTTTATTACAAGCAAAGAATGTAATTTAATACTTGCATAACTTCACAAAAGGCCGACTCGCTAATTTACATGTACCGTATGTATGATATTTCTGGCCTAGTGGTAATGGGTACCCTGACTTGAACAGTGTATTACTCTACCGGTATTCACATTGCTGAATTGACCGTAAACCGACCAATATCTTGGTCATCATTCAAGGTAACATGAGTTTTTGTTTGATCTGTTGTTGGTCCAGTATCTGTCTTATCAGTGTAACTAATGACATGGCTCTACATGTATAAAGAGGATCGGAATAGGAGACTAATTGTACACTCTCTAACCCTCCCTCCTTGTGTTCTCCTTTGGCAGAGTTTCTCATCAAAGAACACGGAGCGACAGAACGAGCACTGTTTGCGAAACTTTGACCTCTCAGAGTACCGTCATGTGATGAATGATCTTGGGATCCATATCTATCAGATGCTGATCAGAATCATTGAGAATAGCGTCCAGCCCATGATAGGTAAGATACAGGTGGATGGCTGGCATGATAGGGAGCGACAGGTGTCATTATCAGTGACGTGATGACATTGATGGTTAGGGTTCAGATTGGGTTCTCAGTTATGTTCAGGGTTAGGTATAGTTTTAGGTCTAGGATTGAAGTCAGGAATTTGGTTCCTATAGGAACTAATTATCACTGTTGAAGGAGCAGGTTTTCATACAATAATCATTATCAGAAGAAAATAACTGATGTACATTTTCATGGAGAAATGGATGTTAGGCACTTTCCACATTGCTTAAAGTTCTTTATCTTTTGATATGCATGTAAAGTAAAGCTTGCTTTTTGCATTTGATTTTTTAATGTAAGGTATGTAAAAGGATTGCAACACAAAAATTGTATTGTATCAAATCACTCAGAGATTTATTTGTTGGAGAAGAGAATGGGGTCACAGAATCTGTCTTTGACAGGTGATTTTTTTTAAGATGAAATATCAAACAATCAGGAAGTTCTTTGGTATTTGTGTGCATTTAATAGTTTCATCATTATGTCATTGTATAGTGTCGGCCATGTTGAGAAAATAATTTGAATGTCCACATACCGTAACATGATTCATACTCTTTCTTGTACATGCAGTGACAGCCATGTTGGAAGGGGAGATGGCCGGGTTGGTGAGCAGCAAACCCACAGGGGTCAGGGGTAGTAACTCAACCATCAGAGAACGAGAGGTCAAGGATGTCTCGATAGACTCTCTCATCAAACAGGTCAGTTGTCTAGGATTCAATAGAAATAATTATTATTATAAGTGGGTTTGTAAATGTAGCTTGCCTAACACATTGCAAATGGTTTCCATTCTATCAAATGTGGATCAGTCTGTAATCAGTTTAACCATGGAAATAAGCTCAGTTATCTATGGGTTGAAGAATCAACTTCTTCCTTCGACAAATTGCCTCTAGATGTTAAGATTTTGTTGAGGTTTAGTGTAAGCCTTTTGATTTATTTGCATACAATTCATCCAGAATCACAAATTATATTGTGGAATATATTTCCAAAACTGTCATCTCACACTATACTGATTTCTCTGATTTTTGGCAATAATAATGGTGATTAGCATAGGAATAATTGATTTTATTTTTTTTAAATAATAATTATTATGATGAATTAGGTGATATAATAGCGAAGGTGGTGATGATTACATTTGCTTTTTATTAGTGAGATATGCAAATATTTCGTTCATATGTTTGAATGATAAGCTTAGATGTACATGTATGTTAGAGTATGTTCAAGCCAACTCTTCATTAAAATCTTTCTTCATTTTCTGAACAGTTGGGAACATACATAACGGTGATGAACGTCCACGGTATGGACCCTGAACTAGTCAAGCAGGTCGCAAGACAGGTACGTGTGTCTCTTAACATTCTTCTCTTCTTTATCTGTGGATGCTAGTCAGTCTCCACATCATTGTTATAACAGAAGTGTGTTTAATTTAAAGTGATGGATTGCTAAAGATGTTGTGTTGAATGGACAATCTATCACTGTGTTGACCAGTTGGATAGGCTGTGTCATGTTACACAATCCCAAATTAGCTATTGTTTTGTACGTCAAGCTCACAAAATTGTCAGAAAAAATGGTATTCCTTTGTAATTTTGTCAACAATACCAAGTAAACATGTTGGTCAGATCTGAAGTTTTTGACGTATCTCCTGAAAATAGATAATAGAAGCTTCATATTGTTTGAATAAATTGATGTTTTTTGTGATTTTTGTTTGTACAGGCCTTGTATTTGATCACAGCCAGTACTATTAACAACATACTTCTGAGGAAAGACATGTGCCATTGGTCTAAGGGAGTACAAATCAGGTAAAACAAATTAATTTCTTTATTTTCCTCTCTAGAACTAGTTCTTTTTTCTCAATTCATTTCATGTTTTACTGTATTTGATTTAGTTTAAGAGACACTGATTTTCTCGACAAACAGACTGATTTCAAACCATTTTATACTGCAATGTTCTGATGAGAGTTTGCTGCATTGGTGTAGCGTAAAGGTTGTCACACATTGGTTCGTGGATACAGGGCATGGCTATGAATATGATTGTGATTATAATCATGATTACATGATGCAGTAAGGACAGGTCAGCTTGAAAAGTTGAAAAGATAGGTTTTCAGGTGAGTCTTTTCAGCTTCAGTATTAAAGCAGTCTCAAATATACTAAGATAGCAAATATATATATATATATAGATGAACATGTATATGCAGTATATAAATTTATATATATATTTCAACAAATATCTATATGTTCATTAATGAATGCTTTATTATTCCACCACTAAAATGACATTGTATTAATTTCACCTCTCTCTCCCTCTCTCCCTCTCTCCCTCTCTCCAGGTATAACCTGAGTGAGCTTGAGGAGTGGCTCAGGTCAAGTCGTCTCTATGATAAGATGATGGAGACGACCCTTGAACCCTTGGTTCAGGTCGCGCAGCTTCTCCAGGTTAAGAAGAGAACAGACGATGATGTGGGTATCATCTGTGACACATGTACTCAACTCACAGTCACACAGGTGAGAAAGCATAGGAAACCTTCAACAAATAGTTTGCAGTTATTGTTGATAGAGCCAAACCTGCCAATAGAGACATCTACAGGCACTTCCATTTTTTTACTTGAACTTGAAGCCTGTATGGCTCTCAGCAGATTCTTTTAGAATCACCTGGCCATAAAAACACTAAAACAGTTTGGTTCATTTTCCATGATAATCATTGTATGAAAGTGAACCTGTACACAAGCATCAGATCTTTGTATAGACTGTTTTCATGTTTCTTTTTATTGATCTTTGTATTTGTATTACTGTATTTTGATGAATTAGGTTTGCATTTTATTGCAAGTGCCCATAGACTAGCACACCTTAGAAACATGTTTTGCTCTACATGTCTTGATTGGGGGTTGACCCTCCCCCCCCCCCCCCCCTTATTACGAAAACAAAAGTAAGGTATTTCATGTGTGAAAAATTGGTTCCATGACTAAGATGATGGTGTTGTTGGATGTTTCTCTATTGAATATGTATTTCTTATATTCTTTCCTCAGATCATTAAGATCCTCAACCTGTACACGCCGGATGAATACGAGAAGAGAACCGAGATCGCATTCATCCGCAAGGTCCAGTCACGTCTTGCAAACCGGAACGACCCCAAGCGCGAGTCGCAGCTCCTTATCGACGCCAAGCACACATTCCCGGTCACGTTCCCGTACAACCCATCAAGCGTGGAACTGAACGAGATCACGATACCCAGCTCCTTTCATTTGGACTTCCTTAAAAAGCTCTGAACATGTGTCCTTCAACGGGTGTTCATAAGAGACTTTGCAATAGAGCACAATGATGATTAACTCATTCTTCAAGTATTAGGCACATTTCCTAATTGGGATTGTGTATGGATTTAATCAGGTACTAAGGTAGTTTCATGACAGGGGGAATACTCTCGTTGTGGATGTCTCCCTGCACTGGATGTTATATTAATCAGCAGAGTAATATTATCTGTATTTTATTTCATTCTAATCTGGTTTGTCTGGATATCACCCTTCTAGCATACCAATCTAAAAGCTCTACACTGTGTACTGTCTGTGTGGAGTTACATCTTGGAAGGTGAGGAGGAAAGTCACTTGGAAATGTATTTCTTATCAAAAGAAAATGTGTCTAAAGATCTTTGATTTCTCAAAAGTTGAAACTAATAACAGTAAATTATTTTCCTCTTGTGTTTGACAAAGCAGTAATATGATTTGTAAAACTTTACAAGGTGTAATTTTACTGTTACTCCTTCAATTGTTCATATTCTTATTCATATTTAATATTGTTGATGCCTGTTTGAAATTAAATGTTCAAAGATACATGATACAAAGATGAAATACAGGACGATGATAGACATTTAAGTTCAGCACATACATATTTTGTCAAGGAAAGAGTGTAACCCATTTCTGTGTAATTATATAAACAGGATAAGCTGTACTCGGTGGAAAGCAGATTGCTTATACATGTAGGTGTTACGTTTAATAGAGGATTCATACTTTACAGTCATTTCTAGTTGTAGCTCTGCTTGCCAAATTGCTTAATAATTTGTTGAGGTTTTGTCCATCATAGAAAATTATGAGGATATGTTTAGTATGCATGTTCTCTTTAGCAAGTGCAATCTAGAAATTATGAGATTTAATGGAATTTTCATCTTGGGAGTTTACAGCTGGTAAACAAAAGCCTAGTAGATTGCAAAATAATTAAATAATTACAAATTTTGGGATGTTGACAGAATCCTTCACCCGCATTTACAATATTCTTGAATTTTTTCAATGAATTACGCATAAGTAATAGGTTCATGATTATTAAAGAATACTTTCATTTCATATTTGCCAATTATTGAATCACTGAACAATATAGAAATTAGGCAAGGTGAAATAGCACATATTTCTGTGTTTGCCTTTGTTCAGTTTTTTTCTATACATTATTTCATAGCTAGACAATTGAGTTATTGACTGTAGAAGAAATGTGCTTTCGTCACTGATGTTGCCTATATCCTAAACAATTCCGTTTTTAAGAAGTCTGTGATTCCCGTAATACACTGTAGATGCTAAGAAGAGGTACCAATGAGCAATGGTCTCTACATTTTATTTGATATGATAAAAGATTATCACGTACACAAATTCATTGTATTTTGTACAAGTGACAACTTTTATAGGTCTAATGAAAGTGACTAATGCACAAAGAATTCATCAACATAACAAACTGGATTTCAGATACACCGGATGTATTCTACACAGAGCATATCAGATTGGAATATGGCCGTTTCAAATTGACATTCTGTGACTTTGCAATTTTGTTCTAAATCTCAGACTTTCAGCACAGAATAACTTGGTTGTTGTTGTTGTCCTGTATTACCATGTCATTATCTTTATTCAGATTCATAGTTTTTGTTGTTTATTTTTTATTGTATTCTGATATTTTATGTATGTGAATTGTTTAGAGGTTGAAAAGTAATTCTGTTTATCAAAATACCAAGGTAACGCAGTGCTTCCAGCCAATCAATCTCTATATTTGTGTTTATTTGACAGAGAGAGATCAAAGTTATGATTGTGGTCAGTTATTGTGTAACTCTGGAGCTATATTTTTCATTCTCTTTCTTTCACTCCCTTTTATCTCTTTCTCTTCTCTCTCTCTCTCTCTCTCTCTCTCTCTCTCTCTCTCTCTCTCTCTCTCTCACATTTCACTATATTTTCATTTTTACCTTTCTCTCTTTCTCTCATTGTTCCACAATGCATTCCAGAATCATTGTATATATTCACTCATTTTCATTTTAGCTGATTGTTTTGTGGACAAAGAAAGCATTTTAATGTTAAACCTCCCATTTGTCTCTTTGTTATGAATGTTTTATGATCAAACTTGGAGATTGTTGTACATTGGGGAATTGGTTTTAGTCTGTAAATTGGACAACTCTATTTATGACTTCAAATTCAGCATATTCATTATATAAAAGAGGTGAGAAAGACATTCCTTTTTAAGGAAGATTTTCCGATTGGATTCTGTATTTGAATTGTGTAAACAGCTTATGATTGTATTCTTTGTGGTAGTATTTGTAAGTATTCGGTTGAGTTATATTCAGAGTTATGACCGTTAAAAAAAATATCATGTCAAAGAAAGAGTATTTTTATAAGATGTTGCGGTATTATAAGCTTGATGCAAAGTTTTATTAAACATCACTTTATGCTTTCCTTCCCTAAAAACAGCATATTTTACATATTCTTCCTCAGAATTGTTGACATTAAAGTGACATACATCATGCATTGTGTAAAATGGCTGCAAAACAAGGAGATTGAAAATATAAATTACAATCCATGTATATTTATTTTAGATTAAAGCTTGAATGTATTAGCAAGCATAAGCTAGTTCATAGCAATATTTGTATAATTCTTTTTTTTTCTGATTAAAAGAAATGAATAGAAAATGGAATTCAGAAATTTACAATTAGGTAGCTCTTACACATATATGTCTTGGTTTTATTCTAGGTACCTCTAAAATGTTATAAACAGTAAATCTCCCTTAACATAAAAACATTTTAAATGGCTTTATACTGATATTGAGGTGTTGGAACAGTTTTGAAAATGTTACTTATTTCTACCTTCTCTTGTAATATCAATATATATAAAATTAAGTGACATGGAGAATAGGAAAAACAGTACTCGTGCTTGGCTACACATTATTTGTAGTTAACACGAACCCAAATTGTTCTGCTGTATATTGACAATCTGAGTGTAACTCAAGCCATGCAGTCCCGATTATTGAAGATATATTTGTATTCAGAAGATTAGTATCTTTATTTTCTCCAATCATGTACAGGTAAGTTTTAGTGAGAAAGTTCAACAAAAATATGTAAATTTAACATGTGTATAAAAAGTGCAAGTACATCCACTATGCCTCTGCAATTTTTTCTAAGTATTCATCGTGTAAAATTATGCACAGCTGTAAAACATGGCACAAGTAAAGAATGTTTAGTGTTGTACATCACAAGTAAAAAAAAAAATCCTTTCCCCGAACACGAGATCATGTAAATGCACACCAACTAAATCACTTGATGTGAAAGGGCAATATAATTGATAATGAAATTATTGTGCTAATTAACGGCTGATATGATATGACAAAATGAAGTTAAGATTAATACTTGCGTACCGGGTATGTGTCGTTTGAGATTTTAAATATCAACATCAATTCATTCAATGTAAATGTAAAGCAAAGCAGTCTTTCATAAAATTACAGTCAAGAAAAGGAACATTTAGAATACGTCAATGTGGATGGACCTTAGTGATGTTTTTGTGTTTTTTGCACTTTACAAAGGGATGCTCATGTATATCTTCGTTATTCTGCATACATATAAATATTCACAAACCTGCCAATTTGCCGATGATCAAAGTTTTTTTCTTGGGTAATCGGTTGTTTAATTATCGTCTTATGTATTCTCATGTTTATTACAAATTTCTTTACTTTACTTTATATGATGTTTTTATCTTATTCAATTAATCATATGAGTTTTAGAACAGAGGTCAGTAGAATTTCTTTTCTGTTTATACATATGATTCTAAAAAGATATCTTAATTTATTCATAGACTATGAGGGAACGGTGTGTGAAAGAGTCGATATGAAATGAAATCCTTATGAGTCTTATTTTTAATCTACTTATATATTGTGATTTAATAATCTTTCTTTTTGATGATTTGGCTTTCAATAAAGTTGGTGAATGAAATAGATTATCTGAAAATTTGTAGACCATATATTTTGTTTATGTATTGGTATATTACCAATCACAATATATATATTTCTTAGATTTTAGATTCTCACAATTTGGGGTGGAAGTCAACTTTTGAGCCTCGCCGGTGACGATTAATATTGGATAATTTGGTGTAGATATTATGACTTGAGAAGAGATTATGTATAGCAGCTTTAAGTGGTAAAATATATGTGGTGTACATGTTCAAGAAGATTGTTTTTACAGTAAAAACAGAAATATTAAATGCACCTAAATGTAGCAAATATTGTCAAAATGTGTGACCTTGTTTTTATTTTCTGATGCTTTTTATGCATATTTATTGAACAAAAGTTGCTTGCTAGAGACGTGCCAGAAGTAAGTCTTGGTCAGACAGAGGCAAGTTACCCTGGGGTAAATATGGTGAGATAGGTGTAAAGGTCGGAGTAGTGACTGTCTGAACGATGATCGTGTTAGCTACGCCTACCTTTACACTGACCTATTTACTCCTAGAAAACTCTAAACTAGAACCAATTGGCCAAACTCTGTGTATTGATGTGTATGTGTATTGATGTCGGTGGAAGGTCGTGTTAACTTAATCGTGGCAAGTTGGTCCGAGAAAGAGCGTGTGGACAACTAATGGTGTAAGTGAAATATACATGAGGGTTTTTACTGCTGCAGGGATTAACTTACGCCGACTAGCAAAACCCTGTCTGTCTATATGTGTCAATCCAAAGAGATGGCATTATTCATAGCAGGTGAATGACATTGCTGGTATCATGGCTTCTGGAGAGAAACATGCATGAATTGTCTTTGAAACACATTTAGTAAAAAGGTCTATTGACCTACTAAATATGTTTTAATCTCTTGCTATCCTCTTGTATTTCTCTCTCTCTCTCTCTCTCTCTCTCTCTCTCTCTCAGATTAACACATCACTCTGCACAACATGTGTATCGTACAAATACCAATGAGTTGTTCAATAAACAAAAAGGATACAAAAGTGTTAGGACTGAATTGTTCATTGCACACAAACACATTTACATACAGAGTCACCTACTATACATTAAACTCTAATAAATAATATAAAATGTCTTGCATCATACATCACCCTGCAATCTGATTTGTTCACTGCAAATTCTATATACACTTTCTGACACTGATGGCAATGCTGGTTTTTACCCCTCCCCCTTTATAAATGATCTACAATGGTTGTTTGAGTTGTCGTTATCTGGTTGACCCATACAGCTATAGTAATATATTTAGCTTTTATTTAACTACTGTCAGTAGGTTAGGTTTGTCAGGAGGGTAAAAAGGGAAGGCTTTGATACAAATACACAGTACTTCCATGTATTGTTATAAAGGAATTATGTCCCTATCTACTACCCCCCCCCCTCCCCCCCCCCCCCCCCCAAAAAAAGAGAAGCATCACAGAAGCCCCTGTATGTGCCCGCCCACCTCAATTTTCAACCCTGCAGAGGCAGGGATTGGATTATTCAAGCCCTCCAAGCAATTCACCCCCACCCCTGTTGTCTTCACATAGAGGGATACAACAACCATGAAAATACAACTGTATATCAATGGAAAGCTGAATGGACATTAAGTACAATAAGGAATTAAGAATTTTCCCTTTCAGTATTGCAACAAAGGAAATAAAAACTAATTTTTTTTCTGCTACCCTCCAAATTACTATATATAGCCGAGGCGATGAGCCGTGCTTAATTAGTGCAAAGTCAACGTGAATATTCGTCGACAACTTCCAATCTTCAAAGCTTTATTTTTTTTTTTTTTATCGAATTTTCAGAGAGCTGTTACTCCTCTGACAGACACAAAAATAGCATGTTATTGTTATTATTGTAATGCATAACTTATAAACTTTCCATTTGATATATTTATTTACTCATTTATTTCTGATCTTTTGACAGGGTAGCCCATTCACCAATAAGTAGTGGTCTTCCATGGGGCCCTGAATATATGATTTATCTATTTCATTTTTCACTTCCGACAGGGTCTTTAATACAAGAACATGGAATTGAAAGGAATTTATTCAGTACCGATATCCAATGCCCACATCATGCTGGGTGCTAGTTTTCATATTCACTTGCACCACAGATTGCCAGACCTAATTTCAGCATCCTAAACCCATACTTCTTCACAGAAAGTTAAATCCTACAACATAGTCCTGACTAATACCTCATGCATCAGACACATCGCCACACCTTCTTCAAGCCGACTTAAAACATTAATGATTCTTGGCCATTCACTGTAATGTCATATTTTGTTTGGTTTGTTGTCAGAGATACAAGCCACAAAGATTATCATCGCAAGGTTGTCAATGATTACACCGCCAAAACTCTGGTGTGGTCTTCTACCTCATCTGGATTTCTCCTCTGATGTTGGCCATCCTGAGCGGAATCAGTTCTGTCATCTCTCTGCAAAGATCCAGTTCATCCTACAAGAAAAGAGGTGTAAAGCACAACAGATTAATGTAAGAACATGGAACAAAAAAAAATTGTTGCCGCATTGTGTGTAAGCGCACCCCTCCCCTCTGTTCTCAAAGCAGGATTGGGTTCAGCAGAAAACACTCCATTCCTCATATAGACCATTAAACTAGAGGTCCAATGCACAATAATATCCTACACTTCTCGCAAAGAGTAAGGGTGTGAACCCAGTGTTTAGTGCGACTGCAATACACAACTACTAATCTACAACCAATTCTTTGTGATAAGCTGCACATCCCAATTGAAGATGTCAAGTAGAAGAAAGGTATACATTTAAAACTGTATATCTGGAATGCTATCCTTACCCCATCCCCCCCCCCCCCCCCCCCACCCCCGGCAAATTATCCCTAGGGCATTTACCCTTAGAAAATCACCCCCTTGGACAACTACCTTCCAGATATTTTTTTTTTTAATTAGATTATTTACCACCTCCCCCTGATATTTAATTTAACATCCACTAAAAGTACAAATTACCCCAACCCCTCCCCAAACAACTACCAAGAACATAATAAGCTTAGGGGGAATAGTTGAGGTGTAGTTGTCTGGGCAGAATTATTCAGGGGTAGTTTTCCATGAGAGAAGCTGTCTGGGGTACACTACTTTTTTTTTGGGGGGGGGGGGATGAGGGAAGCTGTAATTAACCTAAGGTGGTACTAGATGGTGCTAGGATTATCTAAAATCAAAGTAAGTTAGACAATACACAGGCTTAAGAGGTGCAACCATAGCTTACCTTGACTGTATCCTTATGGTCAGGATTCTTGTCACAGTAGTCTACTATTGCCTTGTAGCTATCCAAACTGAAAGATAGAGAAGGAGGGAAGGAAGTTTAGACATGCGACTTATACGGACGGTAGACACATGATACTAGCTTCTATCAATGACTTTGAGAAAATCAAAGCAAATTAAATCAACATGTGCAATCTAGAAATACACTATCCAGAACATCACAAGAGATACTAAGCTGACAAAAATTCACAAATGTTGCATGGGTAAAAAAAAATAATATCTACTCTGAATAAGTCACAATTTGACACCCATTGTACAATTTTCTTTAAATGTAGTCCAGACTAAACACCTACTCCCTCTTGATTAATGAAATCAACAATACTTTTATATTTATTAGGTGTTGTATAAAACATGTTGAGGCTGAGAATTTCATTCCATTACAATTGATTAGAAAGTCATTACATAAAGTGTACAGATATGTCAAACAATTTTTGTTTTTAATGATTTGATAATAAAATAGTTGATCTCACTCACCTGAGCTGTAGATAGTCCAATCTTTCAGGAGGGCTAGGTGTTACAAACTTTGAATATCTGGAGGAAACAGTGACAGAGTTATAGTTTTATGACATATACACATTTGGATACCAATTAAGTTTACACAGGTAAATTGTTGAAAGCTTAGACTAATTCAGGCCCCAAGCAATATGTATTAAAACCCTACTTTAATTTGACATACAGCAAAAACACAAAGTATTAAAAACCAAGAATGTTATAATCACATGCAATCCAAGAAGAAAACATATTAAGATTTAATCTTTGCATCTCTGAGGGAAAACACAAGAACATAAAAGATGTTTTTTAATAAAATAAAATTAATTAATGCTCCTAATCCCAATTGCCTATAAATTTTTTTTTAATGATTTTTTATTTTATTTCCATGGTCTGTTATGTATATATAAAGTGAAAGAAATTCTGAACTTACAATCTTCCGACACAGAAGTAAGCTACCAAGACGGGCCTCAAGACATCACTTTCAAACTTATCAGGCAACTTTCCCTCATGGTCCTTTGTTGAATCTAACAGGTGTTTTTTTTTAAAGATAAAATGTAGTAGATTACAAAGAATGCATTTCAAGGTAAATATTTCATAACCACTATAGTAAAGTCCACCAGTACATGATTTGACTACAATCCAATTTTTAATATTCATATGATTAGTAAAATCTAAATTTCAAGGGATTTCATGCTTCCTTGGAGAGGAAAATGCTAAACTAGCTCAGAATCATAGTTAGGAGAGATTGTTCACAATTGAATCAGATTCTGCTTTTATTCTGACTAGAAGAGTTAAATGAATTAAGATTCTAGTTGTTTATACTTTTCATAATTTACGAACTAGGACGGTGATGTTTGTTTTTATTTCCATATCTAATATATTTCAATGTTTCAATTGGATTGCAGGATGATCATAAAGTGTGCATTAGTGAACTACCAATGGCAAGTTGGAGCTAAGGTTATTAGGAATGGTAAGGGGGAAAGCATTGTGGGTGGATGAAAAGAGAGACAATTATCACCACAAGAGTTTTTGACAATTAAAGTGACTTGGTAACATTGTTGAAGGTTGATGAAAAAAAATGCATCACATAAATAAAAAAAATAAAAAAATTGCATAATTTTTGAATAAAATGTTACTTATTATATTCCTTCCACTGTACTAACCCTCTGACATGCAAAAAATCCTGACAAAATTCTCAAACCACAAAGATATCTATGGTTTTCTTTGAAGGCATCACTGTGCAACACCCTCTGACAGTGATTAACATTAAATTCTCCCAACCATTTTTGAATTTTCCAAACCGTTTTTCCATGAAAAAAAGACATAAAACAGGCTATTAAAAATCTTTCAACACTTAAATGTCTGGAATGGTATGTAAAGCCAATTTATTGCTGTGTGACAATGTACATTCACCTAAAATGTAATTAAATTGTAATAATATAGTTGGGAGAATTAAGGAATCGATCAGATCAGTTTTTCTCAATTTGTATCATGAATAATGGTCCGTTTTCACTTGAATTTTCAGATTACCTTTAATTGTACATCTAGCATTGAAGTCACTACCTCAGCACCACTTTCTCTCATCTGAACAATGTTACTAAGTCCCTTTAAACCAAAGGTTTAGACAAGACAGCTGCATTTTCATTTATGTACATGTAGAACGTAACAGTGTGTTTATATAAAAAATCATTCACCTAAATATAAGTTTGGATACTTACGAATGAAATCTTGGTAATATGTCAAACTCTGCTTGCATCTGTAAATAGAAATAGACAAATGATACACTCTGTCCATATATCACATATTTATTAATAATAATACTATACAACATGTATATAGCCCATATCCCTAATACATGTATGTCTCTGTGCACTGTAATGAATAGAAGGAAAAGAATATTGAAAAGAGGGAGATGCTCAGCACAATTCCTTAATTCATCAGTCAAGATTGACAGTACCTTAAAAAAAGAAACGTTTTAAGATGTGTTTTAAAGTTGTCAACAAATCCATAAGAACTGAGGCAGTTTTCTGACCAGTTCCTAACTAGCATATGGTACAAACAAACCCCAAAATATACAGATCTTCAATCTAAAGGTCTCACTTTGTTTATTTTATTTTTAAATATCACTTCAAACGTGATCTAGATGCTGCTTAGAAAGCATTAGTGTTACATTTGAGAAAGAATAATTCCACCTTTGCATCATGGAATGCATTGATGGAGCTAACACGAAGAACAGTTACAGTACCTAACATTAATGAGCATTATCCAGTATTCATCTTACAATGTAGTACAAATTACATTCAAACCTGTCTATAGAGATCACCCAAGGGAAGCACAAAAAGTGGTCTTTGTGGACAGGTGGTCTTTGTAGACAGGTGGTCTTTGTAGACAGGTTTCTTTTAATAGTACATGTTTCAATGAGAAACCATTCTAAAGGGAAACCAAATATGTGGTCTTTGTAGACAGTTGGTCACTAAAGCAAGTTTGACTGTTTCTTAATGTGCTCATGCACAGATTGTATCTACAAACTGGTTCATTGTTCATTAACGGTCGGGTGACATACAAACATAGGTTGATTCTTGTTGATGTGCAGGGCTGCATACAACTGCATATTTTGTTATTCAAACACTTACAAGACGTTGATCTTGGATGCTACTTTGTGTGTGGGTGGAACTCTTTGTTTCTCTGCTAGAGCTATCTTCAAATCCATCATCTCACTGTATAAATAGTATAAAAAAGTTTGGTTTACATAATTGATTTTTGTGATTGATTTCATTGATCACTTTGTGCAATCAACCGCAAAAATCAACAGTATGATCAATCTCTAAGCTTTGTGTTATTAAAGCGGCCCACATCAACCATTATAATGATGATTCTATGATATAAGAAGAGGATGCATGAAGCTAGTATCTAAGACAATAATGGTCATAAAAGTCACTCAAAGTGGATAAAGAAGCAAGTCCGATGTGATTTGTTGTTTGCTGTCCCACACATTACCAAGAGTAATGAAAAGTAAACCACTGATAACAAAAAAAGAAAGAGTCATTTCCCTTGCTATTTGGTCTGATTTAAGTTCTATTAGGCTGTCAAACTGATAGAATTATTGGGTATACCGGTACTAAAATTGATGATGAGGTCGGTCACCTATGGGACAACATACCTATTAGTTCACCATTATTGTGGAAACAAGGCCTGGTCAATTTTACATCCCTGTGAGAGGATGCAGATAAAGCTGATACAGACCATAAAAACTGAATCATAAACATCACTCAGAATTATCAAAATAAACTATTTTCTTATCAAATTATCTTTCCAGTAATGGCATCTAATGCATCTAGAAAGGATCTAGAAAGGATGCTCTTTTCTAGAGTTTAATAAGATGATGGAGAATGGACAGTAAACAAGACGTAAGAAAATAAGATATTGTGATGGAGAAAAGCTGAGGACGAACCTTTGGTGAACAAAAAAAAAAAACTAATGCTTTGATTTACAACTTCTCTTTTAACATTATTAAATGTCTTCACCATTTAAAATATGTGTAAGAATCCATTTGGTAAGCTGTAATCCACTGCTCCTCACCCTATCAATCTAGTCTGTAGTCCCACATAGTGTCTCACCTGTAAGTTTCAGCCAATTCAAACATGAGTTGTCTACAGATCGTGAGAAAATGTTGTCTGTTCAGACCATCCAGCATGTCGGCAAGCATGTCTACTCGTCGCTTGTGCATCTTGCATCGTCGTTCAAAATCAATCTCAAAGAACGATATCAATTTGAAGAGTTGACTGTGATCCTAGATAAGAAGATGGTGTAATACAGGGTCAGAATAATGTGTCAGAAGAAAGATTTTTTTTTTTTCTTCTAAAAATGAATCAATGAACAGCCTACAAGAACCATCAAAATGCAAACAGAATACAAGAGGCATTCAATAATGGCACAATTATTTATCTTATTTATTATACACATACACTTATTTCGTTTAATTTTCTGATCGGACAAGTTTAACAATATAAGATTCTTTCTTAAATCAGAATTCTTATTAAAACACACAATTTTGTCCTGGCAGCATCGAGCCAAATTTAATTTGGCAGGCGACACGCAGTTATAGTAAGGCAATAATCATTATAAACTAACCTACTCTTCTAGTTCTACATAATGCATTATCAATAAATCATGTATCTTATGAATGACTCAGTACAGGTTTCTTATCGACTTCATCTTTGAATTATACACTGACGGCAAGTCTGCTTCCAGATTCAAAGTTTTGACAATAGGAACTCAGTTTAAGATTTTCTTTTAAAGTTCAATGCAATATGAGCCGTTAGTTTCAATTCTAATTATAATGTAGAAGTTTGTTTTTCTTTCTTACTTTAACTAGTTCTATATGATCTGAGACGAATCCATCAATAACATAGTATTCCTTGGCAGCATTGATCCACTTCTGAGCAGGTAGAAACAAGCTACGAGCCTGCATGATTGGTGAAGGAAAGGAAACAATTAGCAAAGTGTGTCATGATTACCGTTAGAATTAAGAGGAAAATTATTCCTTAATTGGAATATATACTCAAAGAAACAAGTACATGCACTTTAAATCTCCAAATTTGAGACTGGCGAGGAAGTTTTTGATAAAGAAATTTGTTTAATCTCTATACCAAATAAACAGGTTTTATTGTAATGACCTATGCTAATTACAGCATGAAATATTTTTTTCTAAATGCACAACAACTTGAAATGGCAATGACCAAATGATTTCTTATTCTGAAAATTTGTTAGTGATTTATGTTGTGTGATTAAATGATCTTGAATTTTCACTGATTAACATCTTTAATTTTCCTTTTTTTAAACTCAAACTGTCCATCCAAGGTAGAATATCTCTGAAAATGATTGCCACAAGGCACTTCTGTTACAAAACCATGGACATGTATGAAGAGCATGAATGTGTATCATACATATATACACAAGGTGAGTATGACTGATATAGCTTGGGGTGTATTAGAGCCACATACAGGTACTGGTGTGATATAGAGTCTATTGTAATGTTAAATACAAAGCAGGACTTCCTGTCTATTCATCGTCGATGAATAGAAGGATTATGTTATTTATATGCACCTCCCCCAGGGCTTTTTTCTTTTTCTATTCTGTTTGAATTAAATGAAATCTCACCCCAAGAATAGGTTTACATATTCCGAGAGGTTTATTATATTCTTGCCCATTAATCTACAAGATTCCCCACCAAAGTGTATGAGAGAGGCATAAAGCAAGGATAACGTACAGTTTCTCAGCATGACATGAGCATCGCTTTTTTCTTGAAAACTTGACCTACTATGTGAAGTTGTTTGTCAAGTAAATGCAATTACGTTTATGGATGTTTCCTTCCCAGGTGTGTGTGGTGATGAAGCATTTCATTCACCTACTATTACCCTTTGTACTACAATTGCCAGAACGTAAATTGCATAAGTAAGTTGGTGCTCTTCTGGGGTGAAGGTTCTCTTCAATGGAAAAGATTTTTCAACTGCTATATTTTAGAATTTTAAAATGAATTAGTTACAATTGTTCCCCTGTTATATATTTTTCACCAAATATAATTTCTTTCTTCTCAGCTATGATTGAAAAGTCAAGGTTTTGTTACCGATTTTAGAAGTCTGTCTACTGGTAACTAAAGCTTGGTGCATGATACATGTACAACTCTGCCTGGTACGTCACATTTTCAAGAAAATGGCTGCGCCCATGTCATGCTAAAAAGCATCACATCATGCCAAGAATATCTTCATTCATCGTACATTTTGGTAAGGAATATTGGACATGAAAGGGCAGGAATATACATCTCATTTTCAGGCTACCTACATTTAGTCTAAGAGGTGAGGTTTCCTTTATTAAACATGGTTTTCAGTTAAGTTCTATTCTTTGACATGTTGGTATGAAAGAAGAGATTATCATTTAACTTCAGGATTATCTCTCCCAACATAGAATAGAATGAGTACCCATATACATGATGCAAACAAATTAAACATGATGGATGATATCAATTTGAATTGAACAAGACTTTTTACCACTAAAAGATATGTATTACTAATATAAATGTATGTGTAAATTGTTCTCTGGCAAGACAAGTTGAACTAAAAACTTATAGTGCCACACACCGTGCCACACATGACTGAGTGTGATAATCAAAATAATTTGGCAATCATGGGATCAGCTTAGTGAGCACGGGTTCAAGCAAAACTACCATTTCTTTGCAGATTCATCTTAAAGGTAAAGACCAGTATTGGAAACGCCCCAATTTCAAAAAATGAAATGGAAGCTCTCATTACCAATCATGTGAAAGAATATGTTTTGACTAATACATGATGATAAAAAATTTGCCGGGAAACCGCCTACTAATTCATACATTTGGTAAATTTGTTTCTCTCATGGTCTGTGAGAGATATAGGGTAGTCCCATATACATCTTTCTGTGTATAGTGCTTGTAACTTTACGAAGAATGGCCCAAATTTCTTATCATTTTGATGATTCCAGAACCTTGCAGATGCTAGATGCTAGATGATCAACCTTTTCTGATCGATTCCACAACGTTTCTTTCACAATGCAATCGCATGACCATAACTGGTCTTTACCTTTAACCAATTGCTTCATGTGAAATACCACAGCCAGCTTCTACCATCTAATGACACCAATGTGCACATTTTCTTACCTCATCAAATGTCCGAACCACCTCATCTCTGACCTGACTTTCTAATGAAGTCAGTTCTAGGGATTCAAAGCGATCGGCCAGTTTGTCTTCTTCCGTTCCGCATTCCGTCTGCTCATCCTCGGCTATAGAGGGCGTTTCTATTCTGTCATTTGATGCAGAGGGAGTGCTAGATGCATTCTCGAGAGTTCCGTTCAGCTCATGTTCTCTGTTACATTATAGAAATGGTAAACCAAGAAAATGACAGAAGTTTATTTCATGTGTACTTGTTAAAAAACACTATTAGGTGAGACACAATGAATGCTTTATTAGCCAAAATCTCAAACAATGTGAAGGATGTACGACTGTGATAAAGACTCTTTACATTTAATTCAGTGTGCTCTGCTATGAAAGACAAGAAAAGGCATGATTTTAGCTTGTGGTAAAAAAATTGATATGATTTTTATTCTAAGGATAAAATGACATACCTTTTCGCTTAATTCCTGGCTACCTCAAAATATGCAACGGTTCAGTAAGTGAGACAATCTTACATTTTTTTGGCGACTCTTTATGGGTAAAGACTTCACTATTTTTGTTACTAGTGATATGTGTATAATTCCCCATGAATTCATTAGCTGCACTTTTTGTTGTTGAACACTACAAAATATATATAAATATGTTTGTAATGATTTTCTGCATTGCTTTGATTCATACAGGTACCCTATCCTCAAGTCTTACTTGGAGAACTGAAGAAGTGAGATACAGTATTTGATCCAGCATCTGTTGATGTCAGCCTTACGACTCGTAATGTTTTCTTGCCGAGCATCCCTGTCATCTCTCTCCATGTCTTCAGGGATTGGCTTGTTTTCTGCTTCAGAAAATATGCGAGTTGCACTAGCTGTGGCGAAATGGTTGAGAATTAGATGGAGAAACTGATAAAGTGACTTTATCATTATTAGCTAGAGCAGAAAGAGATAATAGAAATGTATCTATATCACTTTTCGTAAAGCTGCAATAGCTATATCAATGCCATCACTATTCACATCATATTCTTTTAATTTGTGTTAGCTTCTTCACAACAACAGAAATGTGAGAGAGGGGGAAGGGTAGAGGAAGAGAAAGAGAGAGAGGGAAGGCACAGAGAGAGAGAGAGAGAGAGAGAAAGAGAGACTGACAGGTAGACAGACAGACAGACGGAAGACAGACAGAGATACATAAGGAGAAGTTTGGGTATGTATTGAGGATAGACCTTAAGAGAATTCCTATTCACTGTTGTAACATTTTCAATGACACCATCTTCACAAATCCTAGCTTGTTAACAAACAAAATGTTGATGTCATCATTTGCTGTGCAAAATGGCTTTGAGAAATTACCCACTTCTAGTTTTAAGTAGCTCCACGTCAACCCTTTTAACACCGGTATAGAGTAATCTTGCACTGGAAACTGGTAAGTAAATTTGAAGCCTTTAATATATCTTATACATGATGTACAATATATTGAATTTTCCATTATTATTATTGTTATTCTTTCCTTGAACTAATTTTTTATTCTTTTCCATAGTGTACGGTATTTGTAATTTTTCTTTATATCTTTCTTTGAACTTTGTAATCTTTGTTTGTATCAGTCTCCCAACTGTTTTAACATGGAATTTTGATTTAATAAACCAAAATGATTGAATGAATGAACATCTATCCCATGATAAATCCAATGTGGCACAGGAACATTATTTGTGTGGCACATACAGAGTTAACAAATCAAAGAATAAAGAAACAAACTCACCTAAGCAATGCCTGGCCTTTGTATAATCATCTTGTGTGATGTAGTATTGTGAGAGAGTAGCACAGTTCAGAGCCCAGTCTATAGGGTCATACTGGAAAGTACTCAGCTGTCTTTGCAGTGTCATGTGGCAGTATCTAGCAGCCTGCAATCAAAAGTAGAACAAGTTTTTTAATGATTACTACATGAAATGAAAATCAAACTCACATGGCAGCTTGTAAACAGGAGTAGAACTACTTTTGAGACCAATCCCATTTGACTGACAAGAACAATATCTATAAATCATTCCCTAATAATTTCTCTTAAAGTTCATGCACAAAATGTGTTGGATATTAGATGATTGCTCATCCTATCTCACTACTTCAAGGTCTACTCAAGTATATCAGATGATCATTATTTCAATGAAAAGTCAATCAATCAATCTACAGTGAAACCTCTACATAAAGACTACTCAGGTGAGATGAGGAGACAGTCTTTATGGGAAGGTGGTCTTTAGGTGCAGGTCCTTTTCATACAGGTTTCATCAAGAATTCTGCTCAAAGGAAATACAATTATGGTATTCATAGACAGGGGTTTGGTAGTTCAACTGTTTACAAATCAATTAATGGTCGACGTGTTATAAAATGATCAAATATATACTATCAAAACTCTTCCCTTACCAGAGTCTTATCTCCTTGCTTCTCAAACACCTGTGCCAGATAGTAGAGAGTGAGAGTGTAGCAGTTCTCAAACTCTCGTTCCCTCTCTAGATCAGATGGAAAGTCTGTTTCTGGTAGGAGTAATCTGTTAGGTAATGACAAATTCAGAAAGTGAATAGAAACAAGATTTACACACTGATAACAGATCATGACCATAAACAAATCTTCAAATATTAATCTCTTTGATGGTCTGAGAAGTCTGTAAGATATTTTTGAAACTCTTTTTTTAACAATGGAATGCCACGTTTAACTTTTGTCAAATGTATAATTCATGTATAAGTGTAACATATTCTCACCAAAAAAAAGGTGGTAAAAAGAGATCAATCCTAACAACGTTATCCAGCTAGCATGGGACATGAGTTAACAAGTTTTCTTTGAAATATCAACGACGATATGTCTTCAATCGACAGGATTGTTTATTAAACTCTTTAAAAACTGGTACATTCTTTATGGTGTTCCTGTACCCTATCCTGGTAATCTTTTGAAATAAGCAAACACCCCCTGCAGTAGCATTGCAATGTGCAATGTACTGTAAACGATGTTATTTTTGTGTGAATAATCTGAGCGACCCCAAAACATACTCGCGGGTTCTTAAATTCGCATTACACGCATAAGAAGTCATGCTTTTATTTTTGCGAGTTCTAAAATTTGTGCTTGCCGATCTTAGCGCGAAATCTGCGAATATCTCCGTGTTTACAGTAATGGTGACTGTTTTCCACCTTTGCATACTTTTCATTCAAGAGTAAGAGTGCACAATGAATCAGGAGGGGCTTGAATCATGAATTACCACTATCCTTTCTGTTGACCCTTTTTAAGTTAACATAGTCATATACAATCACAAACCCCAGAACTAGTCTGGATAATCTCAATATGAAACTAAATAATTACAGCAAAATGTGAATGTTTAATTTCATTTTGCATAATACTCACTCATGAATGATAGAGGGAGATGAGCTCACATCCTTCTTGAAAGTGTGGAACACAGTTTGAGCTTCCTGGATTTTAAAAAAAAAATAATCAAAAGAAAATGAGAATATAAGACCTGGCAAAGCTTATATTCAGAATGCATTTAATTTCTTTTCATACTGCAATAATTTCAAAGCTTCAACCACAAAAAGGGTTTATCAGGAATTTGAACATTTAAATTTCATCATGAAATATAAAGGCATGCATTATATGAATATAATCTAGGAGTGCAATAAGTTACCTTGAGGAATTCCATTGCCTTGGAATGATCCCTCCTTGTGCACCACAGAATAGCAAGCTGAAAGAAGAAATTAACAATTCAAACCATTAATAAAATTATAGCAACTTCAATTGTCCTTGAGTAAACATTAAATAGTAATCACTCTGCCCCATACTTGAATATCTTCAATTTACATCCATCCAAACGTCTTTCAATTTCTCTTGCATTGATTATAGACTTTTCATATCATTTGTACAAATAAAAGATGTAGAATCCAAAATATTACCATAATTTCAACTTATCTGTTTTATAAATTATTATATACTAATTGCTCTCTTGGTTATGAGGTACGTTATTTAAATCAAATACCTTTTATCTATTATATATAATCATCGCTCTTTCTTAAGTATTCTAAAATGCTCAATATAATATTGTACATTGTCAAGTAATATTTCAAATAAAAAGATGTTTCCCATTTATTTGTTCATATTCAATCTGGCAAGGTAGTAATTGTCAAAATCTAGCCTGAAGTACCAACTTTCTGTGCTCTCGTTACCGGAAATCTTTGTTATATTTCGTCCACATCTATGATCAGATATGCTTTTATTGAATCTTATTTTAGGAGTTAGATTTCTGGAGGAAAAAAAATGACTCTGTACTCCGTCTGTAACAAATTTCTTCATTTTTCTTCATGCAATTTCTGATGAGGTAAATGTATATCCTTTAGAAAATCTTTTGTGAATTGTGATGGATTAATATTGTCAGACTTCAGCAGGTATTATCTCAGTGGACACTGTTTTATGTTTACCTGGTTATTACAACCTCAGATTACTTCTTTCACAGTCTAAAGAAATATGTATACTGATTCCTCACCTGGTTTAATGTGTTGAGTGCAGTGGTGACACATCTAGAATCTAGTCTGTACTCTTTGAGAATCTTATCTGCCTTAGTAAGATGTTCATGGCCCGAAGATGTCTCCTCTGTCTCTAAGAAGTTCACTCCTAGTTGATACTGTATAAGTGCTAACCGAAACTTGAGCTCTATGGAAAAAAATTCATGAGAAATTTCACTGACTTAGCAGAACTTCAAACATCAGTTTAAAAGGAAACCAAAAGCCTTCTTAGCTATAAAAACAAACAAACAAAAAACCTTATCATTTTGCAGAATTTATCCAAATATTAGGTAATCCTGAAATGTTAGCATAGTATACGAGACTCCATTTTAAGTTTTCACAGGGGTCAGTCTGGGTTGATATTTTGAGGGTCTGTATGCACATGTCCTGTGTTCAAAATTTGAACTAATGGGGTCCAGTGTTAAAACTTGGGTGCCCATGTGCACTAAATCCCTGGCTGCTATATCCAAGCTTTGACTTACATGTCCTAGGTCTGATGACGAGACACGTGTATAACTGATTTGTTGAAAATACCAGTATTTAACTATTTGCAGTCAACTTTATGTACCATTTCATTCGTCATTCCTGACCTCCCTGTCTCAATCTTTTCTATGTCCTACTTTTTACAGTTTTATAGATGTTTCAACTGATTATGAATCTTTGATACACCCTCTTTACCCCTATATTTATTTATTTCAATAATTTTAGTTCTGCAATTCAGAATTTTTCATCTGGTCCAATATTCAGAATCACTAGATATCAATAAATACTGAAGTAGAGAATAAATGGGTTAAGAGACATATTGTGAACTCACGAAACATGAAATCTAAACTTAAAAGATTTACCTTTGGAGTCTTCTCCCTGCTCACTGGAATTTTCAAGTTCTTTCCGTATTTCATGAAGCAGTTCTCTTGCTTTGTACTTAGATTTATAGGGATTGGTTTCTGGATCATTCTTGGATTCCTGTCATAAATACAAAGAGAAAGAGACAAAATTAAAAGATATTTGTATGGGAAATTAGCAATATGGACCACACGCATGTGCGTGCGTCGGATGGCTTTCCATGCTCGATCGCACGTACATGCGTGCGCCGTATATAAGGAGGCTTAATCCCGCCGCCTTGGCCAGAACGCAGAACCAGTACCAGAAGTAAAATCTACAGCCAGAGACATCAGAGCATCACAGAAACGCATCAAGGATCGGCCAGTGGATATCGGATCTATCGCAGACTGCTAGTGCTACCGCACAGCAGCTCATCGCTCAGCTCAGTGTCCAGCTAGCAGTACAGCGCCGCCGCAAGCCTGGTCGGCGGGGAATTCACTGACTCGGCATCCGTACCCGCTGCAAGTGCCCTGCACTGCCCAATTTGATCGAACAATCAGTAGATCAGGCGTGGTCATATCTCCTTTTCTGTGGGACTCCCACGATCTAAAAACGCGGGCTTGGAGAGTCCTTGTCAGCTGCCGTTGCCTCCTGGTGATTAGGTGACGATTCACCAGCCTGACGGTCAGGTCCGACAGCTGGGCTTTTCTGTAGAGCAGTGCTGCCAGCTGATATGGCCCCATGCTCTTGCCGCCAGCCCTAACGGTTATATCGGTATACACATTTACCTCATCTAGTAGTGGCGTATTGCTCTGCTGCCGAAGCAGTTGGAATGTTGGCACTTCGTTCAGTGGGAGGAATGGAAGAGCCATGACCTTCTGGAGAAGTGTCAGACCAACAGCCTGTACTTTCCGAAAGACGGCTTGCTTCCAGTAGAAGTTACAGCCCACCAAATGTCCCTGAAATGAACATTGTGAAGACAAGATTTAAAAACCTTCCCGTAGCTCTTGGGGCAGTCCCCACAGATCTGCGACAATCGCCCCCACATCACCCAGGAAGTCTGGTGAATTATCACCCAATCCTGGATGAGGGGGGGAGATGGGGGGAATCGGTCTCCAGGACCTGCTCAACCTGTGCACTGCAAAGTTAGTATCTGCGTGTGCCCCCCTCGAAGGTGTAAGATGAGGACCCTCCCCTGGGTGCCCTGACCTAGGAGGCGAAGGAACAACACCTCCTGGTCCGACTTCGCTCATCCCAACCACGAGGGGGTTCTGCAACAGGGCGACAAACCGTCCCCAATCTTCCTCGGAGTATGCTGTGGCATGTTTGGGATTTTTCCAGAGGGCCAGCTTACAACCACTACCCCCAATTGGTGACTTCAAGGCCAGCACCCGACTAAGGAAGTTGGGGTCCCTGTAAAAGGTGGGGTCACAAAAATTCATGACCCCCCCCCCCCCCCCCCCCCCCACCAACTTGATCGGGTGCTCAGGCAAGATGTTGGCTTGTTGATGCCTGCCCCCAAACCATCCACACCTATCCGGGTGAAAATGGGTATTTCCCCATGAACTTTGCACAGGAGGAACGAGCATGCCTGAATAAAATGATGTCAGCTGAAGTTATCCAACCTTCAATGTCACCTTGGGCATCAGCCCCTGTACTAATTAGGAAGCGAGATGGAAGCGTTCGATGGTGTACCTGTATAGACATCGTAAACTAAACAATGTTACTAAGAAGGACGTCTACCCCCTTCCTCGCATTGAAGAGTGTTTGGATACTCTAGCCGAAAATACATGGTTTTCGAAACTAGGTGCAAATTCTGCTTATTGGCAAATTAAAGATAAACTCCAGTACTGGTAAAAAAAAAATAATAATTCTCACAGAATCAAACGAAACTTACACTGAATGTTCAAGATTACAAATAAATGACATGTGCCAAACAATTTTGGAAGAAAATGTATACTGGCTGAGTAATGAGCATAGAAAGACAAGGAAATCAAGGTTACTAGCCCCGACACCATGTGTGTTGTCCCATATATAGCTTTCTATGTGAGTGCTTGTTACTTTACCAAGACTCGGTCAAATTTATTATGATTTTGATGACTCCAGAACCTTGCAGTGCTCACCAATACTTACATGCTACATGATCAACTGTTTCTGATCCTTTCCACACCTTTTCTTTCACAATGCAATCGCATTACCAGTACTAAAGTTTATTTTTAATCTTAGGAAGGAAGACCATGAGAAGACAGCATTCATCAAAAATATCAGGCAGTTGTTGGAGCGTTTTAGGGACATTAAGGTTAAGTTATAGCCCAAGAAATGTGCCCTTTTCCAACGCCGGGCAGAGAAGTGGATGAAAATAGTCTACACCTTAAGGAAAAACACATACAAGCCGTGGTGGGCTGGCCAACCCCAAATGTACTAGAGAGGTGGAGCAGCTCCTCGGTCTTGTGAATTACCATCGAGTCTTCCTTAAAGGTTATGCCCAAGTAGTAGGACCCTTATATGGTCTCACGGGCAAGAACGAGTTCCATTGGGAAGAAAAGCATCAAGATGCTTTTGATCCAGTCAAAAGAATAATGACCACCGCCCCTGTACTTGCACTACCCAACTCTGTGGATCCGTTCATTTTGGATACCGATGCATCAGGCACCGCTATTGGTGCTGTACTTTCTCAAGTTCAGGAGGGACAAGAGCGAAATATCGCTTACGGCAGTTTTTCCTTATCCCCTGAACATCGACGCTACTGCTGAAAAGCAAGCTTCAAGCTGGGACAAGGGATTTACCCCAGCCGGCTTAGCTGCTGGAGGAGTCTCCCTTGCCCCAGCTGGAGCCCAAAGGTAGTAGGGGGAGGGAGCGTGGTGCTCTTTTCGAAGAGCCCACCCCTTCCAGGGGGTACAGGGAGGGGGCTTAGTGCTCTTCAGAGCCCACCCTTTCCAGAGGGTATGGCAGGGTTTGGAGCTCTTGAGAGCCCACCCATTCCACGGGATTCCCTTTGTAAGTTTGTATACCCTCCCACTTTCCGGCTCTATTTACAAGCTCAAGAATATTTGTTTTTCATCTTTCGCTTGTTTTTATGGTCGGGAGGAATATGGGAAAGTACAGGTATACGGTTCACACGCATGTGCGTACATCAGGTTGCCTTACATGGTCGCACGTACGTACATGCGTCTACAACACAGCTACATCGGAGGAACATCACAGCATTGAGGATCAACGTCAAGGAACATTGGAACTTCAGCTATCGGTGAATCCTTACTAGTAGACATTTACTTTACTTGTTAAAATTTTCTGGGGGAGTCATGATCATTTTTCAGAAAAATACTCCTGAATAGACCATTCATTGTATTAACCATAGACACATAGTCACATACAAAATCACGACACCATTGATATCGATAACAATTTGTGGGTGCCTCCACAACTCTATCATGCATACCACAAATATTAGTCAGGGCTGTCAACCCTCCCACATTTGGAGGGAGTCTCACGCCACCACGTTTACTCTCCCGCCGTCCCAACAGCTCGTAGCGGGAGACTCCCGCCACCACGCCTTCCTTCCGCTCTTCCGGTTAACGAAGAAAGCTCCCGCCAAACCGTACAGTATACCAATTTTTTTTTATTAATGTGCTCTTACCCCCCCCCCCCCCCCGCTTATTCTGCGAAATTTTGCAGGATTTGGCACTCTATGCTTTGCTGGAGTGCCTCCAAGCAGTTTCCCAAAGATGACAGCCCAGCCCTGGCTGTAGATTTATTATTATAAAAAAAGTGTAATTTTTTCGCCAAAATCTATATTTTATTCAAAATAACCAGACAACAGACTGCAGAGAGGACAATTAAATATGTAAGAATGAAAAGCATTTTACCTAATTTATGGCCTGGTCCCCTATAGAATCTAGATCTAGATCTAGATCTAGATCTAGACTCTACCCCGAGATTTAGGGATGTTACAAAAAAAATTAAATCTCAGAATTCAAGCTCTTGCTTTATGCCATTAGACAGAGTCTGATAAGACCTTTTATTTGATGCCTCATTCATCGTAATACTAATATCCCCAGTAGTTTAATAAGAAAGTTATGCCAATTTTAAACGCCTGGAAACCATGTATTTAATTGCTTTGTTTTCCTTTGTTTTTAAACCAAAAGTTGTGATCTCAAATGTGACGTCCGAAGGATTCTATTTCATTACATAAATTGCCCCAAAATGTATGTAAATACACGAAAACCGCTCATCGTGCCGTCATTTTTGCATGACATTTTCACATTCCCAAAAAACATATTTCTCATCGATAAATTTTGCTGAAATTTCACCAAAAGCAAATTCACATGTTAACCAATCATCCTAGATACTTTTTTTCAAATCCTGTAGGTGGGATCAGGGTAGAGAATGGCACTAAACACGGCTCTTGTGAAACAGTGCAGCAAAACAAACTGCCGAGAACATAAATAATAAAAAGTTTATGAAAGATAATGTCATTCTTCTCATCCAATAAAAATCATGAAACAAAATCTAATCAGCCCATCAAAAGATCACATTTACGTAGGCTATCCAAATTGGTCTCCAATAGTGCATAACAGCCCGATGGCAGAAACCTTCATGGCGAAAGCACACACATTGTAAAATACCTACGAGATTGCCTAAATTAAGACCCATCCCATTACATCTAACTTGTTAGATCTAACATAAAATTGTGCACGTGGGACCGATTAGAGTTCTGTAGCTGTATCTTAAAGTTACATCTGCTGTCACGTATATTGTACAATATGGTTTGGGTTTAACTTACCTCATCTGATAGCTTCCTTGCTTCTGAATATTTCTTAATCATATCATTGATCTGTAAATCACCTGAACCTGCTGAAGAAGCCATGGTCATGCAGAAATATGACTAGTCTAGGCCTACGAGTTTTATGAATATAAATTATAATGAGCCCGACATAAGCTTCTTGAGCGCATGCGCACATAGCACACACTATACAGCATTGCTGTACACATACACCCCCCTTGCCTTTCCTCTCCTTATTTTTTAATATCTCATCACGAACAAAAACGAGTAAGGCAACTTGTTAGATCCTAATTACACCTCCCTCCACCTCCCACTCCTATCCACCCCCTTCCTTCGCTTATCTCCCGTATTCCTGTACCAAATGCCCCATTTATAGCCAGTAATTTGTTATGTGATTGATCGCACTTTAAAAATATCACAACTTTCTTATTCAATATCAGTTTTTGCTCAAACTGTTACCGACATGTTTTCTCTTTTATTTTTTTATTTTATTTATTTATTTATTTATTTTTTTTTTGGGGGGGGGGGCTTCCCATTTGTGAGGGATGGGAATTATTTAATCAGTAGTAGAGGAATGTTTCTGAAAAGTAGTCACTGACATAATGTAGCAAAGGTAGCTAATTTGCATATTATATAGTACCGTGTGCATGATCAGGCAGGCTTAGGGTAAGGGTTAATTGTGATTATTCTTTAGAAACATGCCTCTACTACTGATTCAAAAATGACCATTTTGTAGAAGGTCACTAAATCTCACCAGGGACTCACTAAAAGCATATATATTTTGATGTTATTGTTTTAATTGATCGATACAATGAACTTATAATGAACTTATGACCAAAGTGATTGTTATATACGGAGTAAAGGACAGCAATACTGTTTAATCCATCAAACATGAATTCGTCCAATGCGGGAAAGGCAGAAATTTGGCGGAGATAGTGCGAGTAAGATAGCACCAGTAACAAAGATTATTGTGAAATATGCATAAGGAGAAAGATAGAGAGAGAGAGAGAGGGGGGGTGTAGTGAGAATCAGAGAGACGAGCGAAGTGGATTCAATACACCCCATAAATCAAATCAAATCAAGTATAAGAAACACAATCCAGATGCGGATCAGGGGGGGGGGGGGCAAAATGGGCCATTGTCACATCCTTTTTTTGTCCTGGAGGCTTATATACAATACCATACTGATACACTCCAACATTATGTGTGTTTTTAGGGGCACTTTTTACTCACTGATGTAAGAGATCATCCCTTCTGCCCTCCTCTTGTAACAATTTCTTCCTCAAAATGTGAAGGAAGTTAAAGATAATAATGGCAGGTTTTCAAAGAAAAGGCATCTAACATCGTAATGGGACGCTTTTGGGTGTGTGTGTGTGTGGGGGGGGGGGGTGGATCCGTTGCCTTATGTAACAAAGCCATGAAGGTCTATGTACAGTAGGCATTTTGGTCAAGAAAGGGCAGATCATCTAGACATGTTTGGATTATCATCTTAGTTTGCCTCAGAAGACCAAAAGGCAAGTATACTTCAGAAAGGGCATTTATTCTGTTAAAAGGGCCACTTAATTGCAGGAGGGGCACTTAATAAGATAAATTTGGCAATAGGGGCAGTGTTTGAGCTCTCTTTGATCCCTGGTCCTACTGCTGATGCACATTCTCTTTCTCTATTCTCTTTCTCATCTATTCAGAACACAGTCTCAACTACTTTGAAAAATCAACTCAAAGACAATTTCAATACCCTATTGTATGTCCTAAAGAAAATCATGTTTTGATTACGTAACACGTCACTGTCGTGTTCACATTTCAACAGGTAACGCACAAGGCTATTGAAATTGCCTTAGGTTGATTTTTCATAGGTAGTTGCTATCTTGTTACATTTGACAATCATCATAAGAGCTCCGATTTAACGAGGTGATTTTCATTGTCCTAATGTCCTTGTTGTAACTGGCTTCCACTGTACTTCAACACTCAATCCCATAGTAGATCACACAATGCAAAATGGTGTACATGTTCACACAACAAGAAAGTCATTACACAGATTAATTTTTTTGTCACAACGGTCAAGAGTTTAATCATGAGACAACTCGCAACATGAATGCTTTCGTTACACTGCACAGGAAAAAGACAGAATCTTTCTCATAAGGAGGGGGTGGGTATACATACTGTAGTCAAGTGTATGCCACATAAAGAGGCACTAATCCTCCACTTTTTGATCTTTTTTTTTCTTTGCCAAATTTTCTTCTGAATCTTGTTAAATGACATTTTTCTCTCTAAAGGATAACAATTGCACCTCATTCAAAAAATAAAAAATAAAAAAAAGTAAACGTCCATCTTATCTCCGGATCTTATAACAACTTCATCTTTTTTTATCTTCTTTAACAATAAAAAATTCTTTCTCCCACATCTCCTTCCCAAGTCGATTGTGCAGTTCCGTTATTTGTATTTTTTCGTAATACCCCGACTCTGGCTACCATAGTACAATGATCTTACTAATCAATATTCATTACAACTACCATACAACAGTTTGTAAAACTAGCGGTGAAACAAGCACCGCTTGAATATTATTATTATCATTTTTTGTAAAAACAATTTGCAGTTAGGGCAACAGACATGATGACAACAAACAACACTGAATATTTTTTTAAGTCTTGGGAAGTCTACTTTACATAGGACACAGGCACCATCCATTATAGAACTCATTGGTTAGTCAAAGCCATATACACAAGTGGCAGCTCCAAATCAACTGGGTCAATTTGGTGTATGCAAAAAGATGAAGTGCTGTGTGATAAAGCATGGACGTTGGGTCTCCGCTAATCAGAGGTACCCACAGCTTCATCGTGTTGTAGTAGAAGTAGTGGTTTCAGTTGTAGAAGTTGTAGTAGTTGTTGTAGTAGTAATGGTATCTGTAGAAGTAGTTATAGCAGTAACAGTAGAAGTAGTTTATAGTAATAGTAGTTAAGACATAAAAGCCACAATACCTAGTAAAATACACCAAAATTTCATTGGAAAAAACATTTAAATTAGAGTGCAGCAATGTCACACGGTACATTAAATATAACTACTGACCCTAACGTGCTCGCACCCTCATCCACGCCCTGATACAGCGACAGACAACCACTCCACATCCTGGCACACAAAGAGAGTCCTCACACACATTTTCAAAATCTTGTGTTATTTCCTTGTTCACACATGCAAAGACAGTTGGGACAAAAAGATTGTTTCTCATATACATACTGCATGAACATAGGCACACTCCCTCAGTCACATTCATACATGCACTATCACATTCACACACACTTAAAAACACCCTCTCCCAAAGACAAAAAGAGAAACGTAAATAACCTATTCAACAGGTTATTACAACCTTTTGTTAGAAATTAAAAAGAAAAGAAAAGAGATAACTTAAAGATCTTGGATACAGTAGACACCAGTAAGAACTGATTCACACAAGACAGAAAAAAAAGCAGGGTTGGCCGTGAGTGTACCAGGCCCAAAAAAATAAAAACAAGCATCGCAGGTTGGCACGTATGAGAACGCACCTCCTCCGCTTAATGAGCAACTGGCCTGCCAGAACATTCATGAAGAAGATCCTTTCACACGGCAACTCTACTCTTCACAAACTTGTATAACAATAGTACACTGATAATTACACCGCCGCAAAAGAGCGAGCCCTTATTTCCACAACAATATTTACCTATATCAAAAATGTTCTTGTCTAGTAAGTTATTTGAACAGATTGAAAAGTTGGGGTTTGTTAGAATATTTAGTTTTTCAATCATTTCTTTCAAGGTATTTCAATAAATAACAAATGTCTTTATCTAAGTCCTTATCTGCACACTAAAATGCAGTCTACATGAGTCAACTTGGCAAATATACACACATTGATGATGTAAAGTTGATGATAAAAGTAGACCAGATCAACTTAATTGAAGAAAAAAATATAACACAAAATAGCTTTTGTCCACATCCTAATACACATCAACATAAATGCAATTTTACATCAAACCGGTTGGTCTGTTATACATGTAGAACAAATGCAAAAAGTGTATTTCATATTTCTGTTTTTTGTAAGTGAAATAGATTAAAAATAATGCAAATAATAGACGGGTAGACATTCTCAATTTGTAATTAAAAAATGAAGCTGATCTGCTTCAAAGGTGAATACATAATAAAATATCATACAATCTATATAACTTTTTTTTTGTTAATTTTGCTTACACTTTCCCTATGAAATACACTGGAATCTACATAAACCTGAATGATTAAAAAAAAGACCACTCTCAACTGATATTATCATGTGGCTAACCTTGAACCAGGTACGTACTGAAAATGAAATAATTACCATTGCATCACAAGATTTGGTCGAGTTGTGCCAAATGAATCTTTTCTTTTAAAAAAAAAGAGAAAGAAAAAATGTTACCAGTACTACCATCTAAGATTCTAATTGTATAAATCTAACATTAAAACAGCATTTATCTATATGAATCTTTTAATGTGCATCAATTCTTCTGGCGAGTATGAAGCATATCTCTGCCAACTTCAAAGATCCCCCTTGCATCAAAGAATCACTAACACAATATCCATGACCACAATAATCCATGACATACGGTGTCAAGAGTACTCTTGTTTACTTTGTTTTCGTTTCCATCACATGATCCGAGTACAAAAGAGAATTTAATTGATTTCATGATTACAAATGGATTCAAACTCTTTTTTTTTTCTTTTTTTTTTACCAAGAACTCTTCAATAGAACAATCCGATCTAATGTGTAGAGAAGATACATCACAAAAGTTAATGAGTCATCTGAGTTATGTAAATCAAATGCTCCTCGAGTACTCCATGATATCAGTTTTTGTTTGTTTTTCTTTTTTCAGTAATGATCCATTTTCTGCAATCATCTAGCACTGAGGCAGCTTGCGTATAAGTTTCTACGATAATTGACATAATAATAATAAGGTAAGTTTCTGACCAATTACCATTTATGCAACCATTTCAATTCTTGTGCAGAACACGAAAAATGTTATGTGATTTCAATTCAAGAATAGTACTTTAAAATGTTCACTTACTGGAGGAGAAGTAAGGAAAGAAAAAAAAGAGTTCCTCAAAATGTTACAAACTTGTAAATTTCAAGAGATTATTACTCTGGAGTATGGACAGGGTACAAGCTCATTGCAAGAAATTGTTTCTCTTTACACAACATACGTAAGGTGCTTAGTACTTATCAAATAATAGCAAAACACTCTGGAGGTGTCTAATTGAGAATAAAGCATATATTATGTGCACAAAATAGTATGTTTCTGAATAAATAATTTACTTTGGACACAGTACGTACTGATTTCAAAATTCTTTTTACAATTTTACAAATTCAAGGAATGCAGAACCTAGCAATTCACAAAAAAGACTAGTATCTCAAAGAGTCCGCTTTAGAGTTAGTGGTGAGTTCGTTGTAATGTTTGGAAAGAAACACATGGAAAAATAATCATTATCAAATATTAAGAAAACTAGAAAAGAAAAAAAAAGAGAAAAGGAAAAACTCCTTGAATCAATGCATGAAAAGTCAAAATCATATTTTTATGTCTTTACGTAGATAGTGACTTCTTTGGTCCATTTTCAAACAAATACGCATTGCATTTCATGTTAATGAATCGAGTAACATGTTCGAGTCACAATTTGTTCCCGATGGTAAAAGAGAGAGCTACATTGCAAAGCCCTCACTTTTGTTTTGTATTCAAAGAAGCATTATCAACTAAATTGCTTGAACTACCTTTATATCATTCATATCTTTTGTTTTGCTTGAAATTGTGATTTTTTTTTTTTTTACTATTGATGACAGCATAGAAGTGCAACACTGCAAAGTATCAAGCCATTTGTATGTGCTGAAGCAGTTCTAAAGTGATACAGGAGTATACTTCTATCCCACTTGCTTATTCTATGACTGAACTAGTAATTTTTCTATCTCTTTGCTCATTTCATTTTTTTCCTGTAACATTAGTGCAACTTTCAAAAACATCAATTTTCCTCCAAATTACCATTTTATTTAATAAATGATTTATTTCAAGCAGTTGAGATTTGCATTTGAGTTGATCACATTAATTAGCATGTCCAGCCAGCAATCAACAATTGTATAGAAATTGGCCAAAACATTTTATTCAACAGTTCATCAATATCAACAAAATAATGAGTTATTGCCCCACATAGGGTTTCAGCAGTACCAATCACAATGAATCCTCGAGTCCTAAACATGGTAAGAGTCAGACAAACCTGTCATATTTGTTTCCATTTCAGATGTGTTCAAGAAGAAGCAACACATTGCCTTAATAATAAATAGTATTTCCTCATCCATTCCTTGGGAGCACAAATCATGTCAATCATTTTAATTTACTAAACATCAAAATATCAGTCACTTATCAATGAAAATTGTTAAAAGAGGGAGGTAATGTGAAAAGTGCATTTACATTTGCTAAGTACTAGATTCATTATTCTTCCCTCAAACAAAATGGAAATGTTTGAAACATGATGTAAAAAAAGAAAAAGAACAAAGGTTGTTTTCTTAAATAAAGTGCCATGATTCATAATATAGCAAACAGCAAAGTAAACAAGACAGGCAACCTTTTGGCGCAATCTCCTTTCTTATCATGGCTACGTCCCACACTACATGGAAAATTCTGTCAACTATCCACAAAATTAGACTTGAGATTGTGAAGCAGATGTAGAAAATTGTATTAATTGTTTGACTAAATGCTCTCACCATCAGATTACTCACTTCCTCAAGTTAACAAAAAACATTTTGATGCATGAAATGTGTAGAGTTGATAAAGATAAATCATGAAAAAATGAGCTAAATTTGCTTATTTTTGATACACTTTTTGTTTGTAAAATGCAGTCAGCTGCCATTTTGTACAAAGTCCCAGGCATTCACCATATCTCTCCTTCTGGGACAAAATAAGCTTATAAACACAGGTGATAAAATTAGCAAAGAATAGCACACAGTGGTTAGTTAAGAAGTCTTGTTACAACCTAGAAGTGCTTCCTAAACACTGGGACTGGCAAAAGTGATTAAATCTTTGTTATTTTAAGCATGATCTAGAGAAATAATTTCATTGATAATGCATATATATAGATTAATATATATAAAAAGAAATGAAAAATGTTAAAAATTGTGCAAATTGAATGTGTTGATTTTTATTAAATTTGAACGAATGGTCGTCTTCTTTCTTCTGTCCTCTTCTCTTTGTTGAGAAACCAAATGCTCTGCCAGTAAGTTGGCAGATCAAGGTGTAAGGATGGCAACTATCACACTGACTGACTGACTGACATTAACAATTTACACCTCCCCTAGTGAAGCAAAAACACGGGTCGATGTAAGCTGTAACTCACCTATTGCCAACTACTTGCTTGCTGCACAGATGGAAAATAAATGCAAATTTATACAAAAATCGCAACATAAAGCTTCTTGAAAGAATGTGGTCAGTTTCCATTCAACTTCAGCATAAACTTTCATACATTCCTGTCAAAAAATGCTGGCTTGCTGTATTTTTGTTGTAGATTTTGAACATATTCAGCAAATGGAGTCAGAAAGGGAAGGAAAACAAGAAGGAGAAAAGTCTCAGAGAGAGAGAGAGAGAGAGAGAGAAGAAGAATGACAGAAAGGAGAAAGTAAGGTCAAGGATGAAAATGGAATAGATATGTAGAAGACAGATTCACAGTGAATGAGAATAATAAAGAAACATTGCTAGAGTAAGAGACAGGCAGTTTTCAAAGTCATCTTACGGCAGTGAGTTGCTGCTTCAAAATAAATTCTTCCCTTTCCAGACCACAATTTTTCCACAGCCATCATATACTGGCCGAACACACAAATCAATCCATCATTCTGTACTCTTGTTTCATCTGGTTGGATTTCCTGCTCGAACTGTTCCACAATCCAGAGGAATCAATAGTTTTCTCATACTTGTCCACGCCCTGGCAAGAGAAGCAAGAAGGTATTGCGACGCTGGCGCAGCTTGGCTTTGCTAGTTGTTAACATATCCAACAGATGATCTCAACTCATAAGAACAGGAACATTATCAAGGCGAGAAGGATTTTGTTGATATTGATACTTCCACAAATTTCTAGCTTATCCAGCTGTGTTGGCGATCCATGTGTTTGATCCATGCATAAATAGCAAACAAGGCAAATTTTCCTCTAGTAGCTGCTAAACGTGACATAGGGTGGAGCTACAAGCCAGCCAGGGGTCCAGCAGTACTGCATGGGCTTCCTTCCAAAAAAAAGACGAGCTTTCCACGATGTCTTCAATACACCATCACTGTTGCAACACATCCACTAGCTTTCAGCATTGATAACAATTAATTAATTCCTAGTTTGATTTCCTAACACAAGAGCTCTCGCCCAACACGTAAGACAAAAAGAAAAAATGCACGGTCTTCTCAGGTACAAGTCGATAGTGCACGTCCCCAATACAAAAAAATTGTCTTTCGTTTGATTTCTGTGTACTGATAGGGTAAATCAACCACAACTACTGGGCAATGAGACACAGGCCAGCAGAGGGCAGGTCAATTTATTACTTGCTAGGCCAAAAAGGAGCCCATGCCAGCCGGGCAGAGTGGACACAGCAATGACAGTCTTTGCCGGCTGCTACACCAAATTGTACTCCTTTAGATTCAGTTGGAGGATGGTGTCCTTGACGGCAGCGAACACAAATCGGATATTCTCCGTGTCGGTCGCACATGTGAAGTGCGAGTAGATGATCTTGTCACTGTCCGGATTCAGCTCAACAAACATCTTCAAGATGAACTCTCGCGCTGCTGTTGCATCTCTTGACGGTCCTGCTCATGTGCATTGTAGGGAGAAGCGAGAATGTAGAGAAAGAAAGAAAAACAAATCATGTTAAGACAGGTATCATACATGTACAATAGCAACAGAAAGCACATTTTGTTTGTACAATTTTGCTTATGTACTAGGATTTTTAGATTTTGGTTTTTAGGGTTATCAAAAAATCTCTTAAATATAAAGATTCTACAGCTATGAAAAGATAAGGAAAGAATCACATATTTATTCTATGATATTGGGCGAACTCTTTTTTTCCTTTTTTTTCTTCTCATCAACATAACTTCTCAAAGTATTTCAAACAATTCCATAAACTGCACAACCTAGAGATTAGACTGCAGAATTCTACAAACATATTTTTTTTTCAATGTAATTCTCATCAGTTTAGTCACTTGCCATATAACAGGTGTAAATGGCAGCAGTCTGCCCACAAAATGAATTCTTGCTCCCAGAATTTACAGTAGGATAACAATTTATACCATCTGCCAGATCTTATCTCATAACTTCCTTCCCAAGCCACTCATGGTGGTATACTCATTCTATTTCCTCATTTACTTCTGGTTACCGTAATTTTTTCAAAAACCCACACCAACCCCCTGAAAGAGGATGCAGCTATTGTTTCCCTACAAAAGTGAGACGAGCAAGAATTTATTTCCTCCTGCATTTCAGTGCAGTAGATGCACAAAGCAAGTACAAGCTGTGCAGAATAGATTAGTGTGAAAGAAGTAGACTTCACTGCAGTCCACAGGTATATGTGACAGCTGCAACACTCAACTTAGTCTAGAGCTTGGGGAAGAAAGGACAGATTAAACAACATGAGGCTGTATAAATAGTCTTTTGGGAAATCATGACATGCCAATAGATTACTTGACAATGTTAAAATCATGTGGAAATAGTTTGAAAATCACATGTAAAACGGGAGTGATGGCTAATGGTACATGTACAAATATTATGTAATATCATAGGTACAATGTACCAAGAGGAGTTCTCTCAAAATGGGTGATTTCTTTTCTTCTAAACTACAAATAATAATCTCTTAGGCAAGATTAGACCAAGCCTTTCTGGTCACATGTCTGTATAGTCCCTCATGCAGTTATCTGTGTGCCAAACTTTCGAGTATAAATGATATTCAAAGAGCTTTAGAGCTGTTTGGATTGTGTGTTTCGCTTAAGGGAAGGCAACTTTATTATCACTCGCGTTCGTCCGGGTTCGGGACGCCTACTTATCTCTTAATCCCCCGTTCCCGGACGCGTATTGTACGCTGGCGGTCCCTTGGCGTCCCTTGCTCGCGTCTATTGTTGTCTGTTGGACAATAGAGCAGGCAGCCAGAAAAGAAGCCATCCCGTCCGCTAGGACCGCTGTCAATGAACCTCACCGCTATCCAGCCCCTCTCTAATCCTTACTAATCTGGCGTCCCCTGACAATAGCTGACCCGTCTAGAACGCGTTAATCTGGTGTTCCCTGACAATAAAGTTGCACCCGTCTAGCTCGTGTTTAAAATACAAGATAGTAAATTTTCATAGATGAATTTTCAGTCTTGAAAGCAGAGCTAGAGCTGCAATCCTCCCGTGTTGATTGATAATAATTTGTCTAAAAAATGTGTCGCGCGCTAAAATAATAAACCTAACCAGCAACGCCTCAAGTCTTTCTACATACAGCCGCATATGAATAAAAGCTTCTTGTGCGACACTGCAAATATATAAATCATATTTAGTAGTGCCTGTATTCCCCCAACCTATTAATCAGTACTGCATTGCGTGTATCAGCAATTCGCGCAAATCAAAACATGTGGATAGCGGTCACGTGACCTAAAATGCGGTCACGTGATCTAAACCCCACAGCGCTGGTAAAGATACCACCACACTCGAAGGCCCTCGAAGCAGGCCTGCCTCGAAGGGCGCTTGCGATAAGCGAAAAAACTCGTTACAAAATCTCTGATTTTTTTTATTTTAAGCGCTTTTTTTGGCGAAGCCGTTTTTTAAAACTTGGCTAAGCCACCGCGTGCTTTGGAAATATGGCTCCGATTCCGCACTTGTGACAGCAAAATTTGGCTTTTGGGGTGGATTTTTGGAAGTGACATCGGGATTTCCTTGTACTAGTGAGTGACGCTGTGTGTAGTGCAGAGCACTGATATGTAATTTGCGTGTGTTGTGGATGCTGGTTTGATATCACGATCGGATGCATGTGTGTATGCATGGCCTGGGGTAATGCGCACGTCTTTGAGTGGTGTACATCCCCTGTGTTGTGTGTATACATACTATGCATACGCTCGTTCTCACAGCCAACCTGTAGCCACGTTCGCATAGCCATACTCAGAACTTACAATTTTAGCACAGCAAAACAAATACGTATTTTCCCTTAAAAAAACACGTATAAATACGTTAAAAACGTTCTGCTTGGCAGCTCTGTGAAGTCTGAGTTTTATCTAAAGTCACAGCAGAAAATTCAGTGTTTTTACAAAATAAATATAGAAATAAAAATAAGGATTTACATTGCATGCATGTAGTCTACCTTACAAGTGAAGATGTAGATATGTAACTTTGCCCCCCTGTTTTACTTTTCCCTTTTGTTGATTTTTTTTATTCTATGCATAATCAGGCCTCTCGCCAAGAAATTAAAAAGGCGTGGCGCGACACGAGGGAAAATTTGACCCCGCCCCCCTGAAGAAAAAAAAATTATAAAAAATAATTAAAAAAAACGTTTACAAGTATTACGAGTAATTTGATTAATTGTTATCCCTGTATTATGTTCCGAGTCATTGTCATATTTACCCTTGCACTAAATAATCAATATTTATAGTATGTTGGAATTTGTGAAATTTGTTATCCAATGTTACGAAGAAAAAAAAATGTATATGATCATAGTTGTTTGGATTTTTATCGAGCTAGACCAAGTCATGTATTTAAAGCTGTAATTATTTTCCTTATATTAAAAACAATATTGCATTTTCTTATTTTCACAAAAATTGCAGTACTCAAATTTCTTCGTCTTTTACTTTATATTGGAGTAAAATAAATTCTCTGTCTCAAAATGACATATACACCCGTCGACTTCGAGACACCAAAGCAATTGATAGAAAGTCTGAAGAGCTGTCGACGTGTTTGTACGCCCGCGTCATTAACATGGCCAGTTCATATTTGTAATTTGCTGGAAATTGTTCTTTAAAAATGAGAAATTCACGAGTTTGAGTCGGATCTCACTATTTCATACTTATGTTAAAAATGATTGTTAAATATCATAATTTTGAGTTTTTTTTATTGCCCGATATGAAAATGCAGCCACAAATGAATTTGAAAATTTTGATTGACTGCATAGTTGCTTAGTAACCAGACATACTAGTCAGTTCATTCATGACTTATGAAGCCGCCTCTGAGCTAATGTAAACAAAAACAAAGCCATTTATGGGCCGATTGAATGACCTCAAGTGAATGTGACAGAGAAGAGAGCGAGAGAGAGGTTTTCCCACGCTTATCTTTTCAGGGGGGGGGGGGGGAGGGGATAACTTCACGAAACAGACAGCGCAATAGAGAGAGAGAGAAAGAGAGGGGAATGTCTGATGGAGAGCGCGCAAACATGAAAGGGCTTGGCCGCCAAGAAGGGATCGGAGCTGAACAAGGGGGAGACATTAGCATTTTGATAAGATTGGATTATGTCCGCATTATGTATCATCGACCAAGACCACGTGATGAGTGATGGCTCACTCGTAGTTGGTAGTTGTAGTTGGTTTCTCAAATAAATAACAGATAGTAATGAAATGTCCAGAATGAGTGAAGTGAAGTTGTGGATCTATCTTTGCCTTCACGTTGGTTTGACTTTTCCCTTTTCAATGCATTTTCGTATTTATTTAGTCGCCCTTTTTACCTGCGGCTGCCATCTTTCCGTCTCCCGATCCTTTCTTTCTTCTTGAACTCTAATATTTCTTTATTTATATCTTCATCACCAGGCGCGTACGCAGTGAGGGGAGGGGGAACCCCCCCCCCCCCTCATTTGTTTTTTGTGTGTGCTTATGGGTGACCAAAAAAACATCAAATCCTGGACACACAAAAAAAATGTGCTCTTACCCCCCCCCCCCCCCCCCCCCCCCGCCTGTCATTGCTAACTTTTCGGCGCAATTTACCCCCCCCCCCCCCCCTGCGAAAAAATCCTGCGTACGCCCCTGTTCATCACTTACTTCATCTAATTTTGCAATTCCATCTCTTAGATTTTTTTTCAATGATTAAAGGTAAAGACCAGTATTGGTAACGCCCCAATTTCAAAAAATGAAATGGAAGCTCTCATTACCAATCATGTGAAAGAATATGTTTTGACTAATACATGATGATAAAAAATTTGCCGGGAAACCGCCTACTAATTGATATATTTGGTAAATTAGAACTCTCTCGTGGTCCGGTGAGAGAGTTCCGACGGTTAGATTTCGAATTGTTTTAGGCTCTGAAATTTACCGCTCTGCCTCCCTCTCGTGGCCGCTAAATGCGCAGGCAAGCAACATTATTATTATCGATCCACGGTATTTCAGAGTACACACTTTGTTGCCTCCCTATCGTTCGCGTTCATCAGCTGTTGTTCATTGATTATATCGTCGTTGCTCGCACTCTGGTTCTACTTTTGCCATAATTATACTATCTCGATTTATTTAGAGAGTGACATTTTAACGGTTTTAAACGACTGGCTTTGCTAATACTTTTCGATATAAACATGGAAGGGAAGAAACGGGGACCGAAGCCTGCTTCTCCAGCGACGAGGAAGGCTAATATGCACACACCACTACACGTGTGTAAAAACCCAATACAAACACACACTAACACGATCCGCTCCGCTAGCCTCCCTCCGCTCAAGTTGCGATTCTCAGAACGACCTGTACATTGTTTACCTAGCTACCCAAGAACGGCGGAACATAAACTCTAGGCATAAACTCCTTGGAATTAGTGGTCAACCGGTCAAGTACATGAATTGGTCATTTCATAGCTCAGATGATGGCGATAGCAATCACATTGTTGAAATACTAGTATCTGACCTATTATGTATATCAATGTCAGTCATGTATATCATAATTATAAGTCCTATATTGAATCTATAGACAATGTAGACTCTATGTACGTGACTCAGTGCTCTGATTGCACAGCCTCCCTCCCCCCCCCCCCCCCACCCCCACCACCACCACCACCGCTCTCATCAACGGTAACAATTAGGCTATTTTGCTAAATTACTTTTGTAGGCAGAACTGCCTCGATCGACTCTGTTGATTGACCATAGACTGCATGCTAGAGTAAAAATGCAAGAGAGATGGTAATCACACTCGCACTGAAAAAGGTAAAAATGCACCTAAGCTGTTCATGAAATATAACGTCATCAACATTTCTACTCGGGCAAAGATCGGTCAATATATGGGGAAAATCAACTTTCAACATTGGAATGGTGGTGGTGGTGGTTATTTTACCTGACTGCTAAGAAAGCATTAATGCTTGTAAGTAAGCAACCAGACGGCCGACGGCTTTAGGTCCTCTCCGAGGGACCTGGTAATGAGAATTAATGCCTTACCAAAGGGCATTAGCGCATCGCCTTGGTTTCGAACCCGGGTCACCGGATTACGAGACCACTGCTCTACCGACTGAGCTATCGCGCCTCCTTCAGTTTATTGAAGACATGCGTATCACAATTCACATGAATTGCTTGACCATGCATTTATCATGGAGATCTCTTCTTATATATCCATGCATTTATCTTCGTTTAGGATGTTTGGTAACTCATGGAGATATTATATCTCCATGCATAGCTGGAGTTGAACGATCGAGAGAGTCTGCCACTTCAAATTAGGGAAAACTTTATAACTATATAAACCATAACTATAAAAAAGCAGTACATTCATAAACACTGACAAGTGCAGTCTCTCATAGTACTAAGCGGAGAAGAAATAAGTGAATACATAACCCAAATCCAACTACAAAAAACACTGTGTAAAATTAAGTTCCCCAATTCGAGATAACAAAAATAAATAACTTCTTACATAATGATACAGCGCCAGGTTTCTAATCATAAACATACAGGCTAACGCCAACGGGATGAAGTAAGAGTAAATTAGTATTTGTAATTGGTCATCTAGTCAAGTCACATCGGATGACATTCATTAGTGAGCAATTAGACATCTATTTCATGGACACAAAATATAAGAACGAAACGGCACAACAAAGGCGCAAGCAGCATATTGGATTTCATTATAGATCAGGCCTTCTCAACTGGCGGCGCGGGCGCCACTTGTGGCGCTTGTGGTCAGTCGGAGTGGCGCGCGACTGTTGCAACAACAAAACAAAAAACAGGAAGAAAGAAAATATTTATTTTAGAATTAAATACTCAGCTAAATCAAGAAGTTGCAGTCGAATTTGAGCCCAAAATTTTACCATTTTATACAAATCTAAACCTAAGGTCTGAACAACAATTAGCTTACGATGGGATACCAATTTTAACATTGCCAATCTTTGGAAACAACTTGTTTTTGTTTGTTTGATTTTCACTTTATTTTGACATTTCCCGTGTTTATTGCACACAAAAAATGCATATAAATATACCTCCGGTGTAATTGTACCCAGGAATCGTACTTATTTTTTTTTTCAATAAGAAATTATGATTGATTATATATTGTGGAATGCAATGGTTTTGAAAATGCCCCATTTGGGCCTTTAAAAAGCCCTAGATCCACCAGCTTCAGGGGCCCCCACCCCCTGCTACCCCCGTTAGGGCTTCGCCCCCTGACCCCACCCATTTTCGGCTCGGTCGCTACGCTCCCTCGCAGCAAAGTCAACTATATATAGGGTGGCGCTTCAATTACAAATTCTTTTCGTTTTGGCACTTCTAATAAACTAGTTGAGAAGGCCTGTTATAGATGCTAAAGCGCAGTGGATGAACGTTGATGATTGCAATCAACATGTAGTTCAAGTTGTATACACTATACCTCTCTCACATGGCGATCGTATGCCTCGTCAACGTCGGTTCCCTCGTCTGAAGAGAAGGTATATACATAATCTGAATCCATGATGGGTCAGAAAGTATAACGATATGTCAGTGAATTAGCGTAAAAACGAACGGCAATATTATGCAATAATAATATAAGTACAGGTGTCAGTGATAAAAGGGATGGTGATGAACATGTGGCATCTAGTCTAGTTCATGGTCAGCATGCCCCTTCAGTGATTTAGAGACAACAAGGTAACATGTAGATGGTAGCATATATTGTACAGTCATCAGACCCATTTCACCACTTTGCTCGTATGATATGTTATATAATTATATATTATAGGCCTATTTCATGTATTAGTGCGATCTCACCTAGTTGTATTCATTTATTTAAAACCATCAACATGGCACATGATAAATATTGTGCGTTTTATTGCAGTATTAGGAGTAAAAAATAAAGAAACAGCCAAAAGGGGACTAAAGTATAGAAGACTAGTCTCACCAAGCATGGACCCTCGATGAAGTGACCTTCAGCGAATGGTCGAATCGCTCGGTTACGTAACGAAACTCCAATGAGGGTTCGCGGTTTCACCCCATCCCAGATGAATGTTCCTTGCAATATTCGTGTACACAGTCATGACAGTGTATGGTCTTCCTGGGCATACAATACTTTCAACATTACGCTAGATGTCATCGTTGAAAAAACAAGGAAAAAAACAGGTATAAATGACATCTCCCTGAACAATCTAACACACGACCGCTGTGCCATTCATACCATTACTGGATGAAGGGGCTCGTAATCTTTTCACCTCATACATACGTTTTGTGATCGGTCAGGGAGGGCATGGAGGGGCTGCAGATAGCCCCAAACAAATTACCGTCTTCCTCATTTTCTAACTAGATTTCAATCGCCTTGAACAAAAATAGATGCACACAGTCATGAATACATATATTTGTGTGAATCACAAACAAGACAAAGTTTTATCCCTCTTTAGGAGTTTGTCTGAACATGCCATTTTTCGGCAAGGGCTGCAAATGAAGAATAAAGAGAAGAAGGAACTTGAGAGAAGGAGAAAAGAGGAGGAAAAGAAGAAGAAAAAGAAGAAGGAAAAATTCAGAACATGATGAAGAAGAAGGTGGAAATGAACAAGAAGAAGAATTAGGAGAAGTAGAAGAAGAAGAGGAAGAGGGAGAAAATGAAGAAGAAGGCTGGAGGACAAAAAGAACAAGAAGAAAAAAGTAGGAGGAAGAGGAGAAGAAGAAGAAGAAGAAGAAAAAACAAAAGGAGAACAAAAAAAAGAGGGCATAACGAGTCCCGATAAAGACCTTCGATGGTGACGACAAGTTGACATTTCCCTTGAAATATTATTGTAAATGTATACATAAAAGAAACGACGCAGCACGATTCGAGCGTTTTTTAATTCTGTGATCATGTTGTTGTTCTACTCACATACATGTTTATCCCGTCATGTTTCTAATTCCCGTTGAATTTGTCAAAATTATCTAAACGCCCCGCCCCCCCAACTTCCTTATACAAGCCTGACCCCGTGTACGCACTACAAAAAATGAGAATAATCAAGATGGGCTCGTCTATAATTATTATACGCCCAGTATACAACCACTGTCTTCATACTTTGTAGGAGATTGTTCTAAACTGGGAATACGCGAGTCTTGAAACACGTCATCACAGGATGGAAACAAATATAAAAAAAATAATTCATGATCAACAGTATTTGCCCTAAACAGGAAATTATATATGGAAACCCCTCACAAAAAGTACCGCAATTCAAGTTTGCAATGAGCGTTCATTAAAAATGTTATTACTTTATAACCGTTCATTAATTTGGTACAGCTTGTTTTCTCCCCTTTTCATTGATATTTTATCGTGGAATTACATCTAAATAAATTATGTTGTAAAGTCAAACGCAACATGTTGTAAAATTCATAGATTATTGTGAACAGAATATCCTCCTTTTGTTTGGAGAATATAAAGTGTTCTGAACGATATTCAGTCTGTCATC